ACGGAGTTCTGCCGAGAGTGTTCCTGCGGGGATGGTATCCACAGCATGCAATGCAGACGTCAAGAGATACAACACACGGAATCAGATGAACGTGATGGCACACACATATACAATTGCTGTACGTTCCTCAGCACATGGACATAGCTCCACCCGCAACAATGAACGAATTTACACGCGTAGCACTGCTGCTTAGCAGCTTATGGACAATTTCCACGGAAGCACTCAACTCCACATTCTACAATCCAGTTCTACCAGGCTGGAACTCAGATCCAACATGCACACAAGTAAACGGTACCTTTCTCTGCGCCACAAGCACATTCGATGCCTTCCCAGGTCTACCCATCTATGCAAGCAATGATCTGATCAATTGGAAGCTGATCAGCCATGCTTGGAACCGAGAAGAACAACTACCAGGTATCGGAGAACGAACGCTCGACCAGCAAGCCGGGATGTACGCTCCTACGCTGAGATACCACGACGGAGAGTTTTACATCATCTGCACTTACTTGTACAATCGCGTGAATGGGAGTGTTGGGACACTATTCAGGACTTCCGATCCTTTCGACAATGCAGCGTGGTCTCAGCCAATTCTGTTCGATGCTCCTTCCATCGATCCAGATCTCTTTTGGGACGATGACGGCAAGCTGTATATGGCGTACGCGGGCATTGGTCTGGCAGAACTCAATGCTGAGACTGGGGAGCTCACAGAGGGAATCAGGATCTGGAATGGCACCGGAGGCGTGTATCCAGAGGGTCCTCACATCTACAAGAAGAATGGGTGGTATTATCTCTTGATTGCAGAAGGAGGTACACAGCTCAATCATATGGTGACTATCGCTCGGTCGCGAAACATCACTGGGCCATACGAGGGTTTTGAGAACAATCCCATTCTGTCGAATGCCAATACGACCGAGTATTTCCAAACAGTCGGTCATGCAGATTTATTCCAGGACCAGAATGGGAAATGGTGGGGCTCAGGACTTGCCACGAGATCCGGGCCGGAGTGGGAGATATACCCTATGGGGCGCGAGGTGAGATTCGCGGCATAGACATATGTTACTGAGCGTGGCTGACTGTAACAGACTGTCCTTTATGCTGCTTCCTGGGACGGCGACTGGCCAGTCCTAGATCCTGTGCGGGGTGTGATGACCGGCTGGCCTCTTCCTTCATCTTCAAAAGTGCTGCCAGCATCTGGCCCATACACCTGGGAGCCAGAGACTCTGAACTTCGCTCCCGGTAGTTCTCTTCCAGCGAGTTTCTATACTTGGAGATACCCTCCATCCACCTTGACTTTCCAAATCTCAGCTCCGGGACGCGAAAACACTTTGAGAATCCTCCCATCGCGTGCCAACTTGACAGGTTCGTCCGAGTCACCTGAACTATCTGGTCTGCAAGGAATTGCCTTTGTGTCAAGAAAGCAAGAACACACTCTCTTCACCTTTGCGGTGGATCTGAGCTTCAATCCCCAAAGACCTGGCCAAGAAGCCGGCATCACGGCTTTCTTGACGCAACAGCAGCATATTGACCTTAGCGTGAGGCATGCCAAAAGCTCGAGAAGGCATGAGAGTCGGCAGCTCGTCTTGCGCACATATGCCGATTCTGCCAATTTGACATCGAACCTCAAAACAATACCACTGCCAAGCTCTTGGTCGAAATCTACTGCCATTAGGCTACAGATCCACACGGCAAACGACACCAGCTACGTATTTTCAGCGTGGCCGGCAGACAATGCCAACGAGCGACTGATTGTAGGCTCCGTTTCAGCGAGAATTCTTTCCGGCGGCACAGGTCCAATTACAGGCACTCTGCTAGGCGCCTTTGCAACCTGTAATGGCGGGAATGGCAGAAATAATACATGTGCGGATGCTGGTGGCGAAGCGTACTTCAGTAATTGGAGTTATACTGGTGCTGCGCAGAAGGTTGCTGCTTCTGAGTTTGTGCCATCTGTGGCGTTGCATGGAGCAATCTAGCGCTGTTGCCGAAGCCATCTGTCTCGTGCTGGAGAGGAATAAAGTGCTAGGTCTTCATTCCTATGGGGGAAGTGAACTCTCTGCTTCGATACCGTGGCAGTAGATCCGCTCCAAATCTCGGCAGTGGAATTGGTGACGCAGCTGTAGTCGTTGGTAGAGAAAGGTGAATGCGGCCGGACGCTCATTGAACGCCTTCGATGTACTCGTGATGGCCTGTCATTTCGCAGTCTGTTGAGGTGAGGTGCTCAAGCAATGGGTCCCTACAGTATCGCCCAACTCAGCTGCTCGTCTGCCCGGGCAGGTCTCCGCACATCGTTGTCGCGAGTCTCGAAGCCTAGTTAGGTCCTAGGTGCGACATCTCCGCTCGATGCTCGCCTCAGATCCAGAGAACCGAATATTTGGCTGCTAGCTCGATGGCTCTATACGACTCCGAGATGCAGAGAAATCACACATTGCCCGCTTATCGCGCCAAAGAGCCTTGAGCAACGACATCATGTGCTCTGCTCTACTGTACGTGACAGCAAGTAAATCGGCGGCAGGAGAAACCTCGGTGCCAGATCGTCCGCGCACCGATGTTATTACATGGGAACGATCGTTGCTGCAAGTGATTTAAAGGTGGCCGCGGTCGCACCTATGTAGGACAGGCAGTGCTGAAGAGCAAGGTCGACTAAGGAAATCAGCTTCCGTTCTCTCACGTTGTCACAACTTAGCCTCAACGCCCAATATCATCTTGCATCAACCTGCTTGCTTCAACTTCGTTCGCTGTTGACGAAGTGATGATCATGATCGTAACGCTCGAGGCGCCGATCAGCATAAGCCTGCCTCAAGCAAGTAGCAACATTCCCTGTCCCGGCTTGTGCTTTCAAGTTTCCCCGCCCAATTCCATGTTGCGACAGGGTTGTAGCACTTGGAGATCCGCCCAACATGCATACAAGCATGTCAAGCTTCTCGAACCATCGACCACACCTCACAGATCACGTCCATCGTCTGAGATTGACGCTGTTCCCGTTCGCTCCATCGAATGGCATGTGGCATGTGCGAAGTTGTCGCACAGCTTCTCCTTGCACAAGATCCATGGTATAGCCAATCATAGCCGACTTCTGCTTGTCAGCGCTGCAGCTCCGATGTCAATGGGTATCTGACTTTTTGGGTCGAGCCGCCGGCCCGCCGCAACATCTTGAAGCTGCTCAAAATTTCGCGCATCATGTGCTTCGGCATGAGTTGACTCCTCACTGCTTGGTCATGAATTGACCGCCAAATGCACTGTGCTGAGTATTTAGCGTAGCAATTTGGGTAATGCCAATGCTCTGTGCATTCATGGGTATTTGATGTTCTATTGGAGAACGGAGCTTCTGACTTTCACGTGGTGCGGTGCTGCGATGCACGTTCGAACATCGTTGGCATCATAGGGAGAAGCTGTTGGTGTGGGTCATCCTGGGCGGTATATTGCCCAGGCGATGGATCGCCAACAGTAAAGTCACGTCCAGCTTTCATTTCAGCTCGTCGCAGGTGCCTACTTTCTCATCAACATCAGTATCGCTTCTTCGCTCAATTGTATTGCGCCGACCCCAATAGTAGCAACGAGATCTCCGAAATGGCCCAATTCGCCAAGCGCGACAGTGCGATTGATGTGAATGGTGACACCCTCAACGGACTGTCCGTTGACATCGCCATCACAGCCGATGGATCCTGGTTCTACTTCGCCATCTGCGCCATCATGGGCGCAGTTGGAATGTCCGTCCTCGCAGCATCAGTGACGAAACCACGCACCCATCGTGTCTTCTTCTACATCACTGCGGCAGTCAATTTGACAGTATGTTGCAACAACGCGAGGACCTGAGGTCCAGCACTCGAAGCTAACCGATGAATCGCCAGGCTTGCATTGCGTACTTCGCCATGGGTAGTAACCTGGGCTGGGCACCAATCGATGTGCAGTTCCAGAGAGATCGTGCCAACGTCGCCGGCGTGAATCGAGAAATCTTCTACGCACGATACATTGACTGGTGAGGCCTGTAAAAGTCCATTTCCATCCGCCACTTTTGCTGATGGCTTGAACTCTGTAGGTTTGTGACCACGCCGCTGCTCCTGTCCGACCTTATGCTCACCGCCGGCCTTCCATGGACGACAATCCTCTGGACAATCTTCCTGGACGAGGTCATGGTCATCACTGGCCTTGTCGGTGCTCTGGTCTCCACTCGATACAAATGGGGATTCTATGCTGCCGGATGCGCGGCCATGTTCGGAGTGTTTTACAACCTGGTCATCCATGGCCAGAAATCTGCAAGATCGCTCGGCACAGATGTGTATCGGACTTACATGATGTGTGGTGTTCTGACGCTTTTCGTCTGGTTACTCTACCCGATCGCTTGGGGCGTCGGCGAAGGCGGAAATGTGATTCCACCCGATTCGGAAGCAATCTTCTACGGTGTCCTGGACTTCGTTGCCAAGCCAGTCTTCTCGATCGCGCTGATTTACGGACACTGGAATATCGATCCGGCTCGGATGGGCCTTGTGCTGCGGGATTATGACGAGGCCCCGAATTACTTCGGTACTTACAGTCCAAGTCATGGAGGCCACGGCGAGAAGGGCACCAATGGTCATGCTGCCGATGGTGAAAATGCACCGGTTATCAACGCACCTGCCAATGGTGCTTGAGGAACAAGCTGGTGACGACGACTGAAGTGAGCCTTGGCTTTGGATGTCGACACGAGGAGGTGTTGGAGTCTGGTCTGAAATGAAGTGATACCCTTCGTAGTAATGATTGTACCAAGGCGTGGAAGCGATGATACCCCATCACTCTTTCGGTACTGGCGAACCTGCAAGTGTATTCCTAATGGCAGGCGCGATCGCTAGGAGTAGGTACTGCGGACAATGGAGTTCTTGCGGAGTCCAACATGTGCTGACCTTTCGTGTCGCCGGAGGTGCCTGATATTGGGAAGTACTGCCGTGTGAGTAATCACGTCGCCAGCCTCCAGCTCTCTTGATGATTCCAGTAGGTGGAGATCTTCAGCGGCATCTGGAGGGAAGCTCGCTGTAAGTTCTTGAGTATGGGCTCTCTGCAACGGTCATTCTTGAGAGCCAAAGCCGCCCGTTGTAGGCACCGAATGCAAGTTGGCGGAACGTCTGAGGTCGCGTCCAGGAGGGGTGAGACTAGTTGGCCTGTGGCGTCGCATTGTGGCGCCAAGACGGCAGTGAGCGGCCCTCCCTGCTGCAATCCTCCTAAACGCGTTCCGCCGCGGAGGAGAAGACGCAATGTCGTGCAGCGTTCACAGTGGATACTGTCGTTCTTCATTGGTGTTGTCGACGTCGCGGCAGCAGGAAAGCAGGACGACACGTGAAACCCAAGGCGCAAACCACGCGTCGCCGAACTTCAACCTCTCGTTCACGCCCGTCGATCCCTGCCGAGGTGTGGGGACGGGGTCTCGACTAAGGCAAACTCTATTTCCGCTGGTGTGGACCACGCTCCATCCAATTTGCATCTCACGCATCATCCTCCCTACGACGCGAGCAGGACGCCATTCTCTTCCATCACCAGCATCATCACCAGCATGAGCAGGCACATCCAGGAATTTTAGCATCAGATCGGACCTAGACCTTCCGCCCACGAGGCTGCCCGGAGCCTATCACAAAATGTCCGGTGAACATTCTCAAGGCCTCTTGACGGGCGAATTCCAGGAGAAGTCCTCCGCCACCGGCCGATTCTCTGCCATCCGCAACATCTCATGGTCCGCACTCCTGCACTCCATCGGCCATGCGCTGAAGCCCGAGATCTTCGAGCGTAGAGCCCTCTCGGCCGCGCAAAAACGACCTGGAACGACAGCATGGCTGGATGGTCTTCGCGGTGTCGCCGCTCTTTCCGTCTGCACGATGCATTTGTGCGTCTATACGCACACAAATCTTGAGCTCTGCTACGGAGCAGGCATCTGGTGGCAGAAATGGAACACTTCTATCGCAGCTTGGCCTATTTTCCGTCTACCCTTCACCGGTGGCCACTTTGCTGTTATTCTCTTCTTCACCATCTCTGGATACGTGGTACCTCGACGTCTCATTTCTCTTCTTCACGAGGGCAAACAAGCCGAATTCGTGGAAGCCATCAACGCGGCCATCGTTCGTCGTCCCGGCCGATTATTCCTTCCTGTGGCATTTTCGACCCTCTTTTTGGCATTTTTCTGGCACATCACAGGCATTGTGACGGCTTTCCCTCAACGACAGAGTAATATTTTCACAGAAGTGTGGGCCTGGTTTCTGGATCAGATGAAGTTTTGGTATTACTACCGCACAGGATTCTTGTTTACCTATTATAATGCACACACCTGGACGATTCCGGTCGAGCTGCGCGGCAGCATGAACATTTTCTTGTGGTTGTTCGCAGTGCATCAGGTCCGGACAAAGTGGAGAATCTTGATGACAGTCGGAATTCTGGCACATTTCATCTACGCGTCTGGTGCGTGGTATGCAGCTTTCTTTGCGGGCATGTTGACGAGCGAGTTGGACATGATTTACACAAATGGGATCCCGGTCAGCTTGCCGTGGGATCCGATTGTGAACTTCTTCCGCAAGAGAGAGATGATCAAGCAGGGTGTGTTGCATGTGATGCTGTTCATCGGACTGTGGCTCGCCAGTCAGCCGAGCTCGGACATGCATTCGCGAGACGAGGTGATGGACTGTGGAGCGTGGAATTATTTGAACAAGCTTATTCCGGATCCGTACAACGATGGAAACAACACGACATATCGATGGTTCTGGCTGTTCTGGGCGGCGTGGATTATCTTGGTTACAGTGGGCCAAATTGGCTGGGTGAAGTGGCTGTTTGAGACTGGTCCAGCTCAGTGTGAGTGGAACAGGAATCCCCGAACAGGGCGAATAGAAGAGCTAACTCGTCGCAGATCTCGGTCGCCACTCATTCGCGCTCTATCTCGTCCACGGCCCTATCATCGGTCTGTACTCCGACCGCCTCTTTTACCTCACGGGCGTAAAGATCCCCTCCAGCGACGATGATATCAAGCGGTTCGGACATCTGACCAACAAGTGGAAAGATTCCAGCTGGTGGATTCTGCCGGAAGGAGGACCGTATGCTCTGGAGCCCAGCTTCATTTTCTGTGTGCTCATGTCACTGCCTGTCATGTTGTACGTGGCTGAATGCGGAACACGCATGTTTGACATTCCCGGTGTGAAGATTTCAAGATGGATGTGGACCAAGATGAAGTCCTTATGAAGCGTGGACAGTGTATATTGTGCATTTTGAGCGGGTCGGCGTGTAGCAGTACCGGTGTTGATAAATACGGGTTGGGCTGTCTGATGTAGAAGTATGTATAGCGTGGAATTGGCAATGATCAGCTTGCAGTGTCCGACGTGCTTGCCATTGGGTTCGTAATAATGGCTATTTTAATGGGCGGGAAGTTGCCGCAGCCAAGCTTCTGACCCCGGACGCCAGCATGTGCTCGTGGGTACAGGTGTTGATCACAGTCATTGAAGACTCACCAGCCCGTCGTCCTCCTTTGTTCACTCATTTCTCCCGTACATGCATCAGCGCACCGTGCTGATCGCGACTGCCTCTCTCTTCACTCCGCGCCTGTCGCTCTCGCATGCCACGACGTCTTCCTTAAGAAGCAGCCTCGACCCCCGCCGACTGTTTGCGAGAGCGCATATCCTCTTTGCCCCACTCATTTCACACCACTCGCGGACAATGGCATCACAGCCGGAATGGCGAGCGCCGCAACGTACGGCTGAACAAGGAAACTTGCCCAGTCTGGTGGTGTACAATTCTCTCACACGAAAGAAGGATGCCTTCGTGCCCATCTCTGGCAAGAAAGTGGGCTGGTATGCTTGCGGACCGACCGTGTACGACGATGCGCACTTGGGCCATGCAAGAAACTATGTCTCGAACGATATCATCAGGCGTATCATGTCGGACTACTTCAAGTTTGACGTGAACTTCGTCATGAACATCACCGACGTCGACGACAAGATCATTCTGGAGGGAAGGAAGAGATATTTGCTGGAGCAATTTCTGGAGAAGCACGAGACAGTGGACGAAGAGGTGAGAAAGGTCACAGAAGAGGCCTATGAGGCGTATTTGGCAAAGCAGCTGCCCTTGCTCAAGGACAGCAAGCCGAGCACCTTCCTGCAGGACGAGAAGAAGGCGTACGGGCATGTTTTAAGTGGGAAAGCACTGGAGGGAGATGGACCGCCCGGCGATCGAGAGGCAAAGGTCAAGATGCATTTGGACACAACGCGAGCAGCCGCGGAAGTGCTAGCTCTTCCATCAGACAAGGCGCCGGGGCTGGAGTTGTGGGCGGAGAAGGCGTCGGGAGTACTGAAGCCGTTCTTGGACAAGAAGTACGCACACACGATCGACGGGCGAAAGCAGCACGACATCTTCACCAAACTGACAAAGCTGTATGAGAAGCGATTCTTTGAGGACATGGAGAGGCTGAATGTACGAGCACCCGACAAGCTGGTGCGAGTGACAGAATATGGGCAGAAGATTGTCGATTTTGTCAAGCAAATACAGGACAACGGCTACGCATACGACCACGAGGGCTCGGTGTACTACGACACGACAGCTTGGGAAAAGTCAGGAGGTGTGTATGCTCGTCTACAGCCGTGGAATCGCAACGACCAGGAGTTGCAGGCAGATGGCGAAGGATCGCTTTCTGCGAATACAACAAGCTTCAAGAAGGCCAACTCTGATTTCGCTCTATGGAAAGGCTCCAAGCCAGGCGAGCCAGTCTGGGACTCACCCTGGGGCGCAGGTCGGCCCGGCTGGCACATTGAGTGCTCGGCAATGGCGTCAGATGTGCTGGGAAAGCAGATGGACATTCACTCTGGAGGCATCGATCTGGCATTTCCGCATCACGACAACGAATTGGCACAGTCAGAAGCATATCACCACAAGTGTGGTGCCGAGAGCGAGCAGTGGGTCAACTACTTCTTGCATATGGGGCATTTGCACATCTCCGGCAGCAAGATGAGCAAGAGTCTCAAGAACTTCACAACAATCAAGACCGCTTTGGATCGAGGCGACTATACTCCTCGTCAGATGCGCATCATCTTCCTGCGAGGAGCATGGAAAGACCAGCTCGAAATTGACGACGATATGCGCAAAGCTGGGAGATCGTGGGAGGAGCGAATTGACAATTTCTTCATTAAAGTGCGCGATATACAGTCGCACCCTTCGAAGACACTCAGCAACGGCACGAACGGCACATCGACGCCCGCATCGGACCTCGATGGCAAGCTGGAAGAGGCAAAGAGCGAACTACACAAAGCTCTGCTCGATTCCTTCGACACACCTGCGGCAATGCGCATCATCTCTGATCTCATCGGATCATACAACTCAGCTACATATGTACCCGACGAAACATCATTGGCGATCGGCAAATGGGTTACCGATATCCTGGTCATGTTCGGCCTTGACTCCAACTATCGCAAAGGAGAAATCGGATGGTCGGGAGTTGATATTCCTGAGAAGGCGAAAGCATTCATCTATCCACTGTCTGAGCTTCGTGATGAGGTTCGCAAGCAAGCCATCGAAGGCTATGTCGACATCATCTCCCTAGGCCGACTGGACGAGAAGGACAACTACTACAATGACGATCAAAAGTATGCCCGTGCGTACGCTGATTTCCAACGCAAGCTCTACGAGTTATACACCAAAAACGCGGAGCCCAAGGCATACCTCGAAGCCTGCGACGAGCTACGAAATACCACACTATGGAATTTGGGCATTTACCTAGAAGATCGCGAGAACAAGCACGCACTTGTACGGCCTGTCTCTGCATCACTACGCGAGGAGCGGGAAGACAAAGAGCGACGAGCGGCAGAGAAGGCTGCTGCTAAAGCGAAGGCGCAGGCAGACAAAGCGAAAGCGGACGCTGGAAAAGCAGAGAAGGCGAAGATCGATCCTTTGACCATGTTCCAGCAGGGAGAGTATGCCGGAAAATACAAGGCATATGACGAGAGGGGGATCCCGACGTATGATGCGGAAGGCAAGGAGATTGCAAAAGCGCAGACGAAGAAGCTGACCAAGTTGTGGGAGGCGCAGAAGAAGCTGTTCGAGAAATCACAGGCATAAATCGAATTAGTGTAAGACCTATACGAAGCGAACGAGCATTACGCGCAGCCCTGTGCGGGATCAGCATGCCTCCGACATATCAATCTTCTCACGCCGCTCACTGCCGTGCCTAGCATGCGCACACTGTTTAACCCAAGGAGTATCAATCACAGCTAACCTCTACAATAGCTGCACTGTTCGATAGAGAGCTCTGGCCCGCGACGAGGATGCCCATGATCGTCTTGCAGAAGCTCAATAGGCCACGTACTCTGGTCTTAACGATACTCGACGTCTACTGGTCCACAGGAGGCCACTTTGAGTGTGATAGTGGAGCGTTCGTCTCTCACTGTGTGGTAGCTTCACCCGGAGCACATCGGCACGGACCGTGAATGGAAATATACGTGACAGCAACGCTGGAACTTTTAACTTACACAGATTACCACTCAGTCCTTTCCCCTCTCTGCGTCCACGAAGCAACATCGAGCACGGCACACTGCCCGGAACACGCTGAAATGGAGGTCAACCACCTGCCATGTCCACACTCGTCCATTTCGACCACAAGTACAACCCTCGACGCCTCTGCCCGCCCGATCACCCCGAAGCCACACCCCGGCGTCTTTCCTGCTGAAATCCAAATCGAAATAGCGAAATGCTGCGACGACGCGACACTCTTGAATCTGCGTCAAGTCTGCCGAGCCCTATCGCAAAACACCTTCGAGATCTTCGCGAAGCGATTATTCGCCGTCATCAGCTGTGACGGGGTTGACTCTATAAAGAGACTCCACACTATCTCCACGAATCTTGAATTTGGGCGATACGTCGAGACAGTGCAACTACGATCAAAATGTTTCGAGAGCTTGCAGGAATTTTACAAGAACCACTACAAGCCCATGGATGCCGTCCAGCATATGCTCCAGGCCGCCCTTGACAACCTCTCGCGACTTGGCGCACGCGTGCAGATCGAGCATCTCCTTGGCTGTAATACACCTGGCCACGACGGCAAATATATCAATAACCACCTCTTGTTTGGGTCACATTGCAAGCCAACGTCTCTGCGTCTTGGCCTTTGCTGGCTGTCAACCAGGCTGACAGCCTTTCCGTACGCTCGGTTTGGCATACGTCGCTTGCGTAGTAGATGGTCTAATGTCACACGTCTGCACATCGATTTCACGCAATGGCAATACATCAGCTTGTGGAAACGAGGACTTTATGATCTTCTCACCTCCGCAGAGGGAATTCAGGAACTTGAACTCCGCGGCGCTCTAAATTACCACTTGCGGGATCTCGAAGCCGCCATTTGGTACGTGCGACGGTCAAGACAAGGGGCGATCAGTCTACGGACACTGAAGTTGCTGGAGTGCCGACCAGAGGGACTGGAACTGCTTGACTTCCTGGCAATTCAGAGGCACTCGTTGAAGGAGCTTCACTTGGACAATGTCAGCATTGTTAAAGGGTGGCAAGAATGGAGAGCTGTGCTCAAATGGATCGCTAGAGCCATGCTGTTGGAAACCTTCGAGGCACGAGCACTGAGCCGGCAAACTTACGTATTTGGATGGCTGCCCTTCTTGACGAAATCTGGCGGAGACCATTTCCGGGTCATAGGTACCAGGGGAGACGTTGAAAGCGGTTTGCTGGACTATGCAGCTTCCGCCCGCGAGCCGATTCAGCATCATTGACGCTTTTTCAGCCCTTCTCTCGCAACTCACGAAGCGGCCTGGCCCGTGTCGGAATCCCCGTTCACCTTCGTTCACTCCACTTGCGGGCAAGACCCTGAAAGCGGCGCTAGTCTTTACCATTAGTCCCACGAACTTTCACGATCCTTTCATGAACTCCCACGGGACATCACAACACTGCTCATAGCTTGCTACAGCCGGATCACAAGATGGCCGAAGGCAGGAAGTCGGAGGCCTCCCTCGAGGAGATCACTGATGCGTTCAAAAAGCTCAGCTTCCAGGAGAACGCGGGACTCGATGTCGCCCACAACGTCGTGACCGAAATCGTTCCAAAATCCAGGAGGGGCTTTGGCTCTCTCCCAACTGAGTTGCACATTGCCATTGTGGAGGACTGCGATGACTACACTTTGCTGAGTTTACGTCGAGTCTGTCAAAATTTGGCGCTAGACACGAACGATATATTCGCCAAGCGATTTTTCACCACGGTCTATCACTGCCTGACACAAGACTCTATGGACAGGCTGAGCGCCATCGCCCACACTCCGAGAATCGCTCGTCATATAACCACGCTGAGCCTCGACATCGGCCTAAAACAATGCCGCAAGATCAAAAAGCGAAAGACGCGGGTCAAGCCGGGGGACTGGATGTTCGTGAAGGGAGATCATCAGATGGAGGACTCGAGTCAACTGGCTGAAGCGCTGCGACAGCTTTCGGCACTTGATGCAGGTTCAGTTGTGGTGGCACACTCAGCTAACTCTGCTATCGACCTCCATTGCTTGACTACTGCGCTACTTCGGTCGAACCATGCGCTCCGCAAACTCCGGATCGACGTCAACGATGTGCACATCATTCCATCGTCCGAGCTACAGAACTTGTCTCTTGACGACCTCGAACGCCGCAGAACAGTCTGGAGCAAGTTAGAAGTCCTTGAGCTGGATTTGTTCTACGATGAGGATCCATCCGCCTTTTCTCAAGTCACGGACTTTATTGGTGTGCTCAACAGTGCTTCAAGCCTCCAGAATCTCACTGTGACATCCTACTGCTCCCCTGGTGTGACGGACTTGTACAAGACATTGGGAGCAGATCAACTTCGTACGCTAGAACTGGAGGGCGAGGTCCTGTCAAGCGCAGACCTTTGTAGTGTCCTTGAACACTATCGCAGCTCACTCAAGCAACTGAGCTTCACACACATCACGCTCCATGAATTGCATGGGTGGCGCACTGTTCTACGGAAAATCAGAAACGATATGCAACTCGAGAAGTTGAGCGTATTCCACGTCGACGACTCCGAATCTGGTCACTCGCAGCGATTCGGCACTTATCGTGAAGAGGGATTCTCATTCAATCTACAGCCGTCTGCAATGAGAGAGAAATTGACCATATTGCTGAAGCTTTTCTCTCGCTAGACAGGGAGCATCTAGCGCACGAGGCTGGCTACGGTCGAAAAAGTGCCTTGGACATCTTTGGGAGACATGAGCGCATGCACAGCTCTCTCTGAATAGCGGAAAGTCGGCTCCTCAGATCCCTGATTGTCTGAGACCGCGAGATATCCTCCTGCAGCAACGAATTGGAGATGTGGGTGGGCAGAGACTTCTAATCCCGTAGCGAAGCACACTGGGAAATGATAGCCTACCCTATTCACTCATCGTATCATAATCTGCCTCTCATGCTTTCCAGAGCAAGCGAGTTTCCGTTTGTAGCCACATACCAGTGTACCTTCGACCTCGGAATTCACATTCTGATTGCAGGTGCCTCTGAGGCTGGTCGTGCGCCGCAAACACTACGGAAACCCACGTTGCGATCCATGGAACACGAAAGATCATTCAGTCACTTGACAAACACTATGAGTCGAATGCTATGCGACAAACACCTATCTGAAAGGAGACAAATTTCAAACGCATTGGACTTTCATTCATTTTACTGCGTGCATCACTGCACATTCCTCGTGAACCTCTCTAAGCTGATCTTTTACCCCACTGCATCTTTTCTGCTTGAATCGATTGAAGAATGCTATAAATGTCGAAACGGCAACATGAACTTCCGCCAATATCAATGCAGCCGAAGACGCAATGACTCCTCTCAACGTTACTGTGGGTGCATAGTCCAGTAGGCATATCTCGACCGCTGTACCAGACAGACCACTTCCAGCCTAACGACTACTTGGGAACGCTCGCCGCGGAACTGCACCTCAAGATTGCGGATTACCGCAACGGTAGCGATATCAAAAACGTTCGCACAGTCTGCTCATCTCTCTTCTATTATATTATCGACGCATCTGCCAATCGTTTCTTTCGAACCCGGCGACACTGCTATGTGCCTGCTTCAGAGAAGACATTGTTGCAGATCAGCGCCACTCAGTCTATGCACGTCGTATAAAAGTCGTCGTGATCGAAACTCGGCGACTTGACGCCCTTATATCTCTGTTTCCAGCAACACTAGCAGGGTGGCTGTAGGAAACGGCGAGTCCTCTCAGTCGATGATAAGCTTAGAAGCTGCCTGCGATCCCGCGATGGAAAACTTTAAGCTTTCGGGTACCTCCCGCTGCAGGTCGAGTGAATCAGCGGGGCATATGAAGGTTGGGCCAGGTCAGGCCGACACAACTTTTCTTGCCCTTCACCTTTTCCCACGTTGTCATCACCTCCAACATAGGAACAGACACCAGCGCCAATTTGGGCACAGTGGCAGTCACTATGTCTTCCACAGACTTGTCTGCTGCATCAGCCGAGGGCCAGAATTACTTCCAATACCTGGCCACGGAGCTGCACATTCATATCGCCGGGTACCTCGAGGACATGGACCTGAAGAACACTCGCGCAGTCTGCTCCTCTCTCGCTCGAAGCACCATCGACATATTCGCCGCTCGTTTCGTCACTCGACGAGTCAGGCGCCACCGCTATGTGCCTGCTTCATTGAAGACTTTGTTAGAGTTGAGCTCTCTTCCAGTGTTTGCTTGTCGCCTCGAAGCTATCGAGATCGAAACTCGGCGACTCGACTCTATCCTACCTCATCTTCCAGCAACAGCCTTCTCAGACATGCAGCAGCAACTCTGCTCCATCTTCAAGAACCTCTCGAAGTATGGCGGCGCGTGCAAGCGAGTCAGCGTAACGCCAGGCCCACGTTCCGCGCATCATAATCTGGCCTTGAATGCACTGTGCAAGGCGCTGATTGAGAGCAAGTATCCTCTTCAAAGCCTCAGCTTCACTTTCTGGGGCTTCAAGTGCCCCATGTACTATACCGGTGAACCGGGCAAAAGCCTCGATGAGTATCCGTTCAAGTTTCCCGCAGCTCAACGCTACGAACTGCGACGACTTTTATCCTCGCTGAGATCCATCGAGCTCAGCGTGCGCCATCACGGACAACTCCTCCTCCAAGACGAGGATAAGCTGTCCTGCCATTGGCTCGCAGAGGCATTGTCCTCATGCAAGACCGTGCCAGAACTCATCATCAGTGGAAATGGTAAAGAATGGGCGGGCCAGTTTCGATTCCAGTTACGAAAGTTGCCTCTGCATACCTTGACGATCAAGGACATATCGACTGGAGGAAGCTTCTTCGCAGAAACATTCATCTCGGACATGAGAGGATCTTTGAGGCACCTGAGGCTGAAACAAGTCGCAATAGGTGGGCACGCGACACCTTGGGAAACACTGCTTCCCCGGATGGGACAGTATCTCACACTCGACTCCATTGTCCTCGAGGATCTTGTCAACATTGACGAAAAACTCTCAAGCAAGCCATACAGCTACGAGAGTTCCAGTGGGTCGGAACAGATTCGTGCACATCTGCTTCAGATTGGAAGCGGAGAGCATGACTGGGTGCCACGAGAAGACCAGGACTGAATAGAAGGTGCGGACAGCAGAGGCTGGCTTGTTTGAAGGGCAATGGTGGGAGAGGGCGGTGATGCCGGTTTGAATGAAGAGTCGCAAGAAGATGCGATGGAATATCTGGGTGTCAGGACCGCGACATTGACATTTGATGACTTGCGCGCTGACAAACTGTCCTTGCAGCTCGGGATACAATGGAGGCGCCTGGGAGGTTTGCGGGATTTGGTTCTCAGCCTTACGCATGCAGCTGTCGCGAGGACAGCGCCGCATCCTGGGCCTTTGTATTGTAATCGCACGGCTGAGAGCAGGCGAATCTTGCTATTCGGGTCTTTGACTTCCAGAGCTCGCTTGGAGCTACAATACCTGAATGTAGCAGTGTCGCAAGAATCCATTTCTCACACTCCACCCTTCATGACCATCACTAGCGATGGCTCCGTATCATGTGCGTTTCTTCGCATCCGTCCACACTCTCATCCTTGCGAACTTCTCGTTACCTCAAAGCCTCCCCATTTGTCCATCAAGCTCTCCCCTTTTCTCTCCAGCAAGTCACTTCCCCTCAAACTTCTCACCCTGAATCGTAGCAACAACTTTCCTCCTCATCTTAGCTTCCCTGAACTCCAGATACCAAATTCCCTGCCACGTTCCCAACGCCAATTTGCCCTCGCTAATCGGCACACTGACGCTCGCTCCTACCAACGCACTCTTCACATGCGCAGGCATATCATCCGGTCCCTCGCACGAATGTCTGTACAGCGTTCCTTTCTTATCCTCGGGTACGATGCGGTCGAGAGCGTCGGACATATCGGCTCGTACATCCTCATCCCAGTTCTCGTTCAGCGAGAGCGCGCATGAAGTGTGTTGAATGAAGAGGTGTACCAGTCCGACGCGGTAGTTCTTTATTTCGGGTACGGAGGAGAGGATGTCGTTCGTGATGAGGTAGGAGCCGCGGGATTTGGAAGGGAGTGTGAAGGTCTTTTGTGTCCAGGACATCGTTGTGGTTGTGGAGGAACTTGTGCTCGGTGTGCAAGATGCTGGTGGACAGCAGGCGCAGGTGGGGAGCTTGGGCGTCGGTATTGACGAGAAGTCGGGAACCAGCCAGGAAAGCGGGTAGGTGAGTGGGAGGAGGAGGACGTGGAAGATGTTTGGGAAAAAGGCGAGGATGAAGATGGACAGGAACAGGCAGGTATTGCGCAGATTTGTGTCGAAGGGCATTGGAAGTGATGTTCTTCAGAGCTGACGTCACGGCGGGACAGTGAGCACTTTGAGGTTGTCGGTTTTGTGTCTCGGACGACGTTATGGAGCGCCGTAGCTTGAATGTGCTTTTCGGGGAAAGGGAGAAGAAGGCAGAGAACCAAGCTCTTCACATTCATAAAACACTCATCATACTTTGCCGTAGCAGCATCTCGTGTGCCGCATGCTCAGACCATGTGATTCGCAGCATTACTCAAGCTGCTGTTCACAATCGTGCAGCTCCAAGTACCCTTCCCAAACGTGGCCACATCGTGCCGCTCTCCAATCGCTTCTGCAACGTGCCCAAGACTTGATGATAAGCTCCAGGCAACCGATTTTCGGGCGCAAGAACATGCCTCTCTTCACTCCTCCTTCTCCTCGGTGCGGACGAAGTAGAACGATTTCGGGTAGCGTGGATCCTCCTTCCAGTATCCAGTCAGCTCCTTTGCCTCACGAAACATGCTGCCACATCGTTAGCTTTGTCATCACTTCAAGAGCAGCTACAGAAGTCGAGACATACCGCAAGGTGTTGGTCTTGTCGAGCTCGACGACCCAGCACATCTGACTGTCGTCCATCTTCGGCACGAACTCGCGCGGCTCGTAGACCTTCTCGGCCTTGGCCATCTTCATGTTGTCCTCATCGACTTGGGCTTTAGTGCGACCGATCCAGGCGTTGGTCGTCGGACCCGGCTCTGCTGCCTTGGGCGCTTCGCCGACTGGGATGTAGTAGTGGCCGCCTGGCGCGCCAGGCATTGGAGCGCCGGCCGGAGCTGGCATTGGGTACGGCTGGTAGTAGCCCTGTGGAGCGGTGTAGATTGGCACAGGGTGCGAATAGTACTGCTGTGCGCCTGGGTGAGCCATCTGCGGAGTTGGGTAGCCGTAGTAGATGGGCTGTGGGTAAGAGACGACGGGTGGTTGAGGGGACTTGGAGTCAGCGCGAGCTGGCGAGCGAGATTTCTCCTTGGGCATGAGGTACGAGTGGGAGTGATAGCCGTTGTTGCCATCGAAGCCTGGAGCGGGCTTGGCCGGCTGGGTGTAGTACTTCTTGTCGGACGGCCAATGCTCGTACTCGCTGTCGCCGGTGGCAGACATGGTGGATGCGCTTCGTTGATGACGGTGGGTGAAGACGGGTTGGGGTGGAAGAGGAAGTTGGCGGTTGACTTGTTGTCGCGTGAAGAGGGGAAGAGGTTGGTTCATGGAGGTGTTTGTGTTTGTATCGTGCAAGTGAGGGTGCTGGAGTGGCAAAAATGAGGCAAGACACTTACCGCTCTCGCGTGGGACGTGCGCAATTCGCGTTCGATTGTCAATTTCCGAGTGCGTCTTCTGCGGCGCGGCGGCGGCGGCGACGACTCCAACCAGACTGTCTCTGTGCACGGCCAGCACATTTTTGTTCTGGAGTTGGAAAGCAAAGACGGCGACGTTTTGTTTACAGAGGAGGAAGTAGTGAGGCAAGCGCGAAGTGATGCTCCCCGGGCTCGAGTCCTTCCTTCAGCCGAGTGAAGGCGCGAGACTGCCGCTATTTTCACTTTCGCCTCTTCTACTGGCGGATAGCAAGCCGCGAAGTCCAGCTGCAGGAGATGGGACAACAAAGATCTTGCTCAGCTCAGAATGTGTTCCCCCACCAGAACAGGGGTCAAACAATACAACAGCAGATTTCGACCATGATCCCACAGATCTACGATTTGCATCTTCGAGTTTCCAAGACCAACGTGCAAAAGACTGCTGGAGCGAGCTACGATGAGGTCGTCTCCATCTCCTCTTCCTGGGCGGATGGTTTAATGTATTGATCACAATGCCATCTTCTCGACACTCCAGAATCGCTCCGCTTGGACTTCGCATCACTGCCGTGTGTTCTTTCTCCCCGTAGTCATCAGAGCACATATTAAGTTACCGGAGCAGGTCCTCGCACACCAGTAGAGTCCTGGGATTGGAATTTCAGTGACAGCTGGAGAGGAGAAAGCGGGCCGGGTGTCAGCTGAAGTCGTTCCTGGAGTTACTATGCCGCCTATGCAATCGTGTAGAGGACGCTCCACGAGTGTACTGCATGACTTCCAGAAAATGATTGTATCTCATGGTGCGGAGCAGGGGCATTCTTCAAGAGAGTGGCAAAGTTGAAACGCGTACAATATCGTTCGCTACATTACGCACCATTCTCGTACACGACTCTATCGACTCGAACTCATTTAAAAAAGAAGAGAAGCAGCTACTGCTGTAGACTTGCACCAATACCGCTTTCTTTGACCTGCTGGCTTGACCATGGCCTGCAGGACCACGTTGGAGCTGACTCCATGGCCAGCCGCCTGCCCACCCAGCCTTGCAGTAAAGGACAACCATTTCAATCTCCGTCCACGAGAGCATCATCTCCATTCGGTAGCTCAGTCTCAAGTTCCCATTGTTCCGCCTCATCTTTAAGCTACTCGTGATCATATCCACTTCCCTCCCAAGCTTGTTCGACGCGCCAGTCGATGATTTCATCAATAGCTTCCTCATCCTCATCGAGCGAGAATCTCTCATCAACGTCGACATCGCTTGCCCAGCGGTTTACCTCATATCCCATCGTGGCCAGCTCTTTCAGCTGCGCCGAGACTTCTTCTTTAGTTCCAACGTAATGGATTTGCGAGCAACGTGGTTCGATGCCGAAAAGATATTCCTCGTAGACTGTCACACGAGACAACTGATCGGCTTCGAAGGTTTCCAGCTGCAGTATGCCTTCCAGCTGGTTCAACACGTTAGGCCATAAATCCTCTGCTTCGCTGAAGATCTCGACGCCACATAGAGTCAGTTCCCTCAGTGAGCGATGATAGTGTGCGAGAAGACGTATCAGATCATCCCATTTCGTCTCTACGTTGACCAGTTTCAGTTGGCGCAACGGCGACACAGGGAGCAGCTCCTGCACAGAGCGCAGCACCGGACTCATGGCATGATAGTCGTTTCCCAGGGTAAGAGACTTGAGACTCGTAGCTTTCGCTAAGAGCTGGCGAAATCGTCCATTACGTTGATTAGCGAGCTTCTCCCTGGTGCCCAGAATTCCCATTTTGAGAGTTTTGAGCTTCGACCAGAGTGAACACAGGCCTTCCCAATTTTGCATCGTTAACGATGCGAGAGGAATTGGCCCAGTCACTGACGAACACTTGAAAAGGAAACTCAGCGAGTCGATGCCAAGGCTTGACATACCCAATGCGTAACTGGCAGCTTCGAAGCAGCGTCCGTCGTCTCCAGCCTCAATGCGAATGCTTCTGGCTGCATCGGCTTCCTTGAAAGAACGGAAGCACTGCGTAAGTGCATGAAGAGCCTGTTCATCGACGAACGAAACTCCGTCGGAAGGCACAGCATCAATACCACAAATTGCGGAGATTGAGAAGCATTTTACTCGTCTGCAAAACTCGGGTACGGCGACGATGGCCTGCAGACGATTGACTGAAGTCGTAGAGCTAATGTTGCAAGCAAGCTTTGAGAAGCAGCGGGCGGCAAAGATGTCTGTGCTATCTTTTGCAAGGCTGCGACAAACCAGGCGCAGCGCGCACAAGTCTTCATCGTGGCAGTGCTCAGCGATGTCAATATGAATCTCGACAGCGAGAGAGCCAAGCTGAATGGAAGGTGTCCTCCCAGTGTCGGTCTTTCCAAGCTTGTCCGCTGGAATCACGAGTGACTGAGCGCTGGATTCCTCCGTGTCGTCTTGCATCGTTCGGGATGCACTGGTTGTGACATTCGTCGCGGTGACAATCTTCTGAGTGTTGTCGTCGATGGCACAGACGTCACTCTCGAGAGTGCGCTTTCTTGGGTTGTTGTTCGACATGCTGCTGATGCGCGCCGTCCGTCTTGATATTGGTTGGCGTGCAGGAAGAATTTGCAGATGTGCGAGCAGAAAGTTTTGGTTTTGCGAGCAACTGTTTGCGAGAGTGCACTGCCGCTAGTACATTAGCGCCGCTTAGCTGCAGCCAGCATCAGTAGGCAGGCGCGCAACAGCACACTTCGCTCTCTGATTTATATGATAAACACTCGTTGCGAGTATTAGCTCGTGGAGTTTACACTGCGCAGTGTCATTTTCGTCGGGGACTCTCTGCTCTGCTGGATATTTGACCAACAGTCACTGCACAGCAGATCGTTCTCGTAACGAGCAGGTAAAGCATCTGCTTCTACCACCTCGTGCTACTCTATTACTCCTGATTTAGAGCATGCTTTACGGTGAACGTGTCCATTGTGATGGGTCAAGGACGACTCTGACTTGCACATTTTTGGCTACAGCTCACAAAGCGCCGTAGACAGGGTCATGGATCAGTGTCCACAGCCCGGACTTCGTTTTCCTCTCGCCTTCGAAGTGCATCTGGTGAGAACCGCTTCTGCTATACAAATAAGTCCTGTCGTAAACAGCGTCAGTAGGCGTGGTAGGCTCGTCGAAGTTGCCAGTACAGTGTGAGACTTCACGTCACTTCAGGAAAATCGTCGCAGGTGGGTGAGACATGGACATCTCAAGCTATCATTTACAATACCTCAGTCCTGGGACTGTGCTCTCTATCTCTGACCGTATGGCTCTCCGGTCACAGTTTGGTAGGGCGTGGTAGCGCCTGTCCTTGCGCTTCCAGCATTGAGATCTCCCGCTGGAATCTGTGCAGCATCATTGATCGGCTCGAGCGGGTATGAAGTATGAGGCAAGCTCTGAAGGTGCTTGCGGTGGTGCTCGTGTGCCTGCATGAACACAGTCAGTAAGGCGCGCATGCCGGCTTCAGGTCGGACTCACAAATGGCAGACCACAGTATGTGCACATGCAGATTTGTGGCTTGTCCACATTGATGAAGATTCTTGGGTGTCCCAGTGGTCCACCTCCTCCGTCGCAGGATACAACACGCTCCTTGGTCCATCTCACAGGCTGCTTGTGAATGAGGTCAATGGCAGCGAGTGGTCGAGGCTGAAATATTCTGTCAGCTCGCGCTCCACAGTGCTTCATACACTGGTATGGCCAGCAACTGCTGTCGGATTCATCCTCACCTGGTCCTCCATAATAGTCTGCTCAAATCGTGGCCCAACCATGGCCTCAGCCCGCGGCTTCTGGCTCCTGCTCCAAATGCCCGCTCGGTTTGGCGCCTGCATCACGCGCTTCTTCTCTCCATCTTCCACTTGCTCGACCAGGGCTTCGTCCTGCGCTCCATGGGCGACAGTCGGGAGAGCATTGGTGCTCGAGACGGGCGAGTGCCGCTGGGGTTGCTGCGGACTGTTCGTGGGGATCGTGTTGTCGGTGGCGAAAGAGCTGTAGGAGCGAGCGGCGAGCATACGCCGACTCGCGGCTGGCGCCAGCCTCTGTGCGCTTCGTTGGAGCATGACGGGCTGTGGTGGAGAGCTGGACAGGAAGGAGATGGTGCTCGATGTTCGTGAGGTTGAAGTGTCTCCCAGGCATTGACCAATGAGAGAAGCGCAGAATCAGCGTCCGTGCAGGGTCGTCACTTCCATCTCGCGAGGCCGACCAGCAACAACAACATCATACATATTACGACGGGAATACTACGCGAAGGCCGATGCGATGACATGAGCCTCGCCTACCTGACAACTCAGTGCAGTCGTATCGTGCTGTCGAGCATACCCCCTCATACAGAGATCGCTGCCGTTTACGGCCACCGCACCCTGATTCCTTCCGCGTCAGTCTCCCGCCGCGTGCCACCGCCGACATCAAGGCCAAGTATATCACCATTCTCCCACATCCTGCTCCATCTCATATCTTTCATTCAACGTGACCTGTACTCACCGCAGCTCCGCCACCATGTCCACTGCCTCCAGCGAAGATACCTGGATGGCCTCCAGCTCCGATGTCATGCGCAACGCCATGCAGAGTCGGCGTCTGGCACCACAGGTCCCTCATCTCATTCCCATCCTGGACGAACTGCCAGAAGGTGCTGTCGTGTGCGAAGTAGGCTGCGGTCCAGGCGGCATTACTCTCGACATTGCCCAACGCTATCCTCGTCTTAGGGTGCTTGGCATGGACATTGATGCCAAGTCTATCAAGGTCGGTAGATGTGCAACGAACTTCTCCACGTATATCGAAAGCTGAACATTTTACCCAGCTGGCGCAGGACGCGGCAAACCAAACTGGCGTTCAGAACCTACATTACTCTGTAGGGGATGCACTCAAGCTGTCCGAACTTGCTGCTCAACCCAACTTCGAAGCTATCGAAGGAGGCTGCCATCTCATCTACAGTCATGCGGTAAGCTCCTTTCCTCATTCATGCTCTCCGTCACGATGTGCTAATGCTCCACGCCTCAGGCAATCATGCACACTCCCGACGCTCTCACTTCAATCAAGCAAATGAAACGAGCCACAATAGCAGGCGGAACCATCTCCCTAACAGAAGGAGACTCCGGCCTCTTCTACGCATATCCCGAAGTACCCGGCATGCAAAAGCTTCTCGAAGTCTTTCCTCGCATCGGCGCAGCAAAAGGTGCAGATACCCTGCTTGGTAGAAAGCTCATATCGCACGGCCTTGCTGCTGGCTACGCACGCGATGACATTACGCGTCACAAGATGTCAGAATCGACAGTTTCTTCGCCCATGGAACGTGCAGGACTGGCTAAAGGATTCGCCCAGATATTTGCAGATGTTGGAAGCAAGCCAGAAATGATGAAGGCGGCGAATGTCACTTCGGAAGACATTACATCCATCCGGAAGGGACTGGAGGAGTGGTCAAAATGCGAGGATGGCATTTGTTCATTCATCTCCATGACAGTCGTGTGTGTTGACAGTGGTGGAAAGAAGGGTAACTGAAGTCGGGAAAGGTGCGAATTGCTGATGCACAAGTCGTGTCTTTCGATGTAGCAGATGTGGCAAACTGATATCCACCATCTCTGTTGGGGCAAGATATGTCTTCACAGGAAACACAATGTCGAGCTCCATCGCGGACCGCCATTCAGAGTAAACAAAAGCATTTTGATCTTACGCCGCAGCACCAGCACCCTCAATCAACTTCTGAAGCTTCGTATCGTCCAAAATCTCCCCCTCCACTAACCTCCCCGTCTCCTTAACCTCACCTCCCACATTCTCATACCTAACCAACGTAGGAACATTATGCACATTCCACGCAGTCCGGAAGACATTAGTCTGTACTTTCCATCTGCCAACCACATCACTCGAATTAGCACATCACATCTCAGACAATGAAAATTCCTCCCTCCAGAGATCTCTATTTGATTCTTTGGGAGAGAGACAAACTTACTCCGGCCTCTGCCCAACTTCAACAAAAGCCACAGTCGGCTTCTTCGATCCCGTGAAAGTTGCTTCGAGAGTTGGAAGACTGGCTACAACGTCGGGACACCAGGGTTTTTGCGTATTTGGGTCTTTGGATGCGAGATAGGCGATGAAGAAGGCTGGCGAGTTGGCAGGGATTGTGAGAGAGGAGGCCGAAGATGGGAGGGTGAAAGATTCTGGAGTGAGGATTGGCATTTTGTCTTGGAGTTTTGCGTGGTCTTGAGGTAGGTATGTGTTGTATAGTTTTCTGGTACAGTGTTGATGTGCTGGAAAGCGGCAGAATGTTTCAGTATTTTTGTTTAATAGTAAAATATGTTCAAGGCGTGATTACGGTGAGTAATGAGTGAATTGCAGCGGAATATCGTTATTCCGAGACATTTTGCTATTTCCAATTTATTGTAGTAGAACTTCTCTTGCACAGCAGCAGGATTCTTGTTCCTTTCAGTTGTCCATTCTCCAGACTTAGGAAGATACGTGTCCCAAGTTTGAAAGTGTGCTTCACTGCCTTGGAGTTCCTGCGTAGAAGCTTTGCCAACACCGCCAATCTTGAACAGGTAGCCAAGCCGTCATACCAAGGTTTAAGGCGACCGCATTGAGTGCCTGCAGTTGCCGGCTGCCGTTATGGTATCCCAGCGGAGATCCTCCACTGTTATATTTATGTACGATTGATGAAAGTGGAAGCTGCAATGCTCGTATTTGGGTTAGGATTAAGGACCTCCTCGATGCTTCGTCTATTCGTGGCTATACGAAGCAATCCGAAGACGAACCACTTTCGCAGGCGATCGTACTTTAGGTGCATACTCCGCGATATACTCTGCATATGCCGCGGCACTTTGCGAAAAAGCATACTGTGATAAGTGAGCTCTCATGAAGTGAAGTCCTTCGCCACCTGAGTTAAAGCAATGTTCAGCCTGTAGGGCAGCATGCCGAGACATTATCAAAACCAACCACGTCGACATATGGTATAGCGCCGGGGAGACGGCAATGCAAACTGTGAAGAAATCCGGACGTCGACGTGCGTCGCTAGACCATGCAGGCTTGCATGCTATCGTGCTTTTATCGCGAATCGCTCTCGTAGGTTGACCGGGTTTTGCGTGGCCTCCGAGTTCTGGAGCGTCTTCCGGCAAACGCCGCCTATGAATGTGATCAATTTCAGCTGTCACCTCTGTACAAGCTGTACGCTTGATCGGCCATGACTCGCGATATGATGAATGTATTCCATGCTTGTGTGCGTCTTGCTGGCTGCAAACACCGACATTCATCAAGATCGCCGGTGGTACTGCTCCTTCTGGTCGTTTGTGTCACACGTAGCACGGCCTGTCAAAAGAAGTCGCATTTATGGCGTCCCGGCGGGATCCCGACTGACAGCCATCATGTCGGTGGCTTTCAAGCGATGAACGTCCACTCGTGCCGGCCAAATCGCATTGCGCCATGGCTCCGACACCGAATTAGAACTGTCCAAAATGGGAGCGTGTGTCATCTTGTGCCAAGGGCAGGGAGCGAAAATGGAAATTTCCTGTCGTCTCAGTCATGAGGGTCAGAGAACACCTCTTGCTGAGACAGGCGCGGCCAAGGTGCAGATAGGCATACGCCAGTCTCCCAGTTCGCCCATCACCACCGCGAGTCGTGCGCAGATTGCCGAGTAATTGCCGTGACAGACATGCCGGCAGTCAGATACGCTCGAGTGTAGCCAAACCATTGGCACAGGTGTGATGAAAGGGTGTGAGCGGACAACGTGGTTGAGCGACTTCGTGCATCGAAGAAACAATTTTATGCAGGGTGGTGGACACCCGGCAGCCGCCTCGAGCACTCGCTGAGCCAAGGCCAATCGCCCGCGCTAGGCCAGTCGCCGCCCAGTGGGCTGAGGAGGGCTGGCGGCACAGCGTGATGCATCGCAAAAGCGCAGCAGCGGTGCACAAGTTGACGAGTGGGCAGTCGCGGTGGTGATGATCAGTACATGGGACGAGGTGTAGAGCTGGCAGCACAATCCATGCCATCGCTCGGGCGCCGCGCTCCCGCCCCGCAGGCTGGCGAAGCCTGTTTTTGAGCTTGCGCGTGTGAGTCGCTTCTGCGCGATGATTGCGGCCAGGGTCTGGAGCACGTCGCTGATCACCACAACCCACCGTCGCAGCAGCGGCCGTTGGTTGCGCGCCTCGCAAAAGGAACATGCCCGGCCCACCTTTGACGAGTTGTCCTTCTTCCACCCTCTTCGGCTCGAGAGGCGAGCACCAGTAATCCAGGCATGCAGCACCTGACGCGGCACAACGACCAGTCCCGACAACCCGTCTCCTCCGCCGCCCATGATCCACTCCACCACCACCACCACCACCAGGATGCCGATGCCTCTGCGGCCGCCAGCAGCACCAAGCGCCAGAAGAGCCGCCATCGTGCCTCGATAGCATGCGCGACCTGCCGCGAGCGTCGCATCCGCTGCGTCGTGCCGCCCGGCGACAGCGAGTGCATCCAGTGCAAACGATCCGCCACCGAGTGTGTCATCAAGAACGACGATGAACGACGGAAGCCCATTTCTCGCGCCTACATGAGCGCCCTCACCGAGCGCGTGTCGATGCTGGAGTCCATGCTCAAGGAGAAGGGCACGCATGTGCCACCTGCCCACTATCCCGCCAAGACCACCAAAGGCAGCCTGCATGCCGAGGATGACGACTCTCCTGTGCGACTGGCAGATACGCAGCTGCGAGTGCCGCCCAAGATAGAGCAGACCAGTCCGCCGGGTTTCCAGGACATCTCTGCTAACAATGTCGAACACCGCGCTGACAAGACGAACCACATTGGGACTCCAATCGACGACAAGAACCAAGGACTTGTCACCCGACTCCTATCCACTCGTGGCCATCTCTCCTTCGATCAGCTCAGTGGGCGACTTCGCTTTTACGGGGGAACCGTCAATTGCCATGTCTATTCCGAGCTCGGCGACGTTGAGGACGGCACTGGCCAGAATGCGAGTGCGGAGCAGGCTCAACGAGCTGCAAATTGCATTCGCGCTCTCTCGATTCAAACCCAGGAATACCTCATGGAGCTGTTCTGGCAGCACTATAATTCAGTTCTGCATGTCGTGCACCAGGATGCTTTCACTGAAGACTATCAAAATGGCAGGACCCAATACTACTCGGGCTTTCTGCACGTCTGTATCTTGGCCATGGGATTCAGGTTTTCGGACAAGACCAGGCCAGACATGCAGCTCTTAGCACTTCCAAATCGAGAGAGCGTGTTGCATCGAGAAGCGAAACATATGCTTGACCTGGAGCTGCAAAGCCCAGGAGGCATTCCTTCCATCGCAGCACTCCTTATCCTCGGTGATTCGGAAGTTGGGGTAGGTCGTGACAATGTTGGCTGGATGTACGCTGGAATGGCAATGCGCCTTTGCTACGACCTGGGCCTGCAGCTGGACAGCCGGAACACTGGACTATCGCAAAGAGAATTGGATGTACGGAGAATCACTCTCTGGGCGTGTGTGATCTACGATCGGTACTGGTCTTTGTTTCTGGGGAGGCCTCTCACTATGAAGAGGAGCGATCTTGAGGTCTATTGTCTGACAAACCAATTTGAGAGACTAGGAACGTGCATGCCGGCCGGCGCGGGGCAGAGCATGCACACCAAGATTTACGAAGCTCTAATTGAACTTATGGAGATTGCTGGCAAGATAGTGGAAGAGGCCGAGTTTCGGACTAACCATGATACGGATCACACTCCGGACCAGTCGGCGTACTTCAAGATGGCAGCTTTGGATCGTGAAATACGGAACTGGGCCACGCGTCTATCCCCAGAGCTGCGCTACACCGAGGAGAACAAACGGAATGCACCTCTATCTTTCTATTTGCTACATCAGCAATATCATGCAGTTCTAATACTGCTGCATAGACCTTTTGCACGATATGATGATGCTGGTATCACAGAGTCTGAGGAAGGCAACGCTCTGGATAGTCATTTCTCGCAAGCAAGTCGAGCAATATGCACCAAGTCTGCTGTGGCGATGGCGAAACTTTTCTGGCAGCACAGACAACGATTCGACGGCAAGACCATTTTCTGCATAGGAATGCAGCACGCTGGAACTGCGGCGATAGCATTGATAGCTGCACTCGCCTACATGCCAGACGCAGCGGAGCGCAACAACAATCTGCAGTATCTCGAAGTGCTTCACGCAGCCTTGCTAGACATGACACATGCCTACTCACCTGCTGAGAGAATGGCAGCAGTTCTCAATGCAGTTATGATCGAACTTCGAGGAGGTCCCATTTCTCCTGTCGATTCATCAATGCCCACCCGCCGAGGTGATGGAGACCTAGATGCGAATAGAGGCCAGAGCAAGCGTAGGCAAGTCAATCGCACAAATGATGCTACCGCCATGCCACCACCACCTGTCAACCACAGCGGCAGTCGAAGATCAAGCGTCACGACTTCAGACAACAGCTACCAGTCAATAGCGCAGCAAATGCCACAAGCCGAATATGCTGCGCTCCCACAGCAATCGGCCATGTGGAATGGCAATTATCAGCATGATCCTTCTCAAATGGCGACGACAATGATGGCGGCTCATAACATACCTTTATCACCATCTCCCAATACACGGCAAGCCTGGACACATGCACCAGTCCACCCACAGCATTATCCACAATACCCCAGCGTCGCCGGCGTTGCCAATGTTATGAATGGCGACTTGGCACATCTGGAGTTCATGAATGGGTTACCACCTGAAGAGAGCTGGTCAGGATGGCATACCCCAGGAAATATGCCAGGCGGGTCATCACATATGAATAATATGCCGCCTCCTGGTTGAGATGTCGCAACATGGTACAAGACTGTATGGAGGATATCGTGAGGGCTACACGGCACCTGTGATGGTGTCTGTAAATGTTTGTAAAGGGATCTCCATGTACTTTACCTCTTGCTTTCTTCTTAGCACGGCGCTGTTGGAGGTGGTCTGGAAATTTTATGATGTAGGAACAAGTTGAAAAGGGATCATGGGCCATGTATTTTTCGACAGATGAGTAGCAGTTCCAATTGTACAAGTCGTACTATACTCCCATCTGAAAACATGACCCATCTTGTCTGACATTTGTTGTTGATCTGTGGTGATTAATCGGGAGATAGCCTCAGATGGGTGTTGCGAAACTTGTTGAGACGCCACCTTCCCTCCCACTGTTGCTTGGAAAGCAGGGGAAGTGCTGCTTCGCGTGTCAGATGGGCGAGTGCGAGGGCTTGGTGAGTGTACAAGCCGCATAGAAGAGGGATTTGTGGTGAATGTGGAGTGCAAACGACAGATGGGGCGCAACGACCGTCGTAGCCGCCGATTCTCTGCTCTACTGCATTCTGACCTGTCAACGTGCGCACCTAAGTGGTGACTTCGAACCACCCGAGCTTTACCCTTGCGTCTTTCGTGTCCGTCCTTCCTCAAGGGCATCTACTCTGCTGACCACATTTTGCTGGTGCGGACCGGTTGCACACCTGAGCGTTGCTCCCCCAAAGCCTACCCATTCCTCATTGCCGTCCTGACTCATTGACGAGAAGCAATGGTACTCAGTGACTCCGCACAGTGGTGTAATGAGTACAGTTCATGTACTCAGACGTCGTAGAGCCACTTCTCACGCATTTCAAACAAGCTTTGGTGCGATTCGTCGGTTTTTGTCACAGTGGCCCGAGCAAGATCCAGCAAAAACTCTGGGCAGTCGAGCAGGTGATCCTCGTCCACGCCTTCCTTCATCCATCTGAGTATCCGGTAATGAGCCCAGATGTGCACGAGGAATTGGCGCACGAGGCTGCCAGAAGTTGTGTGCTTGTAGACCTTCCTGACGCACCCAGCAGAGACATATCTTCGAAGTCCGTCGTCCAGTGGCTCGTCAATGGACAGCGTCCAAGCTTCCATTACAGCATTTGAGAATGGGCGGTCCTGGATTTTGTCGCCAAAGAGATAGGCCACTGCCCAGACTGCGCTTCGGAACCTGCGCGGCCCACCCAACGTTTTGGTCAAAGCGTCCTTGACAGTGTCACCGTACAGCCACTGCACATACACGTCGACCACATCCGGGTTGTCCTCGGGCAGCGTAATCTTCCGCTCCTGAGCTTCTTTCCATTGATGATTCAGGGCAGCGTCGAAGAAGTGCTACATGCGATTAGTTCGATAGGTGATGCTTCAGCATCGAACAACGCACGGAATGCTCGCGTAACAAGTCCTCGTGCACATGGAATGTCGCAGATCTCTCATCTTGCCCCGCGACCACAGCTATGATGGCGCTGGCGTACCTGGATGGATATCAGCATATGTTGCTAGGGGTCCAGACAAATGTCACTTCCGGTTTCACGTACCTGCGCTTCTTCGAGACTTGTTGTTCATTCGCCATCTTGTCCCGGGCAGGCGCAAGCTCCTGTGGCGCGTCGACGAGAGGTGCCATTGAATTGGGTGTCAGTGTCATGTCGAAGGTGTGGTCAGCGCACCGAAAGTGATTTGGCATGTGCGCAAAGGAAGGCAGCAACCTCAGCACGTGAAAGCTGTGGGCCCTGATGTTTCAGGTCGGAAGTTGAGCTGCAGTTGCAAGTGAAGTGAAGGTAGCGGTGCTTCCTGTGATTCCGTCACTTCACGCGCAGCAACGCTCATGCATGTCCCGCGCTCGACTGACACAAAAAGAACGTCAGACAAAACTGACCAGACCTCAAGACATTCCATTTCAGCGACAGAATCAATCATCGAAGCTGCGCCATACATATAAAATATCTTCTTCCTTTTCCTCCGTAGAAACTTTTTTGCCAGCCAGCTCCTATCGCGAACGCTTTCAGCTCGCATTCCGACAGCTCGCAAAGTGTCAGGAGCCTTTCCACTCAGGTAGTATATGTACAATTCAAACGCTCACCCCACATGCGGACAATTCCAAAGAAGCGCCAAAACACCATGCATTGAAACACACAGAATTGCTCAGAGACGGATGAGAAGAAGATCAGCGTCCCGATCGCTCTTTCGTCCGTTGTCTCCTCTCCTTCTCCTTCTTCTCGTCGTACACCAAGAACTCGTGGAGAGCGCTTCCTCCGGGCACCATGGGGAGTACGGGGACCTTCTGGTCGACCTTGACTTCGAGGAATGCTGGGCCTTCACCGGAACCGTAGCACAACCATTCGAGATCCTCGTTCAGAGTGGCGAGCTTCGTCGTCCTTCGCGCTGGCACGTACATGGCCTCTGCAAGCTTGACGAAGTCTGGGTTACGCTGATGTGTGTGCGCGAATCGGTCGTTGTAGAACAGCGATTGCCATTGTGTAACCATACCTTGCTCCTCGTTGTTCAAGACAATGACCTTCACGCCGATGCCGAATTCCGAAGCAGTTCCAAGCTCGGTCTGAGTCATGAGGAAAGATGCATCACCGTCGATGTCAACGACGAGCTTCTCAGGTGCGGCAACCTTGGCGCCAATAGCAGCTGGAAGACCGTAGCCCATGGTACCCAGGCCACCAGAGGTAATCATAGATCGAGGTTGTCGCCACCTGTAGTGCTGCGCAGTCCACATCTGATGCTGACCAACGCCGGTAGCAATCAGGGTTTCATGCTTCTTAGGCGCAGTAAGGTCGGAAAGTGCCGAGATGACAGTCTGAGGCTTGATAGCGCCATCTGGGCCACTCTCCTTCTCGTATGCCCAAGGGAAACGCTCTTTCCAGGCGTCAATCTGATCGAACCATTCCTTGCGGGACTCTGCCGACTTCTCGTGGACGTGAGGGAGGAGGAGGGCGAGGTTGGCAGTGACGTCACCCTCAACAGCCTCAGTAGCCTGCACGACCTTGTTAATGTTCTTTGGCATGATGTCGAAATGAACGATGCCACCACGACCCTCCTCGGCCGCTTTCCGAGCTTGAGGAGCGAAACGTGGAACGTGTCCAGTGATACGATCATCGAAACGTGCACCCAGGGCAATGACGAGGTCCGCCTCCTGCATCGCCATGTTTGCAAATGCGGACCCGTGCATACCGAGCATGTGCAGAGACTTGGGGTCAAGCTCATCGTATGCGCCAAGGCCTTGCAAAGTGGTAGTCACTGGGATTTGAACCTTATCCGAGAGCTCCTTGAGGAGCTTCGGGCCATCCGGATGACCGAGAACACCCTGACCGGCGTAAATGACTGGCTTCTTCGCGATGTTGATCAGATCCGCAGTCCGTCTGATGCTGCCATCCAGTTGCTTCAACGAAAGCTCGCGGGCAGCGATGGTGGCTGCAGATGGGTGGGTGGGCAGAGTGGACATCATTGGGATGGGGCGGTTCAAGGTACCACCAGTCACGTCCTTGGGAAGATCAACCAGAACTGGTCCAGGGCGGCCAGAAGTAGCAATTTCGAAAGCCTCGTTGATCCTCCGTGGCAGCTCAGCAATGTTCTTCACCATCACGTTCCACTTTGTGCATGCTCTTGAGATACCAATAGTATCTGCTTCCTGGAACGCGTCTGAGCCAATGGCAGAGGTAGGCACCTGTCCACAGAACACGACCATGGGAGTGCCGTCCATGAGAGCATCTTGCATAGGAGTTACGGTGTTCGTTGCGCCAGGGCCGGAAGTCACCAGAACAACACCTGGCTTGCCGGAAGCCCGGGCGTAGCCCTCTGCCATATGGCCTGCACCTTGCTCATGTCTGGGCAGAATGAAGTCGAAATGTGAGCTGTTGTAGATGGCGTCGAAAACGGGGAGAATGGCGCCTCCGGGGTATCCAACTGGAGCTGTGTTAGCCTGCTCGCGTGATTCACGGCGTTCTGCCATTGAAGCCTGGCACATTGCTTTGAGCGCTGCACTTACAGATGTGCTTCACGCCATGTCTGAGCATCATCTCGTGGAAGATCTCGCCTCCCTTCATGCCCACGAAGCTGTGGTCCATCTCGGGCTGGCGGAAGGGCTGCAGAGGTTGTGGCTCTCGCGACTTTGGCTCATCGCGGTTGAATGCTGGGCTGGGAACAGCTCTCTGCTGACTTTGTGCGGGCTGTGCAGCTGCTTGCGCATTGCTCTTTGCGGTGGCGGAGACATTGCGTCTCGCATTCTCCTTCACGGTCTGTGGCGTGTGTTTTCGGTACGGCGAGATGGCGGCGGCGGTGGGTGTGGAAGAGAAATGCCGGGTCTGGCAAGCGATCTTGGCCGCGGAGGCCGCTCGTGAAGACAACATGGTGACGGCGGTCATGCAACAGTCCCGTGGGTGTGACTGAGCAGTATATGAGGAGCGCCGGGAGGAGTGTGAGTCGGTGGAGGTATGAATCAGAAACAGGTCAACAGTCACAATGCGGACGCTGGCCTCGGCGAGAGTCAATTTTGGAGAAGCTGGAGATGCGCATCTTCAATTCCTCTGATTGGTCAATGCGGTGAATAGAGGTCCACTTGGGCCGAGATCGCAGGAGTGGCTATTCTAAGTGGCGAACTTGCATGTCTCTGCACGACAACCACACTAGAACACCGCAATGGAGTCGCCCAGATCGTCCCCGTCAGGCAGCGTGCGTCGACACACACGAAATATCTCCCATCCCACTCCACAGCGGGCCACGAGAGGGCCATTGGAGCCTGCTACAGACGAGTGAGCATGTGAGACACAACAGTTGACAGCACATGCATCGCTGAACACCGGTGCAGTCCGCTAGCAGACGCTTCTACAGGTCCGCCTGCACGTGAAATTGTGTCTCCTACACCCTCTGCTGAAGACAACAAGCCGAGCACACCGCAAATTGCCGCGCCCGTTGTCAATCAGAATGTCCGACCAAACGTGGACCTTCGCTTTCTGCAAGATCGACAGATATACCATTCAGTGACCACAGAAGACGTGCCAAGCGCTTTCCTGAACTCCAGCCATCGACCGCCAGTGGACACTTCCTTACCACAACTCATTCAAGATGGCCATTTCAGACGTGCAGCAGAGTTTGCCCTGCGCTCACTGTTGCAAAGTCCGCCGACAGCCGCCTCACAAATTTTTCACTTGCTATACACTCGTCTAGCCTGCCTCATCCTAGTCTCGCGACCAGATATCGCGGCTGCAGAAGCCATACCTCTGTTTGAGCTCACTTCACGAAGCGCGCCAGGTTCCCAGCAGATCGTAGATTTGATACCGTGGGACCTTCGTCTGCTGCTGGTCCGGCTGCAAACCATTGGTGCTGTCGATGGTGGCCGTAGAGGCATCATGGCATTGTATGCCCTCGCCAGCGAAGTCCGCGCGAACATCCGATTGGCGCAGAAGGATGGGGATGATTCGGCGATAGAGCTCTGGAACACGAGACTACGCGACCTCGGACTACGTGTCTCCGATGCACTCGTGGAGATGGGTGAATTAGAGAGCGCCATACGACATCTCGACACCTTGCCAGACGTGGAAGCAGATGAGCCGTCGTTCAGGAAAGCCATCTTGCGCACTAGAGTCGGCGATGTCGCAGCCGCACAACGATGTGCATCTGTGATTCAGGACGACATGAAGCGGCGAGAAATTGAAACTCTGCTCAAAGTCGCTGACGGCGACCATGATAGTGCGCTGGCAAGCTGGCAAGCACTCGTCGAGGACTTCCCTGGGCGCGAACATTTTGCGCTCAATGCCGCGGTGTCGGTTTTGTACATTGGCCAAATTGCCTCTGCACGGATTATGCTGGAAAGGTTAACCCGGGAGGTACCGGCATTCTCGACCGTCTTATTCAACTTGAGTACCGTCTACGAGCTTTGCACCGAACGAGCACCGGAGAAGAAGGCTGCGCTCATCCAGCAAGCTGCGACGCATCAGCCAAATCCCGCAAGTGGCGGTTGGGAACGTGCAACGTTTGAATTCAAGCTGTAGGGACCGCCGTCAAACGCTACCCTCGGTGCTGTTTGATGCCCAACATGCATGTGTTTCTGCATGCAGTCATGCTTCGCACGCAGTAGGTTGTTCCGATGCCAATGCGTGTATCAAAGTCAAAGAATTCCACATGCGAATGGAGTGAATTTTCATATCACTTGCTCAGTCGATGCTTGTGTGATGATCTATCACTGGCGTGACCAGCGCTGGCGATATATAATCGCTGCCATTCTCATTGTCAGACTCCTGGGAAACAAGCATCGACGACAAGAAGACGAGAGAATTGTGTTGGTAATGGCCCAACGAATGCAGGTACGGCCAGGTCTGAATCCCGTTATCCTTGTCGGTGACCAATGGGAAGGACAATCAGAGTTCCAACCCATACCCTGCACGACTCCTGAACAGGTTCACGCAGCATCGGAAGCTGCTTCAATGCTGGTTCATACACCTTTTTTGCCGGATCATACAATCTCCTAACCCTCCATTGAGTTTGCAAAAGGGCGGGGGAAAAGTCAACAAGAAATATGAGTATGCATTCGGCCAGCTGCATACTTCGTGGTTGTCGTCCGACTTCTGTTGTCGGATGCTATGCTTTTCCATCGCGCAGCATCGCCTAGGCACATCAACGTCAGTCACGATCGTTGAGAGGTCTTGCAACGTAAGATGGCGCCTACGGCGACGACACAGACCCAGGATCCTCCACCAGCTGGTAAAACCGACGTGGATCAGAGTACAACCTCACCGATCAGTTCGCCATCATGTCAGCTTGCCGAATCAGTCCTCGCCACAAGCTATGCCACCCAACAAGGACCAATGTCGCCCGAGGCAATATTGCGACTTCTTCGCAACCAAGTCTGCAATGACAACCAATGCGAACCTCCTGAGGGTATAGATCCAAGTGCTGTGGTTGTTGCCAGAGATGACAAGTCTCTGTACAAGAAGTGCGAGATATCCGTGGGACTGGCAAATGGGCTGGAAGGTTATGTGTTTCGTCAGACAGAACCAATTGGCGAGCTTCAGAATGAATGTTCAACTAGCATCGACAACATGATCGACGAGATCGGAGGACTGGCTAAAGCGTGTTGGTGGGTCGGGTAAGTGCTATCTGCTATTGACCATACGCAAGCAGGACTAACACATACTCTAAAGGTCCCATAAGAATCAAGTTTACCAAGCTGGATTTCGCAGCCTGAACCCTAGTGGCAACTCCTCTCTCCACATGCAGCAACACATCCCAATCACTGGAACACTTGCAGACGCTTCGCCACCTGGCCAGGTAGAGGTCGAGCACAAAGGCAGCACCCCAAAGCAAGTCATACCAATTGTCGTGGGAGTGGCAGTTGGCGTGCTCTGCATCATCATCGGTCTGGTCATATTTCTCATATGGAAGCGTAACAAGCGCGAGCGACAACGATGGCGAGCCGCGCTTGAGAGACGAGCCAGAAGAAAGGCCAGGAAACACACGCCTGGACATGATCACACGGCAAGCGCTCACAGCACCACTCTTCTGGGCAGTCTCACGAGTGGCAACAAGAGCTGGAACATTCTCGGAACGGCTCACAATCAGACTGCAGCCTTGCCACCTGAAGGAACCCAATCGACGACTGGGACACAAGAAACACGAGAAAAAGAAAAGATCCCTGTCACCGATGAGACGGTCGCAGCGGGTCTGCACGATGAGGCAATCGCCAGGAAGTTGCAAAGGAAATACGATGCAGCGCATGAGCGAAATATCCAAGCTGCTTCCGGTGGCACTGGCCGGGATGACCGAGTGCAAAGCCCGCAACCGCCCAACTACGATGCCGTTAACGCTGGGAATGCCATGGATATGGTTCAAGGTCCAATCGCTAACAGGATTTCGCAATTTGCTCCAGCGCTAGGTCCTGATAGATACCGATTCTCCAATGTGACTCGGGAAGATGAACCGCCTCTACCTACCTCCCGGACAGCGGAAGGTGTGGGAAATGATGCGGCAGATGGGCGCGATTCCGATGAGCACATCATTCCGCCTGTTGAGCCACGAGAGCCGCGAAGAGTCCGAAGTCCCCCAGTCTGGCGTGGTACGGGCGAGGACCGCCACCACTACGTCTTCCCACCACAGCGCCCTCTTCCACAACGCCCTCTTCCAGAACGACCTCTGCCCGAGAGACCTTCTCATTCGCCCGTAGGTTGGCGGAACACAATGGACACCCTTGAAGGTTATGACATGGGCGGCTCTTCTTCTCCAGAAAAGCTTCTGCCGAGCAGACCAGAAGTCAGAAGCCCTCGAGGCTGGAAAGCTGCAGATGATGAGTGAGAAATGCACCATCTCCAAATGCTTTGGCCAGTTTCGCTGACGAGAATTGTCTTTCCTCAGCTCCCTTGCGGCCGTTCTTCATCAAGATGCCTCTGCGACTGCTGATCGAGGCAAATCGCCCGAACCCAAGAGGCCGGAATCTAGGGTGCGAACGGCCACGAGTGAGGAGCTGGCACTGGGTCTTTTATATGCGGGTATGAATACGCCGAGACCGAGAGCAAGGGGTGCGTCGCAGTGAGAGGAGGTGAGATTGTAATACCCTGTAGTGTATATATGTCGAGAAGAATGGCAGTTCGTATGATCGAGATAAATGCAGAAGCTTGTAATTATATAAATGCGCTGTATTGAGGCCATGGTTCACGTCAGTTCCACGCTGTCGAGCGGATCAATGCCGAGTCAGCAGGGCAAGGAAGAGGAACAAGTATAGTCGCAGAGTCTGTTCCACTACCGGCATGATGTCGTTTTGGGAGTAGTCAAGTGCCGGAGAAGGGTCCGCTGGATTTTCCGCGGCATCGCGTCTCATCGCGTCTCGACCTTCACTTGCTCGAGCAATATCATCACCAGTGAGCCGCATCCATCATGTTACGGTGCTCCATGTGTCGTACAACACACTCATTTGATTTCCGATAAGCTGATAACAGCGCACGGTTCGAGAAACGGCGCAAAGAAGCAACATCACGCAAGCACGCGTCCGCATATCGATGTCGTCACTCATGAATCAGACGTGCCGTTGGTCGTGCAGAACGTCTCCTCTCTGCGCCCTTCCTCCTTCACTACTACTTGCTTCTATTCTAGATCCCGCTCAAGCTCCTCCTACTTCGCAGACGCTTTGAGCTTGTTCCGTCAACTACTACCAATCCAGCAAGAACCACCTGCAACAACAATGTTTCTCTTACGTACCTTCCGCACCGCTACTGCAGCACGCGTCGCACCTATCTCCCGAGCTGCTGCTCCCTTCACCACTTCCTCCTTCCGCTTCGCCTCTGGCGACTACGGCTCGGGCGCACACAAGCACGGCAAAGAGCTAGAGAAGGAGAGCCACGACAAGGAACATCCAGGTCCTCCACCACCTTCGACTGGCGGCAAGAGCAAGTCCAGCGAATCTTCACAGCCATCATCGAGCGGCAGCAGCAGCGGACAATCTCAGAGCAACGATGGCGCAGCAGCTCAGCCAAAGATCCTGAACGATGCGCGACCTGCAGAGGGCGAAGAGTCCGAGGAGGTAAGAAAACACAACGAGGAATTCCGCAAACGCGCAGACCGCCAGCAAGATGGCAAAAAGGATGACAAGGTGGACAAGGAGTTTTGGAAGGTTAGTATTGATTCCGGTGCGGCTGACGAATTTTTGCTTCGCAGAAATAAAAATCGTTTCTCCTGTTACACAAGTGTACAATCAATCTAACTGCTGCAAAGGGTCAAGGTGGTGTGGACAGAGAGCCGTAGATGGCTTCCTGAAAGGGTGAGTTGTATTGCTTAGATGCAAAGCTTGCCTTGGACTGACGAAGGGGCAGATCAGCGGATACGAGTTCTTTCGGCGCTCTGAGAAGCAACGTTTCTTCATATTGGCGATTGAAGCCATTCGACATCGACAGCAGCATGGATTGTACAGTAATATCAGAATGTAAAAGGGTTGTATACCCGGAATGAGAATCGAATTTTCTTCGACGCTCATGGGTCTCGCTGTTTCGCTTGCCGATATCAATACAATTCATGGTAAGTCAATTAGTTTCACGACCGCGCTGAAGTGTTCTTACAGTATCGACTTCGATGGCGGGCCTTCAGACGACACAACTCACCCGCTTCCGGTCGCACGTGGCGCAAATTTCCAATCCAGGCATTTGTCGGTTGCGGCTGAGCCTGGCGACAGAATAACAATCGATCTGGGGCACTCTTCAGTGGCCGCTGGACTATCAACATAGAGATCCGGTCTCGACTGAACAACGACATGCTTGCTGAGGCTGTGGAGCATGGGACACCCTATAGGAGTGAGGGACAACAAGGCTGACGAAGTCATATTCGTAAAGACATCTGGCTGGAGAATAGGGTGCAGCGGGGGAAGAAACTGTTCACGTTGAAAAGAGAAGTGTATGGAAATATGGTCGCTACTTGCCTTATTGCTGGCGGGATCATTCTCCCTTCCACCGGATTTGAGCACGAATGAGCGCAAATCGGACGGAGCGTCGAACGTGGACATACCAAGCTTCAGAACATATCTGGTCTTGGTCTCAGTCTCCGATTACTGGGACTGTCCGAAGCTCATGAGGTTCCTATCTGCCATTCACGGACCCCGAAACGAAGTACTTCCCGCCACTCAAGAAGTGTACAGCCATCTTGGCACGCTGCAGCTGTGGGAGAAACTCTTCACGACACATACATTTTGTCAAACTTGTTATCTACGCCGCCACTCGACGGACACACAAACAACAGCAGACCTCCTATCGAGAGAATACTTTCTACCCCCACGATGTGACAGTCACTCAAACCACCTACACTGATCCCCGCGCTGGCTCGCCTATGCGACGTTTCCTGGTCGATACTGCAGCATCTCTCGGCGCACAGGATCAACGCCGAGACTCATCCCGACTTCACCCTCGAAGTATCCAGGAATCTATTGGGTACTGAACTGCCACAACCAAGCCAAGCGGTGTACGAAATGAAGAAGAGAATGGTACAAGACCGCCGTCTAGAGCATTCAGTTGCACATGCTAGGATATGCATGGGATCATCCCGCGCGAAACTCAGCCATCAATCCTTCGGACATTTCCTACGGCGATGGAATCATGTGCTCCCTTTCTCTTTCTCTCCGCACCTACCCGCTCAGTCGAAATTCCGAGGTATTGCGGAACAATCGAGGGTAGAATGTCGACATTTCGTCGTGACGAAAGCTTCCCAGCAGCACAGCCTTCCTCGGAAATAAAACAAATGCGGAACCGGAAAAGTTTCTTGGCGTAAGCTATCCTTACACGCTCGAATGCCACTTACAGTAGTTGCTTGAGACGAGCGCAACAGTTAGACAGACAAGCTTGCGGCCATGGGGTTGCCCGCCGCCTTTTAGCTTGTCGTTTTGCTTCGCTTCGTGGGATGGAGCTAAGGGTCTCTCGCACGATGGTGTTGCCATACCTCATGGCGTGTTTCTGTTCGCCAGCTGTTTAGCATGATGGTACCTTGCTATAAAGTAGCGCCATTTGGTGCTTGATTGCCTGTCAGCTGCCGATTGCCAAGAAATGAGGTTCAAGGATGTTCCCTAGGGGGCGTATTGAATTGGGAGAGGTGACCGAGCCGATGATGACAGTGAGGCGTGCCTGAGGCGACTACAGGGAAAGGATGAAGGTGTTAGGGGAGTTAGGGCATAGGTCGAGAAACCGAATCGATATGGGATGGTCGTGGTTCGTTGACTTCATGTGATATGTTACCAAGAAGTGCTCTAGCTACATGAATCCAAGCTGATCTTCAAACAACCAACACGAGCTATCAAGTACGCGAAGAGGGGTACCTACAGTCGTATAGTAGTCGATAGTCAAATTGCCAAAAGAGGTCTCAATGAGAACTCAGCGTCATCATTGCAGTAGTGTTTCTCACTAATTGACCACTGACTGCGCAGCAAAATGTCACTACAACCGCCATTGCCGCTCCTTCCATATTCGATAGCTATCGACTTCAACCAGGTTGGCATTGTCTCGTCCTCCGTCATGTTAGCTGCAGAAGAAGTTCTTTGCCAAAATCAGCAACGAAGCCGACAAACACCTCCACCTTTCCCTTATCGTAGAATGATATGCACCCCACGAGTGTTGGCATCCGCCAGTGTCTTGGAACCAACAACTCCCACACTGCGCATCGCCGAAGTAGTGTCATGCCGTTTGCTGTAGCTGCAATGCATTCAATGCAGCACCAGCACAACACATACCACATCATCTACGCTGATTGTGTGATATCAAATCCTTGCCGGTGGTATTTCCTCGCGCTTGGTATGATTGAAAAGGGCTAGAACCCCGGAACTCTGGTGGCGAAGACAAAAACGCGCGTAGTCCTTCCCACTCCCCAGCTCAGGTTTGCTCGCCAGCCAAGACCGCCGAGGCCACACCGCTGAGTTGGTGCATCTTGGCATTGGCAGCGGGCGGAGCGGGTCCAACAAGACACCACGCACGCACGCATGCCTGCATGCGCAAGCCACGCGACACCCAGTCCGTCCCCTCCGTCAAAACTTGTACCCTGTGTGTGATTGGAGATGATGAGTCCCCCGATGACAAGAACGCTGTGCTTTTGCGCGTACCAAAGGATTGCTGTCTTCTCTCTCGCCTGTCATCGAGATTCTGGTGCTCTGCTTGCATGCCATGCATCCTGCACGTTGGTTTCCTCGGTCGTGTGTTTGAATGGACCAGTCCAGACAGTTTTCTCGTAACTTGCTCCCTTCATGATCGAGGGCGAAGGATTCTTGGTTTTCGCCACGTCCTCAAGGATTACGCCAAGATGCGGATGAATCATTTCGGTTTGATGAGGATTCGCTGCCTTGGATTGATGATCGATGCAGTTTTGGGTCTGATCCTGTGAACCCACGAGATGCAAATCGCCGCTTGTGTTCTGAGGCTGTGTTCTTGGGATTCTCTCAGACGTTTTTGAAGATGTCGGAACTGATGCTGAAGCGCTTTGAGATGCGTTTGATGCCTCGCGAGACGTTGATGAGGGAGTTGGTGCGCCTTGGTTTCCCGTCAGAACTGCTGCCAGCTGCTTGTTCAGCTTTGGAGATGGCTGCGGAGTATGTTGGGTAATTCTTCGTCGCGGAAGGCAGGATCTCGTGCGGTTCTGAAAAGAGATACATGTGGATTCGATCGTTCATGTCTCTTGCTCGTGTCGCTCGATCCAGTTCGATACTGCAGTTGCTCGACTCGCGTGACAGTGGACTCATGGTTCCAGTGAATGTTGCGCTGCTGCCTCTGCGGCTGTGGCGATTGAAGCCCATTTCGGAAATTGTCGGTGATGAGGCGACTGAGCTCGCAGAAGACACGCTGCCAAACAGTCGATGTGTCGAGTGGCTGTGCTGGGCTCCGTCACAGAAGGGGCACGAGTCCTGTCGACGTTCCCAGCCCTCGAGTCGTAGTCGTTCAGGGCAGTTTTGAAGATTGTTTGCTGGACTGCAAGGTCGGATGAGTTCGTACCATCTGTGCGCACACGTTTGCGTAGTGACATTCAGTCCGGCGATGCACATGCCAGGCGGTTAAGGTGGAGGCCGTCGAAATGGACCAAGCGTTGGAGTTCGTTGCTGGTGGACAAGTAAATGTGGAGTGCAGATGGTTGTCGCGTGTCAGGCCGGAATGGCAGCCCCAGATATTATAGTGGAGGATGGTCAAGAATCCGGCTATGAAAAATAGGCTTCGCAAGGATGACGCCGAATGTCTTGTGTGTGGAAGCTTGCAGGATAGCAGAGGTAGGGGTCTTAGATCGGTTTGATATTGACTTCGCTATGTCTGACGATCCCGTGCTTATCGCGCGTGGTAGCTTTGTGTCTGAGTCGTTTAATGCATGCCTCACGAACTTGTTCGCAAGCGAACTCAATGCGTAACTGGGCTGCGCGTTGACGAAAGGCTAGAGAAGTCGCCAAGGGGAGTGATGCGCAATGAAATCAAGCAGCCCTTTACGAGCTCGATGCGTGCGACCGAAGATCGTGTTTCGTGGCGTGAGGGCTGAAAGAGCGAGATCCGTCAGTGTGGTAAAGGGTGGTAGAACGACAATAAATGAGCCCGCCGCGCTCCTTTTCTTACCCATCCTGCTCTTGCTAGACGTTGCGACCCAAGAAAATCCATCATCCTGACCGTAGAGCCGTTATCAGCCACGTCGCACATGGGTGGCACTTGACGCGGTCCAATCGTCCTTTAGCAGCATTATCGGCTGGAGACGAACGTTTTGCGCCTGGTCCTTCACGCACCCTCAGATCCGTCAGCAATTCTATACAGCCCCGAACGATGCCGGAAAATCATATGGGAGCGCACACTTGCAGCTGACATTCCTTGGTTCCCGCCAGCCGCCCTAGGTAGCGCCATGGCATGCGATGCACGCCCAAAGGCCCGGGTCCCTAGCGGCATGGCAGTGAAGCGGCGGGCTGGTTAGGCCATCTTGTGACAGATCTGCACAACTGGTTGCACTTGGCCCGTCGAGGACGAATGTAGATGTATGAGGCATGAGTGGGAGCTGCACGAACCTGACACAGCAGAATAGCCTTACGACGCCACCAGTCGCACAACAAAGACGTGGCCAGCGCGCGTTGTTTCGTCGACTAATGCAGCGAGGAACATCGCGCTGTCCAGATCCCATGTCCACGCGGTATGCAAGATTTATAGTCGAAGAGCCGAACCGAGGGCCCCGAAGTTGTTGCCGTAGCAAGGAGCGCGAACAAGCCGCAGATCAGCATCCTAAAGTTGCACGGAGCCCGGGAACTTTTTCGCAAGCCGCGCGCCTGGTTTGGATTGGGCAGCAGTCTCGGCCGGGGAGCAGGAAGATATCAACTAGCAGCAGCCGTATCATCTCGCCATCTGTAACCTACACCTTGATCACAGTGCTCCTTCACACCGCGATTACTTGGGTGGCTTGATTGCAGCGTGTGGTGTGGGCACGTGGGCACGATTGCACGACGTGCGGTGGCAGCGGCAGCGGTGCGAAGAGCGGCGACATGGGCCAGGAGTCTAGGCTTTTCCCAATCGCACATCAACGCTCGTGGCTGAGGGCGGTCAGCAGCAGCGCGTTCGTACGTAGAAGATCCACTGGCGGCGCGGATCCAAACGACGTCTAGTCTAGTTGCCCTTGGATGCGCACGAACAGAAGAACACCACTCTGTTGAACGGTGAGCATTATTTTCAGCACTTCGTCTTTCGCGGACCAGTGCAAGGTGAAGTCAACGAAACTTTCCCCGTGGCCCAGTAGATGACGAAGGAGGGCGAGATGTTCCAGGATGACGACGGGAATACCAGCCAGGGTGGGAGGGGACGAGTGCGCCAATACGACATCAGAGCCGCGATAGAGAACGCAGGATGTTCGATCTGTATGACAATGAACAGCCCTCACTGTTTCAGCGCCCTTGGTCAGTCGTCATACTCCTGGTATAGAGCGTAGCAAGGCTGATCAATCATGCCACAACCGTTTCCTTTCCAGTCGGAGGAGAGAGATGTTCCTGTGCCGTTCACCGGGGTGTTGAATTCATCGCCAAGTCTCCCCATGCGTTGACAGGTGGAAAACGGCGCTTTTGAGCACGCGACTAAAAAAGTGTTCTCCACGCTTGTGGTTGGAGGACCTGAATCTTGACTTCGTCTTGAGCGCACCGAGAGAAGATCGTTTGAGTATATGGAGGAGAATTGAGCCGGAAGAGTGGAGGGGCAGACCCGTCAATTCCGCCGCACCTTCTCCTCCGGTGCCCGCGATGTGGAGGAGGGGCAGTCGCAAGTGCGGGCATTGACGACTGACCTGACGTGCTGAAATACTGTACCGCGACACGCTTTTCGCGCCCGCAATCTTGCTTTCCCTTTTCTTCGCGCGCCTTTTGCAAAGTTGGAAGACTGGCTGCTAAATATTGAGATTGGCTGATCTCACACAAAAGCCTGGATTCAAGCATATAAACGCAACATATTGGATATCATAAATATGGAGGTCCCAACAGCAAAATCAGTGCCTGAGACGAAGAGTTTGGCAGAGATATACCCAGAAGATGCATTGAAAAAACAAACGACAAGATGGAATGCTTTGCTCAAGCAGTTCCGCGAAACATACAACAAAAGCCCGGATTTCGTATCGAGAAGTCCGGGCAGAGTGAACATCATTGGAGAGGTACATTCCCGCCACGCAAGCTCACACCTCCATGCGAGCGGTACTGACGACAAGACAGCACATCGACTATTCGTTATACGAGGTCTTGCCAATGGCAGTCACAGAGGACGTCTTGCTCGCAGTCTCCATACACAAGAAAGAGTCCGGACCCAGCACGATACGACTCAACAATGTACACTCACACAAATTCGAGGCACGAGAATTCGATATCCCCGATACTGGAGACGTACACATCGATTCAACAACACTGGAATGGACGAATTACTTCAAGTCAGGCTTGGTTGGCGCAACAGAATTGCTTCGCAAGAAATCGAAAGAGTTCAAGTGCAGTGTGGGCATGGACATACTTGCAGATGGCACAGTACCATCAGGAGGCGGCTTGTCGAGTAGCGCGGCATTTGTGTGCGCTAGCGCTTTGGCAGTGATGAAGGCCAACGGGGTGGAGCAGGTTGACAAGAAAGAGCTGGTCGAGCTGGCGATTGTCTCGGAGCGAGCAGTGGGTGTGAATTCGGGAGGCATGGATCAGTCTGCCTCTGTGTTTCCTCTGCAAGGCTCCGCTCTCTATGTGTCTTTTGTGCCCGGACTTTCAGCGACGAACGTCAAATTCCCAGAGCTAAAGTCACCACTCACATTCGTCATTGCTCAGTCATTCGTGGCGGCGGACAAGCACACCACAGGTCCAGTGTGTTACAACCTCCGAGTGGTCGAGGTCACACTTGCAGCTCTGGTATTATCCAAGATTTTCCGGTTGTCAAACCTGCCTTCGGATTCTGGTCCACTAGGCGTAAGTCTGCGAGGCTTCCACGATACGTATTTCCAGGAGAAGGAAGGCATCAAGGACAACCACCAGATCTCGAAAGAGGACTTCCGCCAACAACTCCAAGACCTCATCCACAAAGTCGACCAATACCTGCCACAAGAGGAGGGTTACACACGAGAACAGCTCTCAGACATTCTAGGCATCAGCATCCCAGACTTGGAGCAACGATACATGTCCAAATTCCCGATCCGAGCAGAGAAGTTCAAGCTCAGACAACGAGCATTGCACGTATTCAGCGAAGCCAGTCGCGTACTGGCATTCATGGATCTTTTGACCTCTCCTGCGCCTCAAACGGATGCTGAGAATGCAGAGCTCCTGAAATCTCTTGGTGAGCTCATGAACGAGACCCAGGATTCATGTCGAGACATTTACGAAAATTCGTGTCCGGAACTCGATGAGCTTTGCACACTTGCCAAGTCCGCTGGGTCATATGGTAGTCGGTTGACTGGTGCTGGTTGGGGTGGCTGTACTGTGCATCTTGTACCTGCTGATAAAGTTGAGGCTGTTAAGCAGAAGTGGGTTACAGAGTACTACAAGAAGAAGTTTCCGGATATTACTGAGGAGAAGTTGAGTGAGGCGATTGTTGTGAGTAAGCCTGGGAATGGCAGTGCTGTGTTCCAGGTCGATGGAAGGGAAGAGGTGTGAGGAATTTGATCGATTTGTTGTACAGAGATGGCTCATCTTGCATAATTGGAGTTCAAATGCATAGCGAGAGAAATTGTTTAGAATAGATGCACACGTGCTGTCGTGGCATCTATGCAGAACAAGCTGGTTTAGGCATGGTATCTTCATCTTGTTATCGAGGCCCAGCGTCATCCATACACTGAACGTGTTCGCAAGCGTTGAGATCGAGCGATACTGTGTATTCTCACTGAAACCTGCTTGCTCCTCCTGCATAACGCGTAGCAGTTGTGCTGTTGCTCCACCTACCACTCAATGGTATCCTCATGTTGCCAGAACTCACCCGTCTTGCCGCCAATGTCGTGCAAAGCCAGCAGAACTGGCGTCTGCGCTCCCTCGTCGACTGTCTTCCGGCCTCCACCTCTTGTCATATCCGTCTTGACATAGCCGGGACAACAAGCATTAACAAGTACATCCCTTCCCTTCTTCTTCTCTTCCGCAGCAATCACCTTCGTGAAAGCAATCTCCCCCGCCTTCGACACAGCATACGCAGCCGACGGGAATCCATCCTCTTTCTCCCGGCCCTCATCAACCGATTTTTGGAATCGTTGCATTAGAGCAGTAACATCTGGCACCCCAGATTTACTCGCATCCACAAACGCTTGTCGCACTTCCTCCGAGTACTTATTCAATTTCCCCGCCATACTGCACACATTCACCAATCTCCCTCCCTCTCTAAGCAACGGCAAGAAATCCTGCGTAGCTTCTAGCGAGCCGTAGTAATTCGTCTGCAGCGTCTCTTTCACTACATTGCCGTCGAAGCCTTGTAGCGCAATCCCCGCATTGTTGATGACCATGTCGATGCCTTTGGGGTGTTCTTTGTGCAGGTAATCGCGGAAGTCTTGGACGCTTTTGGTTTGGCTGATGTCGAGAGGGTGGTAGGAGATGGTTGTTTGTCCGCCATCTTGTTCGAGGACTTTGGCGTTTTTGAGTTGGGGGTCGTTTTGGAGTTCTTTTACTGCGGCGGCGCCTCGTTCTGCTGAGCGGGCTGTTAGGTAGATTAGGAAGGGACCTGATCGGAGGGGTGATTTGGGGTATTGGAGGGCGAGTTGGCGGACTGTATCGAGTTAGTACTTCTTCGACAGGTCTGGGCTGGATGGATGATGCCGCGTACCAATTGCCAGGCCAATGCCCTTGTTGGCGCCCGTCACAGCGGCCACACGTGAGGAGACTGCCATGTTGAAGATGGTGTGTGGTCGTAAGTCATCTTGAGCGTTGATATTGATGATGATTGATTCATGCGTCGTTCAAAAGATGTCAACGTCAGAGACACGCGATGATCGACTGGCCCCTGCCCATTGATGAGATGTCTTGGCAGATTGGGACCTGCCGCCTGCACGATGACGAGGGGTGCGTACCACCACGCCAATTCCCTGCTATTCCGCCAAACAGACCTGCTTAAGCTACTCGCATTGGCTGGTCCAGCTGTAGCGGCGACCCTACTGTGCTATCATCGATTCTGATATTCCTTTTCTTCCCTCTAGAATCCGCACTTGGATGTCTGAAGACGCTGCCGGCGACAAGCTGGGACCGCTCGAGAACAACAGTGTCAGCTCAGTTGCTCAGCCTTTCAAGAAGCGGTCCACCTTTCCACGATCTATCAGCGAGCTGGTGACCAACCAGCTAGTTCCAGGCAACATGGCCAAGAGTCAGGCGCTCAATACCAACATGGGCGTGGACTTCATTATCAGCTATCGCTTCGAACCTTCAGGTGCGAAGCCCATAGTCAAAGTCATTGGCAGCTTCAAGCTAACAAACACGTAGAGAAATCCAAAGCTGCCGCTGGTTTCGAGAAGCTATGCGAGAAGCTCTCTGCGGTTGGCTTGGCCACTGAGGCCCGCAATGGAGATAAGAACTCTGTCTTGCTATTTGTGCAAGTTGCCAGTGAGGACCACATGTTCGCAGAAGTGTATCGAAGCAGAGTCAAGGACTGGATCCATGGCGTGCAAACTGGCGAGCCCCCACAAGACGTGCGAGCATCTCTGGAACAGAATCCGCTGGCCGAAGCTGAACGTCAACGCATTGTCTACCAAATGATCACCAATCCAGAGGATGAAGGCGGTGCTGGCATTAGGGTGAAGTCGACTGAGTGGGAGAATGTCGAGAGCATATTTGCTCTGCACGACCACACGTTCAACAAGCACTGGCTCAAGAAGTGGGCAACTCAGTGGGCCATTTCTTCCGAGGACCTGGACGACATTCGCAATCGCTTTGGCGAGAAGGTCGCCTTCTACTTTGCCTTCGAGCAAACCTACTTCAACTTCCTACTGTTTCCGACAGGATTCGGTGTCTTCGCATACTTCTTCTTGGGCTCGTTCAGCGCCTTCTATGCCATCGTCCTGTGCCTCTGGTCGATTGTCTTCGTGGAGTGGTGGCGACACCAGGAGCAAGATCTCTCAATAAGATGGGGGGTTCGCGGAGTGAGCAGCATTGAGAGCAAGCGCCACGAGTTTCAGCCTTCAAAAGAGGTCGAGGACCCTGCTACAGGAGAGCTCGTGAAGATCTTCCCATGGGACGAGCGACTGAAGCGTCAAGCATTGCAGCTGCCATTCGCCATCCTCGCAGTATTGGTCCTTGGTAGTCTCATCATCCTCTGCTTTGCGATTGAGATCTTTATCGGCGAGATCTACGACGGTCCAGGAAAGTCCATCTTGACCTTCACGCCGACAGTTATTCTGACGACCTGCTTGCCTCTGCTTACTGGGGCACTCACCAATGCTGCAAAGAGATTGAACGACTTTGAGAATTACGAGACTGACACTGCCAATGGCCGAGCGCTCACTGCGAAGCTGTTCATTCTGGACTTCATCACTTCATACATGGGTATTATCCTCACAGCTTTTGTGTACGTACCGTTTGGTAGCGTGCTCGTCCCGTATCTGGATGTATTCAGTAGAATGTTCGCAACTGAAGCAGCACGAGCAAAGACTACCAAAGGAGGACACTATACGATCAATCCCGACCGACTTCGCAAGCAAACGATCTACTTCGCGGTGACTGCTTCGATTGTCAACTTCGCCATGGAAGTTGTCGTGCCATACGTCAAGAGGCAAGGTGGTCTCAAGTTCAAGGAGATCAAAGCGAGTCGCACCGGCACTGGGCTCGAGCAGTCTGACGCAGTTGCCGATGCGCCGCAGGAAGAGAAGGAATTCTTGGACCGCGTACGCAGCGAGGCCGAATTGCCCACATACGATGTCTATACCGATCTGCGAGAGATGATCATCCAATTTGGATACCTGTCACTGTTCTCAGTCGTCTGGCCACTTGTCCCTGCTAGTTACCTGGTCAACAACTGGTTCGAGCTGCGCGCAGATGCTGTCAAGATTTGCGTCGAGATGCAACGACCTACGCCGTGGCGTGCTGACACCATCGGACCATGGCTCGACGCTTTGAGCTTCTTGACCTGGCTCGGCAGCATCACGATGGCTGCGTTGACGTACATGTTCTCCAACGACGGAGTCGGTCCGGATGGCAGACCACACGATATCAAAGGCTGGGGTCTGTTGCTTTCCATCTTCTTCAGCGAGCACCTGTACCTGTTTGTGCACGCTTTGGTCCGGAGTGCAATCCAGAAGATAGACTCCCCTGGTCGCCAAAAGATGCGACGAGATCGTTACTTGACACGACAACAGCTCGTCCAGGATAGCCTTGCGAAACTGCCAAAGGTCCCGAATATTAGCGACAATGACACACCCATCACACGGGAGTCTCTGGAGGAAGATGCAAGGAGGGCCAGCCTCAAGGCCGCAACACCAATCGAGAGATTCTGGTCACGACAGCGTGGCTGGCGCGAGTCGGCGAAGATGGGCAAGGTGTTCATCGAGAAGTATCAAGACGAGGCTGCAGCTGCAGACCAAAAGAAGGAGCTCTAAGCCGTTCTACGAACGCACTGACGCTTGGGAAACAGGACACGCAACCTGAGAATTGTTACTAAGACATGGGCAGCGTAGCGTTCTGGGTGACTTCGACCTCACATATGCGCTTCTCTTTTACACCACCTACAAAATCTCTCGTCCGAGGCAGAAATTCCGCTCAATGCTTCATTACTGGTGCCGTGATGAAAGTTCAGCTATTCTCTTGCATGTGGTCGGAGTATGCTTAAGACGCCTGGGCGCCACAATATTGTAGCGTCGCGGGGAAGAAGTGGGCGATCGCACTCTTCTATCGCATGCCACGTGCAACTCGTATATCGATATCTTTATCTCACCAAGTGAAGACTGATGTGCAATCCTTTATTGCGGTGCCTGACGATCTCTGCTTCCATAATCTTTTGTCCGACCAACACTTCTCGGATGAGATACTCACTAAAGGTGGTATATTGGGGTTTTTCCTCGAATGCAAGTAGGTAGTGGCACGGCGCCATGCATGCTCAAAGAGGAATGATGTGTCGACAGACTTCCTAACTATAGCCAAGAATGCCAAAGGTCAGAAGAACTCATGCAGGTGCATCACGACACCTATCTCCAAACGTGTGGTATATCGCAGATCACTCCAGCCTCGGCTCGTGGAAGATCATGGACACAGCAGCCCTAGCCTAGCTGCACAGAGCCTCCTGAGGTATTGGGCGAATCAAACTTGGTCAGCACGGCTAGTTGGACTGCACTCCACAAACTATCGAAGTCTCATTGCACTTTAGCTGGTTGCTTCAATGTTGATCAGACGGGAAGTAGAAGGTGAGAAGATGGGCTGATACGGCATCAACCGTGAGACTAGATGTGTCTCCTCCTAGTTCCATGAAACTGACCGCGGAGGAAGACAGAGGAAATATGATATTTGTGCGCTGAGCGAGATATATAAAAGCGTTCGCTCAGCGCTGTAGAGAATCTCACCGCCAGCAACATCAACAAGCATATTACTCTCATCGACAGTATTCAAACATATCAAATCTCGAACCAATAATCTTCGCCTACACAGCAACAATGAAGTTCACCCTTACCATCCTCGCCCTCGCCGCCTCAGTGCTGGCCCAACAAGAACTCGGCGGCGGCATCGACGGAAACGCTGGTCCATTCTCCGGTACCGCAGGAGGAGCCATCAACGGCCCAACAGGTTTCGTGCAAGGCTGTATCGGAGGTGGAGCTGGCCCAGATGCTGGTCGAACAGAATGCTTCCCTGTTGAGACTGCGCCTGCTGCGACTTCGGTATGTTGTCACAAATAACTGGAAGGTGTTGAAGGTGTTGTGTGTATGGTAGTTGCTGACGTTCTGTTTCACTGTAGACTCGAACTCAACCAGGTGGCAAGGCTGCAGGTACTGCTGGTCCTGCTTCGGGATTTTTGGATTCTGAGGGACTTTGTGCTGGTGCGGCGTACTCGACTAATGGATTTACATTTTGCTTGCAGCCAACTGGATCTTCGTAGAAGAGCTGTCAAGGAGGGCAGAAGGGAGATTTTGTGCTTTGTAGAGTAGCATTATGCTTCAATGGAATGATATGAAATCTTGTTCTACGTTCCCGATACGCTTTGCCTTGTCTTTGGTATACTTCCTTTCTTTCCTACAGCGTATCATCTATCGCCGCGGGCGGCAATTGCCCATACGACACCAGACCAGGTTGGTTCGAGCCGGTCGAAGACCCAATCTCCATCTAGCGTGACATATGCCGCCCTTGGAGTGAGTGAGTCGTCCCGCGGCTCCATTGCTTCGTTCACATAGCAGCTTGTCCATCCACATGAGCCCATAGAAAGGCCATCGTCAATTGAATCCATCATCAGTTGCAGTCAACCTCATTCATCTGTCCATCTTCACAGCAGGTCCATCATCCCCATGCACGCCATCTTGTCGCCCACGAAAGTGACGCCGTAGAGCTCCCCAATACCGCCCAAGATGGCCACGTGCTCAAATGGGATCGAGAACTCCATGGTACCGTGAGTCCACACCTCGTCGCCCTTCGCCTTGTAAGCATGGGTCTTGGTTTCGCCCAGGGCAATGCCGCGGTTGTGACCGTATGGGGGCAAGGTCTGTTGATAAAAATGATTAATCAGCTGGCCTGTAACAAAACATGACATGTGCAGCCTGAGCTTACCTTTCCAAAAGCCTTCTTCATTGGCGTCAAAAGTGACTGCACTTCCTTCTCCAGATGATAGATTTGCTCGAGATTGAGCTCCTTGAACTCGACCAGAATCCGCACAATGCTCGAGTCCGGTCGGACAAATGGTGCAAAGTAGATCTGACCAGAAGCAGACTTGGCCACAGCATACTCGTCGTATTCGGCGAAGATGTGCTTGTTGCGGTATTCTTGGAAAGTCTGAGAAGAGGCACTCGAGTCCTCGGGAGTTTCGATTAGGGTCAAGGTGCCATTCGTGCGGCGGCACACAAGCATCTTCTTTCCCTGGATGACAGAATCGGAGCGAGCAGCCTCTGCATGAGATTCGAGGGGATTGGTGCTCTTGACATTGTGTACGTTGACGACCTTCGTCGACGCGGTGGTTGGAACCTGTGCAATCTGCTGATGAGACGCTGGGGGCTGTCGAACGACATTGGCATGGAAAGCACGAGCCGCTGCGCGGATGATGCCCATGGAGCGCGACATGATGTGTATGTGTGTTTGGTGATTCTTGTCCTGTGTTGGTGATCGAAGAAAGCCGAGCAGTAGTCGTGTGGTCGTGTGAGTTGAAGAAAGACAGAGCGAGCTTATATGCAGGAGGCGCACCCAAGAAGTGAATGAGTTCGTTTGTCAGCTGCAGCACCATGGCTTCACTTTTCACATGTTACATCGCGGCTTCTCGATAGAGCATTGTTGGCAGTGAAGCGCGTTGTGGCGATGCTTTAAATGTCGATGCCAGAAATGTCTCACTTCGTGTGACCACGATATCCTTTTGGTAATCAAGATCGTAGCCAATGGGTGCCATAAAGCCATAGGCCATCAGTACATTTTGGCACCAGATGATGCGCGTTGTCAAAGCAATCGTGATCGAAAATTTTCAGTTTGCTCAGTCGACATGGCCGAGTGTCATCCTGTGGACCTCGATAGGCTCCTTGATCGTCACTATAGAACCAGTGCCACTCCGCTCCATACCATCGTTGCTGGTCTCGACTGCTACGTGCAGTACATACGTATCAAGATGAGCAGCGGATAGTGCTCTTCTAGATGTCTTCTGACGCTGGGAAGCGACCACAGGAATAATACAGTTCTTTCATTGAAAACGAATAGCTACTCCGAAAGAGCTCTCAGCACCGCGCCTCGCCATGCATAGAATGCAATCCACTGCAAACAACGAATCCTCTCGCTCCGAACGCCATGCTAGACGACAGGTACAATCAAGCCAATATACAACACAAGGTACGAAAGTCGCGCTTTCAAGCGCACGCTAGCCTCCTCAATGCATCATCATCTTCTTTTTCTTGTTTTCCAACTGATCTATTGCGCGTTGCAAGATTCGCGCGGCCTTCAGGACCTGATCCTGCGCGAGCTTCCAGTCACCTGCGTCTAACGCATCTCTGACAGCGGGAAAGTAGGCCTCATCGTATCCACTCCAGGCCTGGGGCCCAAACACTACATGCTTGAATTGTTCTCGACCTGGTACGCCGTGTTGTTCTTCGTCTTTGGAGGATCTGGAGATATCGAGCAAATCTGTCTCGAATTTCGATAGCGCATCGTTGTACTCCAGCCTTCGCATGGCATAGTTGGTGCTTTCCAGTCCACCCGTTCCAAGAACATTTGTCGTCCAGATGTCCTCGAATTTGTGGAACTCGTCCGCGACTTCTTTCAGATGCTGCGCAGCTTGCTTGAGAGGAGTGATGTCGAGTTGGGTGCCATCTCGCTTACCTCCCAACTTCTTGATCTGGGAAGCCGCGTACTGCTGTAAATTGTCAAGATACGGCCCTCCCAGCGCATCAGCGTAGCTCTTCAGATCAAAGGGAACGATTGGCCGATCAGCCACTTCCAAAATGAGCAACGCCCAGATCTGAGCGAGTGTTCGATGCCAGCCGAATTCAGGATCGCCGAACTTCTTCATCCAGTCGAATGTTTCGTAGCATGAGTGGTATGGGTAGCCGTAGGTCGCGCCCTCGAACCCAAAGTCGATTGAAGACGTGCCAGCCATGTCTTGAAACGCAACATAATCGCTTCCCGCCCCAAGACCTTCGAGCTTCGACTGTCTGTCGTCCCAGATCTGCCGTATCGTGGCTTGGCCATCTGGTGTGCCTACTCGATCTAGCACATGGAGAAGACTCCTTTGCCAGACGGGAGAACCTGCAGCTCGAAAGACCGGATCCGGGCCGTACACTCCAACATCGACATTCAGATATGCCACAGCGTTGTCTCGAAGTGCATCCATATTGTCTTCCACATACTCGGTACTGCCTACCAGATTGTACTCCTCGGCGTCCCAGCTGACGAACTCGATGGTACGCAAAGGCCGCCATCCCAGCTTTCGCAGAGCACCAAAGATTCGCACTATCTCCATCAAGACCGCACTACCACTGCCAGGATCCACAGAGCCGAAGCACCAGCTGTCGCGATGGTTGCCAACGATGATCTTTTTCTCCGGCTGTTCTAGACCTTCAATCGTGCCATGTAGGTTCCAGATCTGCTGTTTGTCGTTCTCATCGTTGTGGTTCTTGAGATTCACAACAGGGGCATCGGCAGACGCAGATGTGGCAGCTCCAGAGAACCACTCCTTGGTGAAGCCCTGATCTCCTCCTACCCATTCCTTCGGCACTCGAACGCCATGTCCAGATAAGGATTCGATCAGGACTTTCGCATCTCGCCAAGCTAGAGGTAATGAGGGGATGTTTACTAGTCCTGGATTATTCTCGTGGCTGTGCTGTTTGGCGTCCAATGTGCTCGCAAAGCCAGGTGTGAGAGGATCGCCCGCAACCCAGCTCATCAAGCTGACACCTCCCCTCTGCAAGCTGTCCTCCGGTCTCCAAGGTCCATCTGGCCAGACCGGTCCTCTCGCTGACCCATCATCTGCAGGATCTGAGTAGATCAAAGCCCCGACACATCCAGCCTCTTCCGCAGCCTTGACCTTAAGCGCCCGATCTCCTTGCGTGCTGTAATACCGCATCAGCGCGATACTGCCGTTCAGCGAGACTCCTTGCTCTCGAAGCCACGCAAAATCTTCCCTGTTGCCTCCATTTGCGTAGATCAGATGCCCTTGTGCCAGGCCATTCTTGCTGTGGCCATGCCACGCCCACGTTTGTTGCTTGACCGGATCTGCTCTTTCTTCTTCCAATTTGGCCTTCCACCTTTTCCCTTTCGGCTCTACGATCTCGACGCTCCTCCCATCTTGTGTTGGATAGTTGAGATAGACATAGTAGCTCTTGAGACTCAGGTCGTCCAAATACCCCTCTTCCCTCCACTTCTCCTTCATCCACTCTGCCATGTAAAGATCTCCTTCTGTTCCCGCTACGTGATCGTAGCCCGTGATGTGGTATAGGTATTCCTCTATTCGCCCAGCGTCCACATTGTCCTGCACATATGCGCGTACGGATTCCGGATCGAAGCGAGTGCCCAGATATCGTCCTCCATTGGGGAAGATGTCCAGTATGAAGAGAACGTAAATTAGGATTGCAATAGACATGAGGCCGCATAGTCGTGCTGCAGTTGCTGCGCCCATGCGATATTGATCGGGAATGGAAGGAAGTGGTCGGTAGAGCCAGGCCATTCGTTGGGGAGGCTCAGCTGGGGTGTCATTTTCGTTGCTGTTGTCGCGATCCTCGTCCGGCGGTGATTGTACAGGGGAATATAATGATCGAAAGGAAGGTAATCGAATGGAAGAGAGTGTTGCGCCCAGGTTGGACAAGTGTTGTGTGAATTTGTTTCGTAATCGAGCGCGATGGTACAAGCCAGCTCTCCGGGAGTCTGGATCTGGTGTCGAAGGGTCGAGGTAGTCGAGCTCTTCCACTCTCCGTCGTTCATCGTCATCGTCGCCGTTCACTTCGGGTAGTCGAAGGTCGCTGTCCTCGCTCGATCGTGGCGACTCTGCCGTAGGGGGTCGATATGTGCTCGTTCGGCCATCTTGACCTAGTAATCCTTCTCGCTCTGCTTCTCGGATGTTTTGGGACGAACTGGGGCGGTTGATGGCGTCTTCGTAAGAGGGAATGGGCACGTGTGCGTAGCGGGCGTATTTGTCGTCGTCGTCCTCCATGGCTCACGAGATCAACGGCGCTCAGGGCCGGTCGACTGCGGTGGGTGTTTGGCTGTCTGGCGCTACCTCGTTGTTCCCATTGCGCCCAGTATTCCAGTGCATTCAAGCCCTGTCGTTTGCTTCATGCAATTGTGCAGATGCGCCTCCAAACTCCTTGCCAATCCTCCGATGAACACGAGTCGTCAGCCTTCCGTCTCGGCGGCCTTGGGTGAACCGAGCATGCCGAGATCCGGCTGCCACTAAACGAGCACTTTCCTTATCTAACGCTGTTCAACTCGATTTTCCCTCCACGAACAATGCTATGAATCTATGATACAACACATGGACCTGCGGTAGACGGTCGCTATCAGCCGCAGACAGCCCACCCCCAGTGCTAGGAGATGTCAACCGCTGCGAGCATTAGACACTGCCAGAGCAGGTTCAACTCAAACACTGCAAGCTGATGATAGAGATGATCTCCTACTAACCAGAGTCACACGCCAGCAACAGTTGATAAGATACTGAGGTAGTCCAGGACCTCCTCACTCACCACTCCTGGAGTATGGCGGCCTCGCCTGATGAGGCGTTTGGCGCTGCATATGGTGGCGCTCACAGCCTCACCTCGACCCTGCGCCTTTCTGCGTGCATATGTTCTGCACCGCATCTTCGCGCTGATGTTACATAGCTGATACTGAGCTACCAATATTGTGGACACAGTACTGTGCAGCTGAGCAGGACCTGACATGCGCCTTATCAATACAACAAGCCTGCAATTCCGCGACTTCCTAGGTTCTGAGATACCCAAATACGCAATCCTGTCACACGTCTGGTCGGACAGTGAAGTTTCTTACGAAGAATTTACTGCCGGGCGCAAACAGGACGGGTATGGCTACCAGAAGATTGCCAAAACATGCGATTTTGCCCGAGAGACATACAAATTGGAATGGGCCTGGGTCGACACCTGCTGCATCGACAAGCGCTCATCCGCCGAGCTGTCCGAAGCGATCAACTCCATGTTTGCATGGTATTCGAACTCTGCTGTCTGCTTAGTCTTCCTTCCGGATGTGCACGAGCTGCCTGAGCACGAACCAAACCATGTGGTGCAGCTAAAAGATCACTACAAGCCATCACCGACTCGAAAATCCTCCTTCGAGGATGTCAGAGACACATTCATGCGCTTGAAAGTTCACACTGACGAAGCCTCGTTCGTAAGATCCGGAGAGCTCGTACCATTCGCCGTTGAGGAGTTCCTTGCCAGCAAATGGTTCACTCGAGGCTGGACATTGCAAGAGCTTATCGCGCCCTATGCCATCGACTTCTACAACACATCTTTCCAAAGAATAGGCAATTGCAATAAGAGCACTTCTGTAAATCCGCAGTCGCGCGAGATCAAAGGCCTATCTCTACACTTATTAGTGCAAGAAGCAACACGTATCTCGCTCGAGAACCTATTGGTCGGCCGGCGTACTCTCCCGTGTATAGCGCAGCGCATGAGCTGGGCTTCGAAAAGAACCACAACGCGACCTGAAGATATGGCATACTGCCTGCTCGGCCTGTTCGGCGTGAACATGCCTCTGCTCTACGGCGAAGGCGGCGAAAAGGCTTTCGAGAGACTGCAACTAGAGATACTCAGTCGAGGCACAGATCAATCCCTCTTCATGTGGAAGCCCGACGCCAGCCAGTACTATCGTCAAGAAAACTTCTTCCGGCACAATGGGTTCTCTCTTCTCGCCTCCGGCCCTGCTGCGTTCGAGGGTTGCACCGAAGCAGTATTAGAGAATGCGCAAAACACCCGCGGCACTCACGTGCTTGCTCAATCAGTCTTCACGCGTACACAGAGAGGTCTTGAAACCAAAATCGTCTTGCCGCAAGGTTTCTCACCGCGTCCAGGACCTACTTTTTGGCTCCTTTACCCCCTACGCTGCAAACTCAGCGCGACAAGCTTGTCATCGTACCTTGCCATCTACGTTGGAGTTCGCCATGAAGCCAGCAAGGTCAATTATGCGGACGGAGCATTACACGCTCGTGGCGCCGTCCTGTTACAATGCGATGCTCGAGAAGAACGAAAGACCATTCAATATGTGCTCCGAGATCCGGAATTCAACGTTGAATCTCTGGTTGCGATGGCACGATCTGATCGGAGCCTGGAAGACGTGCTTTCTCCTTACCATAAGACTTGGAACTCTCTGCGTAATTTGATGGATTTGGAGCGACCGAAATTCAAATTGTATTTTCCACCCGATGCTGAAATGGGAGAATATTTACCGAACACATAACCAGGAAGAATAGAGCTGGAATTGTTGAGTTTGTGTCATGAGCTGACAAACGGGGAGGAACGCCACCAGCTTCCAGGGATGATCGCAATTGGAAATATCAATTGCTGCGCCTATTGACAATCTCTGCTTGCATCTGGTCTCTGGCAGCTCTCATTTACACGTCCCGTGTGGTAAGGAATCTAGCGAACGTTCACGGCAACGAATACCTCCACGTCCCATACCAGTAGGCTTACTGAGAAGCCTGATCGGCCGATGTGTCAAGATCAGTGGCTACTTGTACCTAGCAGTAAGTACAGGTTCAAGTGCTGATCAATGAAGGACGGACATCGATGTTATCCTCGTTCCGCGTTATGATTTTGTTATTTGTACAGGAGGTGGAAAATCGTCTCTGACGTCTATGCTGTACATTTCTGGGCTGGGAAAGGGTTCAATTCTCCTCCTGAAACTTGACAGATGCTGCCTCGACAACGTAACAAGACGCGTCTTCGAGAGTGCGGGTGAGAGCACCATGCTCATCACACCGATATGTCGCCCCAAACCTCGGCCCCGGATATTGTGTACAATGGGCGAAACAAATGCTCTCACTTCTTCGTCGCGGCTGCTTGACCAGAGCTCGCTTGTGCTTTTGCCTTTTGGAACGCCTGCGACGCAGCACTTGCCACACCTTTACCATTGCCATTCCCAGTCGCAGGTGTTCCAGGTGGTCTCGGCGTCTTATGAGTTCCCTCAGCATTCGCTTTGTTCGAAGTGCCTGCTGGGCCGACTTCTTTCCACGGGAATCTCAACTCATCGTCCTTCCTCATGAAATGCTTTCTCCTCTTTTTTGTCACAGCATGCTCCACCATCACTTCTCTTGCCATCTCGGCCATGAATTTGCGAATGAAACGTGGGTCCCAGAGTTCGGAAGCGATGCCGAGGTCTTTGCAGCAGCGCATCAGGGCGTTGGATTTGCAGCCTTCGGTCGCTGTGGGGATTCCATCGGGGTCGAAGTATTGTTGTTCGCCTCGGGCGATGGAGACGAGACTGTAGTGGTATGTCAGTATTGAAGCTAGGTCTGGTTCCATGTCTGTCCTACCGTCCTCCGCAGACGAGTCCGTATTCTCTCGTCACAACCTTAGCCGTGACAATGGTCTCTCCTCGTGGTGCTAGTCCCCATCCTCCAGGCCCGAAGGCTCTGTTCAGCTTCCTCCTGTACTTGATCTCGGGTAGATAGACGATGCCATCTGGCTTGATTTCGATGTCATCAAAGTCTATTGGCTCTTGCAGAATCGCGGCCTGCTCTGGGGTGAAAGGCGTAGATGACAGGCCATGGAATGAGCGTGTCCAATCGACCTGCTTCTCATTCTCGTTGAGCACCGGCGGTGGATCGTCCAGTCCGTCTGTCAGTGACCGCGCTGGCTCGGACTCGTCGCTCGGGGAGAGCTCGTGCTGCACTTTCGCAACATTGGCACCTGCATTCGCGGGAATCTTGGGCGCTGGCGCCACGGGATCTTGATGGCGCTTAGGGGTGGTGGAAAGACATCGCGTTCGCTGTGCGACTCTGCATATCCGAGGTGCAGCGAGCGATGGTGTTGATAGAGCGGAGGCGAATCTCGCACTCGCGCGGTGTGTTGTAGACATTATCGGAGGGAGCTGTGAAGATGACCTGGGATGCTCCGAAACATTGAAGTCACAGCACGCGGCTCATTCCCGCGGCCACGTGTGAGCACATTGCGAACGCGACAGCAGGCGACATTCTCGATTGCTCAGCTACATTTTATTGCTCTCCATCTCGAGCATCGAAGCAGGAGTACCGCGGAAACAACGCCGTCGTACAGAGTCGAATTCATTACTTCTACAGTACACTGAGTCGGCTTATCTACTCGGGTCCGACTGGGCGGTCAGTCCCAAGCAGTCGGCAGCGATGTACCCTCACGCATCCTTCTGATCGGTCCTGCCCTCATTGCCCTGTCTCTTCCAGCACTGCTTGAAGGCCTCCATCTGATTACCGAGGGTCAGTATGGCGTTTGATATGTCCGGACCGCAGTTCGGGTCGAATGGCCAGGAAAGCAAGGTAGCTGCCGAGCCCGGGCATTCGGACTCACCTCTCCTTTGCATGCTCTCCAATCCTTCTTCTCACGGAAACAGTCGTTCAGCGTCGCATTCTCGTCTGCCAATTGTCAGCGAGGCACTAGATCAGATCACGCGGTCACCGTCCGTATACCTGAGCAGCCAGTGCTGAAGATCCTCTTGTCCCTGCACCTCCGAGTCAATCGTGCACCTTCGGACTTGGCTGAACAACATCATACCACTCGTCGGGCTCCTCAGCGCCATCGGCCTGCCCTTCGGCGGTTTGCTGCTTCTCCGTGTTTGACATTCCGACTGTTTCTCCCGACGGACGTTCGATGACGAAGCAGAAGCACCAGTTCCAATTTCGCAAAGAGTGAAAGACATCACCAACTCCACACGTGACCACCAGGTCCTTGCCACTACCACCAACATGGCCTCGAAAAGGATCAATGTCTTGATCTACTCTGGGCCTAGCACATCGCTACCGTCAATACGGCACGCAACGTGGACCCTACGTCGTTTGCTCGGACCTAACTATGCTGTGCACACACTGTCAGCAGAGCAACTGCTCAAAGAGCCATGGCCGTCGACATGTGCGCTCCTCGTTATCCCCGGAGGTGCGGACATGGGCTACTGTCGCAGCCTCAATGGAGCTGGTAACCGACGCATTAAGGCCTATGTCCAAGGTGGTGGCAAATATATAGGACTTTGCGCCGGAGGCTACTACGGCAGCGCCAAATGCGAATTTGAACTTGGACGAAAAGGCTGGGAGGTGGACGGCGCCCGAGAGCTTGCCTTCTTTCCCGGCATCTGCAGAGGTCTGGCCTTTCCAGGCTTTGTATATGGCAGTGAGAAGGGTGCCAGGTCGGTGAAGGTGGCCACTGCACAAGGCACATTCAACTCATACTACAATGGTGGTGGCGTATTCGTCGATGCCGAAAGACTCGCGGACAGAGGTGTAGAAGTGCTTGCAGTATATGATGAGGAACTGGCAGTGGACAGCGGCGCAGTCAAAGCTGCCGCTGTCTATTGCAGAGCTGGAGAAGGAGCTGCTGTGCTCACAGGGCCGCATCCTGAGTAAGCATCAGTGTGTGTATGTTGATCAAATGTAATGCTGACAGACGGCCACAGATTCGCCGGCATCAACCTCAATCGGAATGAACCAACGAATCCCGACTATGGCAAAATCGTCGACGCGCTTCTTGCCACTGACTACCAACGAACAGAATTTCTCAAGACCTGCTTGAGCAAACTTGGGCTCGAAGTGAGCCAGGAAGCACAACCGGTACCGTCTCTCTCTCCTATCCACCTCACCTCCATGTACCCCGCCGAGATCGACGACCTCATCGTCTCATGGGTGAAGACTGGCCTGGTCACAAGTGAAGATGGCCAAGGTATCCTAAGAGGCGAGAATGACACATTCCGTTTCCCATACAATGTGATCTTTGGTACCGAAAAGCCGCCTGTCCTGCCAGAAGAGCCTTTCGACCCAGTAAAAGATGCAATCAGAACAAATGGCGCTTCGCACACAAGCAATGATGTTGGTAACCAGACTGACGGAGCTGAGGACAGGATTCCCGACTATAACGCCGTTGAGAAGATCCTCGTTGCGCATTCGCGTGGCTATCCTCATATCAAGACAACACCACACTTCCGGCATCTGGAATTCTACGAGTGGCTACTCAAGTACCGACAAAAGGATCGCAGTGGTATCATGGGTGACTTCGGCCGAGTGCTGCTCTACGGAGAGGTGGTCACATCTACACAGACTCTTCTCGAGAAGAATGTCACTATGCTCTCGCAGCTTCCCATCGGCACAACAGCTGTCGCAACGACACAAGTCTCCGGCCGAGGTAGAGGCACCAACGTCTGGGTATCTCCTCCAGGCAGCATGATGTTTAGCACTTCCTTCAAGCACCCTTTCTCCCTTTCCACGTCCGCACCGGTAGTCTTCGTACAATACGTCGCAGCCATGGCCATTGTCGCAGGAATCCAGAACTACGACCGAGGCTACGACAGACTACCCATCAAGCTCAAATGGCCCAACGACATCTACGCTTTAGCACCAAACACAACCAAATCTCCTAGCGATCCCACAGCATACGTCAAAATCGGTGGCATCCTCGTCAACTCCTCTTATTCCGGAGGTGACTACACCTTAATCGTCGGCATCGGCCTCAACCTCTCCAACGCTGCTCCCACAACCTCCATTAACGACCTCGCGCAAAAAGCAGGCTTACAACCCCTCAGCTACGAACGTCTTCTTGGTTCTGTCCTCACCAATTTCGAATCCCTCTATGCTCGATTCTGCCAATTAGGTTTCAATCAGAATTTCGAGAAGTTGTACTATGAGCAATGGTTACATAGTGGACAAGTCGTCACACTGGAAACTGAAGGTGGTGCGAGAGCGAGGATTAAAGGTATTACGAGTGATTGGGGGTTGTTGGTTGCGGAGGAGCTAGGAGAGAATGATCGAAGGACGGGGAGGATGTTTGAGTTGCAGAGTGATAGTAATAGTTTTGATTTCTTTCGGGGGTTGTTGAAGAAGAAGGTCTGATCAAGAGAGTGATGGGCGATGTGCTGAAGAGCTAGATCTGTATATGGAATCATGGATGATGAGATATGAAAGTTACCTTTCTGTCTGAGCCGTGTCTGGACAGGACATGATGCCTCCTTCCCCAGGCCCTTCGAGAAAGCTGCTTCCGGGTTCGGAATAGTTGCCCGACCACGATGTTCAATCAACTTACAGGTGCCTCCGGCACGTCGCATTTGGAGGTACATATTTTACAATCAAGCATTTTCGGGTATTCCCGTCACTCCTGTCGGAGTGATTCGGTCCAAATCAATTTGGCCGGGTGGTACGTTTGATCGCATCAATCTCCATCCAAACTCTCGCTAATCATGAGTAGGCCTAATGGTAAGGGTATGTCAAATGTCCAACAAATCCACCGCCGACGAATGCGAATTGACAACCTCTGTAGCGTTGCTTTCCGGTTTGTGGAACTGGCAAAGATTGTGGGTTCGAGTCCCATCTCGGGTTTGTCCAACCAATCCTTCGGTGTTCGACTTAAGCTAATATGGATTGCAGTCGCTGTTGTACAAGCTTCATTTTTTTTGGCCTACACGATGGACTCTTTCTCCATCGAAGTATGCTTGGGCCGAAGTGAACAAGTGATGGTCCTCACTGGTCTTGCGTCTTGTTCCGCTCTTTTTGATGCTGCAAAGAGAGATCGTAATCGCGAGAAGAGCATAGGAAATTGTTCAATATCAACGACTTATAAGAAATTTGGCGGTGATATGATGAACTGCAGCAGGAGACGTTGAGCAGGGTGCGAATTTTAGCAAGAGTTCTGCGCTCACGCATGTGCCTATATGACACCATCCTCTCAGTGATGCTTGACCGATCCTGTGATTGGAATCATCTACACGAGTTTTCGAATGCGACTCTCAACTCATGGAGCAACCTCCGCCGAACTGGTAACACAAAGTAATTATGCGGAACCTTCTCAACAGCTCATCGGCGAATCAACGAATGTGAAACGCATCAACAAGTTCATCTGTTTCATGAAGATAACGGCTACACTCTTCTGAGACACGTTCTGATCTCTTCGGATTGTAGACTTCAATATGCCATTTCTTCGCGCTTGAACCTTTCCGCAAAGCGAAGCTGAAGGCTACACAAGACAGTCAACCTCCAACACAGCCTTGTGACAGCCATAGTGTGCCCTACCGCACAGTGGCGACCATGCCGTCGCCACGCCGATAGTATTCCTACAATACTCGTACGAATGACCACCAAGCCACCATCCATCCACGGCCCGGAACGACCAGGCAACGACCTCCCGAACCAGTCTTCAGTGTCACAAAAACGTCTTCCCCAGCTCAACAGTCAATGCAGGGCAATCAAAAGGCTTCCACGGTAGAACAAAAATGCAACGCATCAACCACAATTCTGCTGCCTCGTTTCGACCCTTAAATTGATTGCAAGTAAAAAACGAAAGCTCGGGATATTGTGATAGAGAGACATACATGGTGGCTAATAGGCGCGAGGAGAAAGAATAGAAACAGCGAGGTTTTTTCGTTTGACTTACCACTGTACGATCGTTGTCTCGCTATGCGAAGGCAGAAACAGAAACAGAAACAGAAACAATGGTTCTTTTCGGGAGCAGTCCGATGTCTCCGAGACATTTTATTGTGGCTGCGACTTTCTCGTGACTTGTTACCTCGACTTTAGCTCGCTCGCTGCTTTGCGCGGTGTATTAGGCCACAGCGCGTTTCGAAGGAGCCAGGCGGCAGAGTCGTGTTCAGGATGGCCATACATAGCAGCCTTCGGGAGAGTTCTCGGACTGTTGGCAGCAGCAGTGGTAATACGTAGCTTGGTTCCTTCGTGGGATGACCGGCCGGTTGATGATCAGAGAGCGAATGGGAATAGCAGTGCGAGCAGATCCGGAGTGCGAGGGTCCTGGGCGTAGGATCTGGTCTGCTGGTGGTGTGAGTGGCCGTTTCTCACATGCGGCGCATCACAAACGCCGCAGACGTTCAATCAGGTGCTGCTACCTGCTAGTTTTACTGGTTTCTCGCTCGCCTCATCTCTTCCGCAGCGCTCGTTGCTCTACGGTAGGTCCTAGTGAATGCAAGACAGGAGGTTGCCGAAAGGGTAGCCACGTGTCACAGCCAATCTCGCGCGCCGATATGCGGGATTCGTTTGGGTGGGCTGGTGGCAGGTGGCCGAGTCACAGCTGCGGCAACGGGAAACGAACACATCACAGTTCGCGGCATTTTCTGTGATGGAGGGGAGGGGTCGAGTGGGCGCGCGTGGATGGATGGATGGCAAAGGCCGTGCGGATAGCAGCGGCGAGGAGGAGTGTGAGTCTGTCATCAGATCAGGCGTGCGCGATGAGTGTACTCCACGGAGGTACACGGCTATATTTGGCGTAGTAAATCGGATGCGTAACCAACACGAGCTTAGAACACGCAGAGGCAGGCCCGACAGGCCGAAGGTGAGCGCGGCGGTCGTTTTGGAGTGGTGTGGAAATGGAAATGGTACCGGTAAGTGAGCTGGCAACGCTGGGACTGTTGGACTGGGTAGATATCCGGAACAAGTCACACACAGCACGGTGGGACCAGGAGGCAGGTGAGTGAGTGCGGTGAGCGGCAGGCCGCCTTCCAGGCATCATGGCATGGCGAACGTCCAAGCAAAGCAAAGCAAAATGGTGAGCTCATGCGGGCAAAACAATGGGACGACAGAGGTACCCGCACGTTGCGCCGCGTTCCGGCAGCAGGCTGTGGCCGGACCAGACCAGCGCTGGCACTCGCACTCGCACTGGCACTCTGGCTGCCACGGCTGTGCGAGGCGGGCGGCGATGACGGGGCCAGCACACAAGCAAAAAAGCGAAGTGCGCGCGGATCACAGGAGGTGTGTTGAGAGCGAGTGTGTCATGACGAGATGGACACGCCTGCTTGGCATACGGAGCGCGCAAAGGCTGTGTGCAGAAATGGCAGCGCGAAAGTGGTCGGCGGAGAAGGGCCAGGCGAGGCAGCGCGCGCTCAGCCAACCGGGCTCGACGAACGCGAGAGCCGCGTGCTGGGAGAGAGCTGCGCGAGCGTGCAGGGCCGGGTTTGGCGAGACGGCGAGACGACTGCGAGCCGGTCTGACACGATGCGCCAGGCAGAGTTTTCCCGTCGCCTGTCGCTGTGTTGTGACGCTGGCCGCAGTGAATGAATGAATGCGTGTCTGCGGCCGCCTTGCACCCACCGCTCGTGCCTCATCTCAGCAGGCGAATTGTTCGTTGAGCACAGGGCTGCCGCATCGGCCGCGCGAGAGATTGTCATCATTATTGCCCGCCCAGCACGGTGGAGCATCGAAGTCATTACGAGGCCAGTTCCCAATATCGAGACCACCACTTCTGGCACTTCTGGCACAGCAGGGGCCGCCGCCGCTTCTGATTCGCCCGCCAGCCGAAAGTCATCGCGCAACCGTGGGAAAGGTCATCCCAATCTCCTCGCTCGTCTCTGTCGTTGTCGCTGGATCCCTTTCGGCCTTCACTCCCATCTCCCCATCTCCCTCTTGTCCCTCCCGCACCGCACCACGCTGCCGGCAACAGTGTGCGCGTGAAAGAGTCGAAGCCACCGCGCTTTTGGACCTGCTGCACTTTTGGAGCGTTTCCGGCCACTTGCTCTCTCCGTTTCGCGCTGCGACTCCGCCACGTCAAAGCCTTCCTGAGCAAACGCCGAGCCATCCTACGACCAGCGAGAACGACAAACGCGCACTACCACCGCCGCCGTCCATCTCGCCGCCTGACTGTGCCTGCCGCAGCGCGGTCAGTACCAGAACGGCCTCGAAGTCGCCCGCGCACCTGCCGTCACCGACTTCCGCGTTTGGTCTCAGTGCGCGCCGTCACCTACGCACTCTTTCACCACCACAACAACACCACCAGGGCAGAACTATTCACTTAGCTTCGTCCCTCACTACGCTCATCACTTAATACCCACTTGCCGCGAGCATCGCTCGTCACCGCCACCTCGACTTCCGCACGACCGACACTGCAAACGAAACAACTGCCGGAAGTTGCGACCCTGAGACACGACCTGTGAAACACCGAGCACTCACTCGCAGCCTCGACAGATTCCATCAAGACATTTGTTGATTGCTGAAATCGCATGGTACGAGGCCAGTAAACTTGCACCGCTCGAGCAGGTGCCTGGTCTTTGTCGGTGCGCTTGAAGAGAGACCGGTGCGTCACGGATTCCTTCAGCGTGGTGGAGTTTTTTGGCTGACATACATACAGGTTGCACTCACGCACCGCGTCTCCGCTTCCGCCTCTGCAACTGCAATCATGCCAGGCTACTATCAGCGGCCCATGGCCGGTCAACAGCCACTGACACCGCCCGACTCTGATTCCGGCTATGGATACAGCCACATGCACTACGGTCAAGACCTGTATTCACAAGCACAGAGCCAGTGTCGGCAGGACAGTACGTACGACTACCAGCCACAGAGTTACATGCAGCCAGCAGTCGCCCCAGCGCCACCGACATATCAGTACCAACCGCCGAGCTACCAGAACTCCACAAGTTTGCCGCCGATTTCGAACTTCTACGATCCCGTGGCCGCGCCGATTCTACCACCCTTGAGGATTCACGATCGTCTGTCCTTCACCGACGACTATCATCAGCGACTCCAGCAAGAAGAGCAGTCCCAGCGCGCGCGCGAGCAGCAACGACAAGCAGCCAAGGACGAAAAGGCCACCGGCGGAGTGTCAGCGCATCTCGATTACGAGATGGACAGTATGACGGATTTTGTGACACAGGCTGTGACCTCCATGTATGCCTACCACCAATCCCCCATCAGCTTGGCTGATATTGACATGACTCGAAGCTTTCAACTTCGGCAGCCCATCTCACCACAGTTTCGCAAGTGGGTGCACCAGGTGCTCTCGGCGACACGTCTGCCCGCAGCTACGATTCTTCTCAGCTTGTACTACCTCAACGACCGCATGATCAGATTCGCAAAGACCATTGTCCCCGGCGACAACGAAATCTACCGACTTCTCGCGGTTGCACTCATTCTCGGCAGCAAGTTTCTGGATGACAACACCTTCATCAACCGATCTTGGTCCGATGTGACTGCTATCAAGGTTACCGAACTCAACAAGCTGGAAGCCTACTGGCTCGAGTTGTTGGGATGGCATTTGCACATTGACCCATCCGTTGGAAGCGTCAATGGCAACAGCTTCAAGTCGTGGTCTCAGGCATGGGAGTCACACAAGGCTAAAATGATTGCCAAGCAGATGCCTGCACGCCTGTCACCGCTTGACACGAACCTGCATCGCCATTCTCACACCAGCGCGAGCCACGATCGGTACTCCCCGTACCCATCGCCTTACACCACTGCCTCGACTCGGTCATTTGAGCAGCCTCAGCCACTGTCTGCGACCCTGTCCGCGCGCTCCTCGCAGTTCTCTACACCGTACAGCTCAGCTGACCCGTGGGCCTCAAGCACACGAAAGGTTGATGACTACTACAAGTCAACTTCCCGGTATGATGCCTATGCTGCTGAGGTCGAAGAAGCGAACCGTCGTGCTGCGTCCGAGGAACGTGCTCGCTACCAGTACGCTTCGAATGCGCACCAGTCCTACTATCAGACGCCACCCTACATCTCTGGTTGGGATACTGGCTCATGGAATAATCACCGCTATGACTGCGGCTGTCAGACCTGTGTCTACCAGCAACACTATCGGAATTATCCAATGAGCTCGACGTACGCGCCGCAGCCAGTCATGGGCTGATGTTGCGGCGAATTGTCGTAACATGGATACGATATATCCAAAACCATCGCGCAAATATGCGCTTCCTTCTGGAGCCTTTCTTGCAGCGTTCTCGCCCTCATCAAAAGTTCGACTCCACCGAATCCGACCACGTCGGAAGATCATGCCGCGTTCTTCCTGCATAAAGTTTTAGTACTCTGGGCTCTGTTTCAACGATATGATTTATGCGACGACCATCACCGTTGGCTTGATTGGTTGGTCGCAGTTCACATTCACGCATTATTGCATGCATGCATGGTCCTTCACGTCTGGGAACCGACGGCCTCAATACCTTCGCGCCAAGGTCACCATACATCATGTCTACTCGCCCCCGGCATTACGAGTAGACTCTTGCTTTCGTTCTTCGGCGGTCGATGTTTTTCCCTCACGGATTGTTTTTTTCTGTTACGTAGCATGGGCATCGGATTTGGGGGAGGAAAGACAATTCATGGGGTCCTCATTGTCACTATTATTCGAACCACAGCACGGCGTTTTACAAAAAGGGGAACTGGGATTAAAAGGGTCTGGGGGAATTCGACATGGGGGAAAGATTTTACCGCGAGCGAAAATGCGTTGTTTGCTGCTTTTTTTTTATGACGTCCTGAATGCACATGGGTTTTGTGGGAAGAGAAGATTGAGAAACAAGACAAAACAGCGAATGCATCTCGAGGACTGCGATGGATAGAAGGAGGGATCCGCATCGCTGCTTTGCTCTCTTCTTTTCCGCTGTTATCCACACGCAGAGAAGTGCGTTGTCTTTTTTGCATTTCCATTGCGCTGCTGCTAAAAGATACCACTTTTTTCGTTTTCGCATCAGGGACATGGAGATACAATTTTATTCACGATCGCTTTTTTGAGGACTTTGAGGAAATGCTTTGCTTTGGAGCCGCTTGGGAGAGAGAGAACTGAGAGAGAGAGAGAGGAGATACCCCCCACGCGAAGTCATTGACATCAACAACAACACGAAAGAAACTACAACAACAACAACAATAAAATTTTGGCAAGGATAGAGGCAAAAATACTAGGAACTTCTTGATTTTTGATTTTTTATGCAAAAAAAGAAGTGGACTGACTGGCCTTTTGAGATACATATCTCTTTGAATGATATATGTTTTTGGGCTGGGAGCTTTTTGGTTCTCATTTGGATGCAACTTGGATGCCTATTTCTACTGCTATACGCTTCGATTTCGTTCTCCGGTTGGGTGATAGATTGGTGGGTCGCGGGGCCGATGATTGTGGTGGGTATCGGGAGTGTTGGTGCGAGGTGTGATGAGGTGAGGTGAGATCTGACGCGGGTTCATGGTTCGTTTGCTGTGTGGATGTGAAGTGAAGTGAAGGGAAGGAGGAAGGAAGGCTGCAATTGACGTGGGCGAGTAAGATTTGGTCTGCAGCTCTGGTTTCCTGTTTGGGTGAACAGTTGCCGCGAGAGGTCTTGACTTCACTTCATCTACGCGAATGCGAAGGCAAAGGCGATGACTTGGCGGCTGGGTCTTTGACCGGAGTGAGAAAGCACCGCAGGTGAACTTGTCTAACGGCAAACGCCATCGCGTTCCAGAGCTGTTTGAGAACACATCAGTATATTCGCGAGAAGTGGTCCGCTTCCCTACCAACGGCTTCTAGAAAGCCTGTTGGATCTCATCAAGTGAGCTGAGATCTAAGGCAGTGCATACAGCAAATGGAGTCCAGAGCTATGTCGCCTGTTGCGCGAGACGGCCACTGCATCGTCCTGGGCATATGACAGCTCGAGGCCGTTTTGTGGAAGATCGGTTGAGGAGCGCTCGATATGTCTGAAGACCATTGCCAAGAAAGATACATTCTGCAAATGATCTCTTCACTGGCGTCCGCATTGAGATGTGCATTCTCTTCTCAAGCAAGGTAAGACATGTGCTCGCAGTATTCCGGTCTATAGCATGAAGCCCGTTGACCGCAAACACAGCATTGCCTTGAATGAGCTGAACATGATCTTCGCCTCTGACCCGGTCTTCCTGCATGGCCTGGCGCAGAGAATTAGCAATGATGGCCAGAAGGCATTGGACTTGGCGATCCTGGTGCGACCATCGAGACAGCGTCGGAAGGATCATCTTGAGATCATGCTGCCCTCAAAGGCACCGTCTCGTTCATGACCTCACGATTCGTAGCAGATCTGCGCAGTCTGTACTTCTGCAGTTGCATAGCCGTTTACCAGAAGTCTGGACTCTTCACTTCTCTGCCGCCCAAATCCTCATTGAACAACTGCTACTGGGGCGTTCAACACAATTCTGTGGACTGTGGCAGGTCACCTGCTCGCAGCCTCCAGAGTACACAGCGCGGCTCCGAGTGACGAGTTCAAATTGTCCAATGGCGTGATAGTTAGCACTTGTTCTAGTTCGAAATGCAGCGGTCTCCCGGTGGCTGCACCCTGCACATGCAAGGCCAGTCTTCAGGGCGGCGTTATTGGCAGCTTGGTATAGCCAGGTCTCTGGGCCGTGTCGCGTGGGTGCAAGGCTTAGTGAATATGTAGACGTCTGTGTGTAAGAGCACGCGACATATATCGACAAAGTGACTGTCGGGCGACAACCATCAGTGCAGGTGTCATTTTCCATGCCTCAAAGTCGTGTGGTGTTGACTGCGGGAGGCCGCACTGACCTCGTGCCCATCAACCGCGGCTCTTCTCATTTCCTCGTTCTTGCCACCAACATCCTTCGCTACACCTCTTCCACGCCATCACGGATTGATGATAGACCAGGCCTGAGAGCCTCACTAACACCCGCCGCATGGCCCACAATCACATGGCATTAGCGCTGGCGCGAATCATAACACAAGCGATCGAGACGGCGGCGCAAGGTGCGGTTGCATTGAACACAAACCACAGCCCACGAAATCCTGCGAAAACCGCTCTTGACCAATTGCCTACATTCATTTCAGCTGAATGCCACGGAAGCCATGCGAACGAAGCTCGCGATTAAAGTTCTTATCGACTTGCTTGCGGTCACTCCGATGCCACCTAAGAGAGCTTCTTATGCATGCCGAGCATTCCAGGTGGGGTTGCGAAAAGATGAGTGCCGTCGACATGTTTGGCAATTCAACACGAGGACACACATGCCTCTCTGAATAATAGCCTCTATAGCAGTTACTAACGAAGATAGGCTATCTAACAAGACCCATATAGGCACAGGTTTCATCACGTACAAGCATCCCCACAGCCGATTCTTCTCCAACGCAGCTCCTCCACCTCATGTTAGCTTCCTTGGCGCGTTCAGCCCAGTCTGCCATCTCGAGGGTCCGGGCCAAGGCGTCGAGGCCAGGGTATACGCCACTCGAGATGTCTTGCACATCGCAAGCTCGCTAGTCTAGCTTCTTTGCGAAGCTGGCCGGTTGCAGCGCCGTCTTATCAACGCATACGCGGTTGAACATGATGTAGTTAAAGACGTAGGGGTCGCCAGACCACTGTCGATCAATTTGTGAGAGTATTCTTAACGAGCAAACATCTCTTCTGCTTACGCATGGTACGCTAGGACTGCTGGTCCTCGTTATTGCACCATGTCTGCTTTCAAGAACCTCGCTCAGAGGTCGCCCTTCAAGCGAACTGATACGGGCGGTGTCGAGAAGTCTGATATCAAGGATGTCACTGGTGTCACAGAACTTCCGACTTACGACAATGGCGATGCCGAACGTCGCGGCTCCGTCGCTTCGTACAATATCAGCGGTATTCACGACGACACGCACCGAAAGCTCAAGCCTCGACACATTCAGCTGATTGGTATTGGTGGCACAATCGGTACTGCGCTTTATGTCCAGATTGGCAGGGGTCTGTTGAATGGCGGGCCTGCCAGTCTGTTCATTGCCTTCACTTTCTGGTGAGAAAAATGTTAGCAGCATACGTTTCGAGAGAACAGCACGCTAATGATTGATCAGGTGCTCCGTCGTCCTTGCTGTCACTCTCTGTCTGGCCGAAATGGTGACTTATCTCCCGATCTCCTCACCCTTCATTCGTTTCGCTGGTCGCTACGTGGACGAGGCCTTCGGGTTCGCTGCTGGCTGGAACTTCTTCGTTTTCGAGGCAATCCTGGTACCTTTCGAGATCACAGCATGCGATGTGATTATCCACTATTGGTCGACAGCACTTCCAACATGGGCCTTGGTTTTGATCATTATTATCCTGTACGGCCTCATCAACCTGGTCAACGTCAAATGGTATGGCGAAGTCGAATTCTGGGCTGCCCTTGGCAAAGTGCTTCTCATCATCGGCCTGATCATTTTCACCTTCATCGTCATGTTGGGAGGCAATCCACTTGGCGACAGGTTTGGTTTCCGATACTGGAACAATCCTGGCTCGTTCAAGCCACTCTACACTGAGATCGTGGGTCAATCGAATCTGGCATACTTTCTCGGATTTCTGCAATGCCTCATCCAGGCGTCCTTCGTCATTGCTGGGCCAGACTACGTGTCAATGTCGGCCGGAGAGGCCGAGAATCCACGAAAGGTTATGCCAAAGGCTTATAATGCTGTCTTCTACCGCTTGACCACCTTCTTCTGTCTCGGAGCTCTCTGTGTCGGAATTCTGGTGCCTTACGATGATGAAGAGCTTACTGCTGCCTTCTCAAGCGGTCTTCCTGGTGCTGCAGCCTCGCCATACGTTGTGGCTATGAACCGCTTGAGAATCGGAGTCTTGCCACACATCGTCAACGCGCTTGTCTTGGCCTCCGCCTTCTCCGCTGGTAACTCATACATGTATTGCGCTTCGCGTAGTCTCTTCGGTTTGGCCCTCGAAGGCAAGGCACCAAAGCTCTTCACCAGAACCAACCGCGTGGGTGTACCTTACAACTGCGTCATTGCAGTCCTCTTGATCTGTCTTCTGGCCTTCCTGTCTGTCAGTTCCGGCTCCGCCAAAGTCCTCAACTGGTTCGTCAGCTTGATCACCGCCTCGCAATTGATCAACTTCGCTTTCATGTGCTTCACGTTCTTGATGTGGTACCGAGCACTCAAGGCGCAAGGCATCGATCGTAGAAGTCTGCCATACAGATCCATCGGTCAACCATACGTCGCCATCTACGGACTCGCCTGGACTGCAGTCATGTCCATCGTTGGTGGCTACACTGTGTTCCTGCCAGGGTACTGGGATGTGTCCACCTTTATTTTCAGCTACTTCATGGTCTTCCTCACTCCAGTGCTCTTTGTATTCTGGAAGGTCATCAAGAGGACCAAGTGGTACAAGCCTGAAGAGGTTGATCTCAAGGGTGAAGTTGCCGAAATTGAGGAGGTAAGTCTTGTCCCTAATTTCAGTCTCCTCTGCACATGATGCTGATTTGCCTTCTAGTACACCCGCAACTTCGTGCAGCAGCCATACAAGAACATTGGCGACAAGTGGTTCAATAAGATGTTCGGCGGATAGAGATCGCTGCCTTTGAAGCAACGATGTAACGAAGTGGGAAAACCTAACGTCTTTACGAACGATACCCAGTCATACAAAGCAATGAAATACAAATGAAGCAGTCTCTCATTCTCCTTCTTGACGTGAAGTCTGAGCACGAGGCTGAGTGGCGTACCGCAAGGCTGTAGCAACTGCACGTGGAGAACAGCAATGACCTGATGAGCTCTGGCATTTCCCGTGGGGCACACCACAAAGCTAGCAGCCTGCAATGTCTGACTCATGATTGGCTCCATGTCCAATTTCCCATCTCTCGCTGAAACCTCGCAGTCTCAAACACACAACGTCCATTCTTGACTCTGCTTCTGCAGTGCATATGCAATGGCCGAGTTACGCAATCCCAGCACTTCTGTACACGATCCAGCACTAGATACCAAAATTGAAGATCTTCCACCTGGAATCAGATACGTTGCAACGGGCGCCATATTTCGCGAAGATATATCCTCAACATCAACAGCATCAACAAATTCTGGTCCTCAAACGGCGGTACCAGCCCCAGCCCCACAACTCCTCACCGTCAAGCGCGCAGCCGACGAAAAAGCCTTCCCAGACCATTGGGAACTACCAGGCGGCAAAGTCGATCCCGGAGAAACCATCCGTGAAGGCCTAATACGAGAGATCTTCGAAGAAACCGGTCTGCATGTAGTAGAAGTCGTTGGCAAACTTGCTGAAACGCCTTGGACGAGTCAGAGAGGTCAATCATGGCTGCAATACTCGTATGTCGTAAGAGTGCAGCAGCCAGCGGAGGTACGATTGGATCCTGTTGAGCATGCGGAATGGCGGTGGAGTTTTGAAGAGGAGCTTGAGGAGTTGCTTCGACTGCCGAATCAGAAGAGGTTGATGGCTGAGGCGTTTAAGTTTGAGAATGAGCGTTTGAGGCGGAGGTTGGATCGGTTATGATGGTCTTTTGGTTTGGGGACTGAGTAGGATCAGAATTTATGCAACAGTGAACGTGGTTCATGATTCTGGTTCAGCTTCTGCGTTTTGGCGCGCGAGGTCGAGGAGCATTTCCAGCACGCCCTGGGTGTGTGCGGAGAATGGGAAGTGCTCTTCTCCTTCCAAGCAGACCACGTTGGAAGGTTGAATGCTCCAGTTATCGCTTGTAACGGCACGCCCTTTTTCTCGTGGTTCTTGCATGTAGTACTCGAATGGTTGGTAGTGTTTGAAGTTATCGGATTCGTCTTTCGTCTAAAGAACCCAGATTGTTAGCATGCATTTTGGACATCAATTGTATAATCGCTTGTCTCGTTTTACTTGGAACTGCAAGAAACGAGAAACGGAGACATACCTTGCTGAGACCACCATTGAACCAGAGTGGCAAGCCTTCGCGATCAAAATGCAAGAGTTGTGCGGAACAGATTGCCTCTGATGCCCTTTTTGTGGCTACAGTCGTGTTGAGTGTGCCCATTGTTCCAACGACGCTGTCATGGAACGAGTATCCCAAGTCACCCGCCAGCTCCCAGCTGAGCCAGAAAGTCTCCTTGTCGCCGTAGACCATCTCGTAGACACCCTTCTTGCCTTGATCTTTGTTGCCGTCTCGGTCTGGGCCATTCATTCTTGTGGTCAAAAGCAGAGAAACGAAATGCTTCCATTTGTCGATTACTAGCACTCCAGAGTCTTGCTGATGTCCGCTTTCGCCTGTCCACATTCGACTCTTCTTGACATGGTCTGATATTGGGCTTGGCAGAATCGACTTGAGCCAGCCTCGCTTTTTCTCTGGGTTCAGGTTTCTGTCCTTGAAAAATAGCGCTCCCGTGCTCGTATATTGCTCGTCGTCGAACATCGTTTCGGGGTTGACAAGGAAAAGTGCGTCGGCGTCGATGAAAAGGACTTCGCGGAAGGAGGACATGAGAATTGCGAAGGGCTTCATTGCCCACCCTGTGTCTCGTTAGCAAGATGCAGAAATCAGCTGAAACTATTCTGCGCCGTACCTTTCAGTGCCCAACCTTCATCATTCACCATTTGGCTCAAGTCTCTGGTCAAGACTCCTGGCAAAGCTTCCAGGGCATCTCTGTAGTCTTCGCTCAAATCCTCGTCTCCAAGATAGAGAATCTCAATTGGCAATTCACATCCAAGTTTCCGGAACGAGGGAATGCTTGTCAAGAGATAAGGAGCCTGGCCGTCGCCTGCCGTGAGGACTATGCCCTTACCTCCACTGTAGAAGCTCGCATGTAGCGACATATGGTCAGCATAGAATGCCATTGTCCACGGGAACAGACGCGCAGCAAGTTTGTTGATATAGGCCCGGAATCTGTCATAGCTGTGTACCGCCTCAGCGAAGTTCTCGGAGGGGCGCTTTGCTGCGCGCAATTGTGGGATGATGTCTCTTTGAGACAGCGTAGGCCCATCGATGACGAAATGTAGTGCTTCCCATGCTGCCAAAGCTTCTCTGAACGCCCTTGTTCTGAAAGCTAGATCTCGGAGAAGTGCTTCTCCAGTTGCTGTGAGAGGCGACAAGATCCCTTTTGTGCGGACTTCGTCTGGATATAAGGATTTGAGCTTCAGAACAGCTTCCTCGATGTTAATATTTGGTTTCTTTTGGACAATTGGAGTTTGGTGGGAGGGAGCATGTTTCGCGATTGCTGGCTTCTCGGGTTCTCGGATATCTGCAGCTGGTGGCTCATAGCGTGTGTCCTGCGGGGAGTATTCTGGGACATCTGGTGCCTCTCGAACTTGCTGTTTCCTGATGCTGTTTTTGAGAGGGGAAGGAGTGGCTTCGACAACCGAGGGAAAGAAAAATACACCCAGTAAAGATAACAGAAGCGTGCCAGCGATAACACGACACATGACGACCCGCCTCTTGTGTCGGGACCAGTATGGGAGCTGGATCATCACGGTGAAAAGACGGGCTCGCGCGCGGCGTGAAGGCGAAGGACAAGAAAGAAAGGAAACTGCTACTCACCACGCACTAAGAAAGGCTACATTGCTCTTCAGTACCAGGAGACTCGTGAGAGTACGGCGCACACTGCAAGGCTGAACCAAAGGACCCTCTCCAGACCGTGCGAGGCCATTGGGGGCGTTTTGTGGCTTGCTGCACGCCAGAAGTTTGTATGCTAATCCGAAACCGACGAGACCCCTGCAAACCGTGCACAATTCTAGCCGTCGAAGCGACCGCACGCTTCCGGTTCTGTGGCTGCACCATCGATGTGCTTTCCGGATCATCATGAGATGAGCGACTTGGCGAACCATCGAAAGGAGCGTTGGAATGAGCCTGCACGTGCTGATCTATCGCCATCTCAAAGAGGGAAGAGGACGAGACACCCACCAGTCGGAGTGGAGGTCCTGCTCACGCACTCTCCTTTTGCGGAACGCTGGCCTCCCGGAGCTGATGCCTTTCTCTACAGCATCGGTGACGTTACCTGGGCAGTGTACGCGCCGCCGACTCGATCTTCACATGCTGGCAAAGGTCAGGAAAGTTCTTGCGCTGACAGCAGCCTAACCTCAAGTCAGTTCTGCTAGCAAATCCAGACGACGACCTGAATCGTGTACTCTGTCCGAATCCAGTGTTCCAGAAGGACCAGCACAATATCTCGTCGACTTTGCTTCTTAGTCGTCACCATCATGGAAGCAACGCGAAGTGGAAGAACTGTCATCATCAACACGAATAGAAATCTTGATCTTCCCAACCGTGCCGCTGCTCATTATAACAATACTCAGGAGGCACGCTAGTGGCTGCACACTATCCCTCTTCTGTCGACGCTTCTATACTAAAGGATTCACATTTTGCTTCGTTCAGAGCTCACAACGCGCAGCATGGACAACAATGATGAGACCTCCATGTCTTTTGCGTCCTCCCAGGTATCGACCGTTCTACACAAGTGCAACATGGCCTGGATGCATGTCATCTGGCGTGAAAGTGCTCCCTAATCACGATGGAACAGACATTCCCGCGGCGATTCTGCCATTCCTGTTGTAGTTCGTCATGCAAGCCACTCACTGCGTAGCCCCAACTCTGATTATACTAATGCTGAATCCTAGTACGCCTGCACCGATCGCGGTTTCCATAACACGGCTGTCCGAGTTCAAATATACTCGGTCACTCCGAGACCACTTTGACAGCCTTCTTGCACACTCCTTTGCGCGACTACACACACCGCAACCATGGTCCACTTGACAGCATCACTCGTTTTCCTCCTCGGCGCCCTCCAATCTGTGAGCGGCAGTGCAATCGCTGATCCTAACTACGGCAACAAGGGTGGTGTCTGCAAGTCGTCTCAGTACTCTAAGTATGCTGAGCTGGCCTACTATGAGCCAGCGAAGCAATACTGCAAGAAGCAATACCCTGCAACGGTCACCGTAACTGCCAAAGGCTATGGTCATCGCCAACCAAGGACTGCACTCCCAGAGCCGGGTTACGAGAAACCGGCTGGGTACCCGGCGAAGCCAACCAAATGTAACAAGGGCCGCAGGGAATGCCTCTTGTCTTCTGTCAAGAATGGACCAAAGACTGCTGCGAAGACTGTGTGCTCTTGCTACGTGCCACAGAAGACGGTGACAAAGACTGTGTACCCACCGAAATACTATACAAAGACGACGACGAAGTGCACTACTCCGTATGTTACTCACCGGCATGCACAGCTTAAGTGATTATAGACTGACCAATTTCCATCAGAAGCACTACAAAATCGACAACTAGGAGCACTACTAAGTCCACAACTACCAAATCGGAGACTACCACTACTGAGACAACTGTAAGTATCGCCTGATTCGACTTTGGGATCGGACTGGCAACGACACTTTGGACCCAGGCTAATGATTTGCAGACCTCGACCACTACGCCAGTGACCGTATGAGTAATGGACACTAGACAGCTAGATGGATGCTAATGTTTCCAGACGTCGAGCACAACGATATCGGATACCACGAGCACTACCTCAGACAGCACGACTACCAGCGATAGCACGACTACCAACGGAAGCACGACTAGCGACAGCACGACTAGCACTCAAACTTCAACGAGTACTTCTGAAAGCACGACTAGCAGCACAACTAGCAGCGATACTACAACTTCGACAACTACTTCGGACAGCACGACAACAACATCCGTGAGACACGACGAATACTATCTAACTCCATATTTTGATACTGATTGTTCTAGACTACGTCTACCACCGATACTACAACAACTACCTCGGACAGCACAACAACAACATCCGTGAGATCTGATTGATACTATCTGACCCCATGTTTTGATACTGATTGTTCTAGACCACGACTACAACTGAACCTACTACTACAGTAAGAGATGATTGAATTCGCTGACTGCATGAAGCAACACTAAGCATGTTAGACAACGACTACAACTCCACCTACTACCACAACAACCTCCACAACGACTACTGTAAGTTTTAGCAGCGATCGTCTTCATGGAAAGAGCATGCTGACTAACTGATTAGACCACTTCCACCACTACTGTAAGCTCTCCCCCACTGCCCACGTAGCACAGCACATGCTTCTCGTCCTCTCATCTATAAATGCCTCGGGGAATTCGATCACTCCCGGAAAGTCCGGCCTCGCTCTCGTGAACCCAGCTAACGATCCCATCGACCACCACCCAACCCCCCATCGGGACTTGCGGAGCTCGCGGACAATTCGCCGCCCCAACCAAACTCCGCACCAGAAACGAAGGTTCTGTGCAAGCTTGCCAGAACTGGTGCATTGAAGTTCCAGATTGCGAGAACGTTCTCGTGCTTCCCAGAGATGATCTCGACGCATTTGGACCCAACGAATGTACTCAGGTTGCTGGAGAAGTTCAGAGAGTCGGTCCTGGTTCGCACCGTGTCTTCGCACGGCAGTGCTAGACTGTCTGGACAACCCAAGTCTTTGTGGGATCAACTGGTGATGGCAGGGACGGAGGAGGAGATTGTTAACGACGAGTATATAGCTGTAACATGGAAATGATTTGCAACATACGACACTGGATATGCTTCAAACACTCACAAAATATTATACAAAAAGCACACATGCTAATCTTCTTCTTCTTCTCTCTAGACCACGGTAAGATGAAACCACTCCATCCAACTCCAAATCTCAACAGGATCCACACACCTTCTGCTCTACCTCTTCAACGAAAGAGCACAATTCTGTCCCCCCTTCATCATTCCACGATCCTCCTTCTCTACTCCTTTTGTTGTTCGAACCCCAGCTAACCCGCAAACAGACCCGCCCCCCAATCATAACAACCTGCGGCCAAGCCGGAGCCTGGAGTGCTCCAACCACCATTGCCGTCACGAACAAACTCGGCGACGAATCATGCAAACTCGAATGCGATGGAACGGATGGCTGTGAAGGCGTCATGGTGAAGAACTTGGTGGAACCGCCGCTGCCTAACATCGTCGTGCCCGTGCAATGTACATTGTATCGAGGCGAGGTTACAGAACAGGGATTGGACGTCCAACGCATTTATGGTGAAGTTTGTTGGGCGCCGAAGGTTTGATAGGTGAAGGTGTATCAGAGGGTTGAAATGGGAGAGGGAGGAGATGCGGATTGTGATTCTTCGATTCTAAGGATGGCAAATTTTGATCATTGTCCCCGTCGAGGATCTTGTGCGGATTCGTTATATATAGCTGTATGGCAAAAGCACCAGAAAGGACCGAGTAATAACTGTGAGAGCAGACAGTCATCTTTGATATTCTACGAAGCTGTTGCTGTGCGTCCCCGGGCTGCTGTTGATACCTTCTATGCATGGTCGCCAGTCTTTCTCCACTAATGTCCAACACTCTTCTAGTGCGCATTCACGATCGGTAATGTTTTCACTTCGAATTAGCATGAGTCGCACTCTCGCTGCCTGGTAGCAAGATACCCAGCTTGAGATCTGCGCCACGTTTAGCCAAACCCTTCTCAACAAGCATTTCCCTCATTTTCGGATTCTATATTCAATCAACCCCTTCCTTCCTCTCACCCTTTCTTTCCCTTCCGCAGCCTCTTCCTCGCCGCCTTCACCTCGCTCCACTGCTCCTCAACAGTTCCGATAACATGAACCACGACTTCACCATTTTGAACAACGGCTTTTTGTGCCAGGTGAACTACGACACCGATCGTGAAGCCCGCGGCGCGATTATAGGTCATCGACCACGTACTCCTCGGACGCTTGATAACGAGTCGCTTGCTCGGCGGGTTCGTAATGAAGACCCTTTGCAGTGATGATACAGACGCAAGGGACTGAAGTTGAGCAGTCGTGGCATTCCAGGTTGGAATCCCAGGATATTTGAGCGTAAGAAAGTGGTCGAGGGACGGATGGATATTTCCTAGCGCATATAGCCTCGGAATATCACCATTTGGATCTCGCCATGGATATGGAAATACTGGAGGTCGTGAAAGCTGGAACGCCGTCGCAAAATCGGAGCTGACGATGTTCAATTCCGCATCGTCGTGTCGTGTCTGGCTCATAGCGAGCCATTCCCTTGGAGCTGAGGCGGCTAAAAAGCGACGTTCGTGGAGAACCGAAGAAGAGATTATCACATTATGCCATGTCTTGCAGATCCGGAGGAACCGAGCGAGATTTGTGGTTGTGAGATTCGCCAGAATAAGTTCGAGCAGTTCGACAGTGCTTGTCACGCGTGACGCTGCAGACAAAGGAGGTGTGGAGTCCATGTTAGATGTCGGCTGTGAAAGTGAAAGTGCGCTTCGTCCTAGTCACGAAGAGAATCAGAAGTGCGGTAGAGTTTAAGGCCACCCATTACCGTGATCATAGTTCGTGACTCACGTGACTCAACGCACGTCTCAATCTGGAGACTGTATGCATGCCACCTGGTGAGCCTGCGTCATTTTCGTGGAATACTTCTCGAAGTGCGGGCGGTTCGACCTCATGCAAAGCGAGTCCTACCAGATTCTTCGCCTTCTTTGTTGAAAATATGTCTGTTGTAGCGCGGGGCAAAGGCATTCTTGGCGACTGATTCGTAGTTATGCCTGAAGCATTCCAGCCATGTGGCTCAATTGTGATGCAGTATAGGCGCCATTGGAGAGCACGGTTGACTTATTGATGCCAGAGCGTCGTTGGGCGAGACTCTACTCCAGATAGATGGCGTAGCATATTTCAGAGCGTTCGGCTCCATTGGCGCCTTGTCTGCGGTGACCGAGTAGCTTGTTCTCGTGGGCGTGGGATGCCCGATGACCGTCTGTCCGTTGGTCGTGGCTGATGAGCATTGCGCGTACTCCGAGCTCAACAGACCAACGAGTGATGCTTGCCACACGCGGAGGATAACAAACCGCTGGCAGCAGTCGCAATTGACGTTGGCAATCAGCCGCGGAGGAAGTCGCGCATTTTCCGCTATGATGTTCACTCTTGACGGACTTGGCAGCCGAGGTGAGTGACGGACACATCAACTACCTGCGCTCTCCGTTTGTCGCGCGCGCTGTGTGCTGAGAGTGATGTGAGGACGGGCGTGGTGTCGACACGACCGATTGGCAGGAGAACAATGGTGAGACACGCGCGAAGCTGAAGCACGCCAAGCCTCGACACCCGACCAATCATGCTTCAGAAGACTCCGCCGCGCTCAAAATATCATACTCCACACTTCCATGGCTGAAGCGCTTCTGTCCTTACACAACAGCAGACACTGGACAACGAGAACCTCTGGTGCAGCGACCACGACAATCGAGCGTGTCTCCGCGTGGCTCGCTACCACGTATCGCTGTCGCCGCGGAAGACGCCCAGACCATTGCCTCGCCGAGAAGGTGATGATCCGCGTGCATAGCAAAGGGAACGATGCACCAGCTTCCACTACTGAAGCAGGCTCGAAACCAACGTCTTCAGGAGGAGCATTAGCAAGCAGATCGCATACCCAGTCTAGCCTGAGAGCAGCCTTCGCCACCGCTTCAAGAGCTGCAGTCCTGACAAAGTGCAACTTGAAACAGGACATCGGGCGCAGAGTCTGTTCCTGCAGTAGCCAAAAAAAATCCATCTGGGTGAGCCCAGCGCCACTTTTGCATCCCGAGCAGTCGGCTGGCCGTGATGCAGCCGCTTGTGCGAGCATGACACGCAGCACGTCCCTCGCGGCTGCAGCCTCGAAGGCGTCAAACATGGCGCTGAATCTGCCACACACGCGGATGCGAGCTTGATGGTGCTCCACGTGAGGCGTCCCAGACTAGGAAGAATGTCTTGGTCGCAAGGAGCCCATGTTTGAGCAGCATACAAAGGGAAGTTGTTCCAGCCCTCATACACCCTTCAGACTTCTCAGTATTCCGCTTCTCGTTCTTTGCACTGTTCAATCTTTCCTTCAGAGCGGGCTCACTCGTTACGCCGCTCTAGCTTCTCTTTCATAGATACTATTTGACCAAGCATCAGCATCTGCAACGCTTTGCTTCAAAAATGCATTTCCATTCTGCGGCATTCCTTGCTGCCGGCCTTTCAGTTCACCAAGTTATTGCCACAGGTGGCAAGTACGGAGGCGGATGGGGCGACCGCGCTTACTTTTCGACGCCTGATACCACTGACAACAAGTGTTCGACCAACCAGACCAATGGGTACGACTGGAAAGATCTCTCCACGGGATCTTTCAACAACTACGGCAGCAACAAGTTCTCTGGATGGACTTGTGCGAACTCGTTCGGAAAGCGCGATAGCTTGACGAAGAGGACTTTCCAGAGCAAGTGCATCACTGGAAAACTAGACGATGAACCAGCTGTCGATTGTGATGGCGATGACAAGATGTCCATCAAGACTTATCAAGTCTCCTCAGACCAAGATGACGATGTGGAACTTGAATGCCATTACACCATGCCTGACAACTCGGTGTGCAAAGAAGTTCATACCTGCGCTTCAACTGGATCCACTATCAAGAACACCCAATGTGGTGGAGCCAAGAAGGTGACATTCAGACCGTACGGCAAAAGCAAGGGCAAGGGCTGCAACATTGGCGTTCACAGCATCGAATTCGACTGTGAGACTGCCTCTGTGCCGCCAAGCTATTCTACGACGGCACCTGCCAGCAGCAACACCCAGCCTCCTTCCTACGGCACTACCAGCGCAGAGTCCTCTGCTGTGTCTACGTCAATTCCAAATTACGGCTCTTCGAGCTCGGAAACACCACCTCAATACTCGACTTCTGAAAGCGCATCTTCCTATCCAAGCTCTAGCACCCAAGGAGTACCTGGCTACCCTACGACCAGCAGTGTCGAGACCTCGCCTGTGAAGCCCTCTGCTCCAGTGTATTCCAATCCGCCCAGCTATGGAAATTCGTCAACCGTGAAGGTGCCTGGATATGGTTCAAGCTCAACCCAAACGACAGGATCACCTGTGGAAACGCCTCCCACCTACCCGCAGCCAGAATCGCCAGACGTTCTGCCAAAGTGCATCAACAGCTGGCTGCACTTGACTACCTGCAGTGGTAACACCGACTACGAATGCTTCTGCAAGAACAGCGACTTTGTCGGCAAGGTCTACAGCTGTGTCAGCGCTTGGTCTGACAGCGATGATGACACCAACTCTGGTGCTGGTTACTTCATGGGTCTCTGCGCAAAGTATGTTCCGGAGAATCCTGCAATCATCACAGGCTGCCCGTCGACCATCACCCCCGCAACAGGATACCACACTCCGACTTCTACTCCAGACTCCCCAGTCTCTGAACAGCCACCTTCGTCCTCAGGCAAGACCGTCACAGAGTACAGCACCATCGTAGCAACAATCACAAGCTGTGGTCCAGATGTCAAAGACTGCCCAGCAGCCTCAACACACCTCCAGACTTCCACGCAACCTGTGGCTACTTCAGTCGAGACCAGTCCCGAGACAACAGGAGACAGTAAACCACCACCAGCAGTCCCTTGCACAACAATCACCTACTCCTCCGAACTCGTCATCCCAGCAACCTACTCCACCGGCGAATCCCAAGGCGCCACAATCCCATCCAGCAGCTGCACAACCCAATACGTCACAACCGTAACCGTCCCTCAAGTCCAGATTACAACTTACACAGTCACCGAAAGCGGCAGCACCCACGATGTACCAGGTCTAGGCTACGAGACTCCACCTCCTGCTCCCTCTTCTACAGATGCTTCTCCTGTTGGATCTACCTCTGCACCTGCTCCACCTGCATCGTACCCGATTGCCACGGCATCTGGCCCAGCGCCGAGCGTGCCGGTATACGGTGGCGGTAGTATCGGAACGACATATATCCCTACTCAACCAACGGGACATATTCCCCAGCCATATACTGGTGCTGCAGGACAGAAGGTTGCAAGTGGGCCTTTCCTTTTGAGTATTATTCTGGTTGCTTTGGCGGAAGTTTTGATTTAAATGAATGAGGTGAATGTGTTTCATGTACATGTAGAAAATGAAGACATGGGCCACTTGCACCGATTTATGGAAAACGGGAATGCTTTGTAATGAGACAATGTATGGCGATGAAGACAACAGGATCATCGACAGGAAAAGGCATCGGCGGGAACCGAAAGACATGGCGCGTTTGTACTTGTTTCTAGAGATGGCGAAAATGTTGTAGATGGATAATGAATGGCATACGTGGAATGATATTCGTTCGCGCGACGCAATGACAATGACTTGGACATGGACTCATGCGCAGTCAATCTCGTCACATTAATCATTATCTCATCGCCATCTTGCCACCGACGAAATCAGTCAAGACAATCCTCTCATGAGAATAAACAATTTATCTTCTATGCAATAGCGCTAATATCGCCAGACCCCAGAATTTCCAAAGATTCATCGGCTATTGAGAATCACCACCACCACCACCAGCAGCAGCAGCAGCAGGAACAACAAAAGCGCTAATTTGAATACAAGCGCCGAGATCACTCTCAAAATCCTCCCCATCGCCAAGGAAGTACGTATTCCCTAGCCCGCAAGACAAAGGATTAACAACAAACGACGGAATCGGCTCCGTCTCCCCATCATCAGGCTCGGGAATAATTTGACGTTTCCGTCTTCTGCTTTCCCGAAGTTGAGGCACCTCTCCCGGGCTACTCCCGCAAGAAATCTCGCATGTGTTGTCATCGTTTCCGTTATCAAGCATCTCACAAAACACCGCGCTCGACCCCTCTGGGAACGTTGTGCCATCTGAATCGAAACCCGCAAAGCTGAGTTGTTGCGGGTTGTTGCCTTGGGTGTTGCTGATGAAAGCTTGCAGTGTTTGGCCCTCGGAGAATAGATTGCCATTGTCGTTGAGGGAGAACGTGGTGGGGCCGAGTTCAGCTGGAGAAATGAATTCGATGGTGCTGACGGTTTCGCCGCTGCCTACGACGGCTCGGAGGCCTTCTACAGCGCCAATGTTGTCTGGATTGGGGGGAGTAGCTGGTTGAGGGTTGCCGAGTACGATGTTGAAGGCTCCTGTTGGGAGAACAGGGCGGCCGGAGGTCACAGTGGTGCTATCGGTCTTGGTAGTTTTGATCTCCTGTGAACTTGAATTAGCGCAGGTGCTGTTTCTACGATCGGGAACAACTGACAGTCTCAGTGGTGGTCGTGGGCGGAGCAGTGGTAATGGTCTTCTCGGTAACGGTGGGAGTCTCCGTGACAGTGCTCTTGTTAACCTGTTACAAGGTCAGCAAGGTTCGATCGACTCTCAGCAAATCGGTCTTACAGTAGTAGTGGACGTAATTTTCTTGGTCGTGGTAAAAGTGCTGAACACAGTAGTTGCACTTGGCTTTACATCGACACATTTGCAGGCCGAGCTGATAGCTTTCTTGCCCTTGTAGGCACTGAAGCATTTCGGTTTGGGCACACTATATGAGGGAGGATAGCTGCGACGGCGGAGCTCCGGAAGTAATGAAGGCGCAGAGCAGGTGGGTTTAACTGTCACAGTGGATGTTGTGTCGGTCTCAATGACAGTTTTTCGCGTCCTAGAGCATCAATGTGAGTAATACTAGCGCCAATGGGAGCGTGTCAAGGCTTACACTGTGGACGTCGAGGTCTCGGTCACCTTGACAGTTGTTGGGGCAACAGTAATGGTCTTCGTGCCCTTCGTTCTGGTGGTAGAGTAGGAGCTCGTCCTAACGATGTTTGGTCAGTCGCGCTCGAGAAGCAATTTTAGATTTTTTGTTGCGTCTGGTGTGCTGACGGTCGCGCCTGAGTACGTACACTGTCCGCCCCTTGTATATGGTGGTTGTTGTCTTTGGCACCTTCATGTAAGAGCTGCAATAAGACGAGGCGCTTTTCTTACATTCTTTGCCAGGGCAGTCATAAGTACCGGCATCGGCAACAGTGCTGAGCCCGACCAGAAGGGCGAGAGAGGAGAAGACACGCATGATGGTGGCGGTCCTGAGGCAGGGACTGGAAGTAGTGTAGGGCGTAAAAGCCCAAATCCGTGAGGCGTCACGCACAAGTTGGTATGAGTGTCGGGTGAAGAAATGGTATGGACGACGTTGCCACCAAGCTTGTCTATGTATGTGGCTGCATTCTATCGTTTGTTGGCGTGACATGGGGCCTAGAAGGCGCCTGGTTCGAGCTCAGCATCACGCAGTCTCGTTTCGGTAAAAGCTTCGCGATTGCAGCGTGAACAGATGGGCCAAGGCCGTAAAAGACCTGAGGCGTGCATGGTGTGCGCTAGAGCCGCGTCTAGACATTGGATCAGCTGGAGTGATTCGCGGTGCCGAGCCGAGAACGGTTTGGCGCTGAGCTCAATCTGGATAGAAGGCTTTGAATTAGGCTTCGAGCGGACAAGACCTATTTCCCTCCCAGACTCAGTGGCTTGGCAACCAAAGGTCGTGGTCGAAGTCCTGACTTGCCTCATCGCTTAGCAAAGGCTGCAGAACATCTTCGTGTAAAGTCTTCGACAGATCTTGTCATTTGCACTCTGTTCTCTAACTGTCAGAGACCTCGGACGGAATAAGGGCTGCATCGTGCGTATTTGGTGGCGTCTTTTCGCCCGCAGCAAGCTATGCAGCAGTAACACATGAGGACTATCAGTCGCGGAATACAAGTTATGAACATGTCGCACTTTGCCTCAGTTGGGTGCCCGTCGAGAAGTCTTCTTCTGGCTCATCGTGGAGGTGATGATCAGATGCGTTCGAAGTGTCCAGCAGGGCCGTGCGCCTTGTGCTACGGCAACTGCTCCAATTTCCAAGTAAACAAAGGCATTCAGCCGGGTGCTCATGCGGTGAGACCTGTTTCGAACAAGTGCAAGAAGTGTGCCAATTTACGAGGACTGATTCGCCGCAGTGCGCCGGCAAGATGCCTCGCCAGTAACACTAGAGGATCTTCCTCTCTGTTGGCAACAGGTGGGAGATGCCTTCATGAACAATCCGAGACTTGGTCCTTGCATCGGAGCCCGGTCGCCGTTTCTCCAGGCGATGTGGCACGGTAGAGGTTGTTCGGGTGCTTGCGTGGAGCGGTGCAATGTCATTGTGAGGTTGAGGAAGAGGAAAGCGACGACTGGAATCAGACGTGGTTCACTGCAGGCACGGGCACTGGCGAGGCGACAGCGAAGTTGGGCCAATGAGCTTTCGGCCGGTTTAGTCCGCGCTTCGTCCCGCCTCCCACCAGGACCCTAATTCTGAACTTCTCTCCGCTTTGTTCTGTTCTGGCACCCACCTTCCACCCTGCCGTGATGGGAATGCATACCAGAGACACGTGTATGCAAAAACATCGTGCGAAGATCAGTCGAGAACTTTAGCAACTGATTCATGCGGGAACTCTGGAGAAAAGACAGCGATCAAGCCACGCGATGTGCAGCGGCATTCGAGTCTACATCTTCCAAAAAGATGAGAACTATCGATACTGGACGGTGAGCATTCGTTGTTGATCAAGCAAAGACTCAAGATCTTGAGCCTCAGGCTTGTTCATGGTCGCAGGTGAGGCCGACACCACATGGAATCGCAATCTAGCAAACAAACCGTACAGCAGTATCTGTACGACATGTCATCATGATCAACAAGGCACTGTTGTGCCGCCAGGCGGAGGCCGCGTGAGTCGCTGCATGCTCGGCCTCGCACTGCAGTTCAAGCTGCTGGGGGAACGAAAGTTGGCAGTGTCCTCTCCTGTTCCCACCAGACTTGCGACGAAGCGCACTTGTCTCCCGAAACTCTAGCATCAGTACGTTCTACTGACCATGCTTTTACCACCATTGATTGCGTTGCTCGTATGTATCGTTCCAGAGACAAAAAGTCAAGTCGCCAATTCTTGGGTCAATCCTCCAGCCTATGCAATACAGCAAGACTGGAGTGCCAATCGTCTGTGGGTCGTCGGAGAGGTGCAGACCATTCAATGGACCACAGTCTTCAGCAACTACAGAATTGAATTGTGGCAGCATGATGTTAACATTAGCTCAAACGCGAACAACAAAGTCTTGGGAACAATCTACAGTTAGTCTCTCACATGACCTGCCGCTGTTGCTGTACTGATAAGTCTGTAAAGCTTCCCCTAGCGGCGTCGACTCGTCTAACGCTGGGTCGTTCAACTACACAGTCGGCAGCGATCTTGACTTTCAACCAAACTCGCCGATTCTGTTCACATGGATGTTCGACCTGAATGGCGACGGGAACTTCTCATCATACGCTGTCAACTTAACGCAGGCTAGCAGCAGTACGATCGCAAGCTCAACGATGACTTTTACATCGTCGTTTCCGACAACCTCGTCGTCCGCCATTTCAACTTCCAGTTCGAATCAGAATGACAATCCTTCAGGCACGACACTTGCCCTGAAAGTCGGAATGGGCGTGGGACTCGGCCTAGGCATACCTCTCCTTCTCATCATCGGTGGTATCATCGGCTGGAAGATCAGACACCGACGCTCGACCTCGTCACCACGCCCATCGCAAGAGAACTCGAACCCATCGAAGGTACAGGCACCTCCAAGCTACCCTGATAGCACTGGCAATCACGAAACACAGGCACAAAAAATCTCTCAAGAACAGCCCAACGACCAGGGCGAGAACTTGACAGGTCGACAACCAGCACTTGAGATCAATTCGCGCCAGCCGCCGTCGGAACTGGGCAGCTAGCCCATGGCCCGGTGCTTGGCAATTTTCAAGAGACGATGGACACGAAGAGACGATGAACACGCCATGTAGCAATAGTCAGAAGCGAGGATGGACCCCAAGCGCTGGCACAAGGAGGGTGAAGAATGTCGTGTAGATTACCTGCGGTGCGCTACGAATTTGGGCGGCAATGGGATTTGTCGTTGAACAAGGCGACTAGCAAGAGTGGACAAAGCAGCCATTCGAATGAACGGCACGTAACCAACACGAAGTCGTGGTCTACGAGAAACGCAAGTCGTTGGTCAAAACATGAGTCCAAAAAAAGCAATGCAGTAAAGCATACGTCCCGTCTATCACAAGACGTATATTTCGCAAACTAGGCATTCACATCCATATACGATATAGTACCAGATACAAATACTGTTCCGTATTGCCGCCTTTGCACGTTCGGAGCGCTCCTATTCACGTTCTGTCCTTTGTCGGGATTGATTTGGAGATTTTGCCTGCCTTTCCGAACTACCCATATCTTTTCAGACAAGCCAGGTACTGATCATTAGCGTACAGTCGCAGTGAATGGAATATATCGAAACCAATATACGCTTAGTGTCTCGCTCCTTTCGTGTTTTTGCTCTCGTGGCTTTGATTAGTACTGCTTTGTGGGTGACAGGGCGGCATTGGGATCCAGCATCGGCTTGCACGAATGGCAGTCGGATACCCATATTCCGCCTAGATGTGATGAATCGGTGCGCCTGTGTTGGACGGCTGCAAGGAGTTGATATCAAGAACAATGGCGGGCGTGCTCCATGGCTATTTCTGCACGAAGTGGTCGTGATTCATGAGCGAGCTTCCAAGTTCCCAGAGCTTCACTTCGCATACTTGTCGCTATGATACCTGCAAAAGCTTGTGATAGTGCGTAGCAGCATGTACGGCGAAGTTTCCAAGTCTCACCACGCCCCCTCGTGTCCCCGTGGAGAATTGCAGGAAGGTTTGGAGGCTTGCAGAGGTGAGGTCTGGCTGGCCTTGGCAGGGAACGGTTCACAGCCAGGCGAGAAGAGGCGCCCTCGTGGCTCGCGGCATGCCTTCGTCCAACTGCCATTTTGGTAGCATAGTGGCGTGATACAGCGGCATCTGATGAGTCGTGATCATGCTTTCGTCTTCTCTCCGCATGCTCGTGTGAGAGTGTGCACGTGCAGATTTGCCACCTACTGTCAACGGATTTGGTGCAGACTGCTGCTCGAACTCGTTCCGTAAGGCGGTGGATGTCGGAAAGCTAGCACCGTGTGCACATGCAACGAAGTTGAGTCTCAGTGGAAATAATGTCGGACGGAGTCATTCGTCCGAAGCATTCTTGCCTCGAAAGTGAGTCCTGTTAAAAGTGTCGAGCACGTGACAGCGCGTGCTGGCTCGTGCACATTAACAGCTTGAGCTGTGCAACTCCCATGGCATCTGTAAATCATAACTCTTAGACACTAAGTAGTTCACCGACTCACTGACAATGCCATGAGCGCTGTCTGAGTACAAGTCGCTCCAATGCCGCACTACACCATCCCCATCAGCTCCTCCAACGGCCGCAACTCGCCCAAACCTCCGCCGAGCACCGTCTACACAGTCTCCGAGCCTCCCTATCATGGTCAGCTCAAGACTACCACCGATGCCTACCGCTCGTCTTCTCCCGACACCGCCATCGTCATTGACAATGGCTCGTCAGCCATACGCGCTGGCTGGCAATCAGATGCCGATCCTCGTCTGGTCTTCCCTCCGCTCATGGCGCGCTACACCGATCGCAAACTGAATCGCAAGCTGAATTTCATCGGCTCGGAAATTTATTTTGACGGAACTGCGAGAGGACAGGCCAAGAACATCTATGAGCCGGGGAGCAACATCATTAACAATTGGGATGTTCAAGAGGGCGTTCTGGATTACATCTTTCTCAAATTGGGATTGGGAGAAGCAAACAAGAGCGTGATTGACAGGCCGATTGTCATGACCGAGCCGCTCGCGAATCCGCAATACACGAGGAAAGTGATGAGCGAGATCCTGTTCGAGCTGTATGGCGCGCCTTCTGTCGCATACGGCGTAGACAGCCTGTTCAGCTATCACTACAATGGAGGCAATACAGGGCTGGTAGTCTCGAGTGCCAACATGAGCACACATCTGATCCCAGTAGTGGACAAGCAACCAATGATCAGCGCGGCGACTCGGTTAGACTGGGGTAGAGCGCAATGTGCTGGGTTCTTGGAGAGACTGCTGCGCATCAAGTATCCTGGGCTATTGACAACGGGAAAAGTGAATGAGACGCAGATTGAGGATTTGGTCAAGCAACACTGCTATGTCAGCCGGGACTACGATGGAGAGATGAAGCAAATGCTAGATTGGACAGGCCTGGAGGACCGAGATCATGTCGTACAGCTTCCGTTCCAGGAGAAAGAAGTCGTGCAAAAGACAGATGAAGAAATCGCACGGGCCGAGGAGAAAAGACGTGAAGGAGGGCGGAGACTGCAAGAACAAGCTGCGAAAATGCGCTTGGAAAAGCTAATTCGTAAAGAAGAGGAAGTGGAGTACTACAAGCAGGTACAGCAGCAGATTCAGGATGCTACGACGAAGAAGGAAATTCGAGCCATCTTGGACGACGAGGAGTTCAAGGACGAGAACCAGCTGAACAAGAAGATCATTGAGATGGAGAAGAGTATACGAAAGCAGAGGAATAAAGATGTCGGGGACCTGGAAGAAGAAGTTGTCGAGGAGCCCACATACCCGCTCCTGGACATTCCCGACGCGGAGCTGGACGAGGAAGGCATCAAGGCGAAGAGACAGCAGAAGCTCCTCAAAGCAAACCACGATGCACGTGCGAGAGCAAAGGCTGAGAAGGAAGCGGAAAAAGCACGCCAGGTTGAGCTGCAAAGACAGGATGACCTGCGACGCGAGGCAGACCTCGACGGATGGGTAGAGGAGCGCCGCGCCGCACGTCTAGCTGTCATCCAGAGAATCAAAGAGCGCGAGCGATTAAAGGCCGAGCTTGGCAATCGCAAGTCTCAAGCCGCCCAATTACGAATGAAGCAGATTGCCAATCTGGCCTCAGATCAGCCTACCAAGAAGCGGCGGCGAGGTGGCAATGATGACGACGGATTCGGCGCTGACGACGATGACTGGATGGTATATCGAGAAATCCAGGCCGGCAAGGAAGATGACGAGGAAGATGAAGAAGAGGATTACCAGGGACAGCTGAAGGCCATTGAGGCGCAATTACTCGAGCACGACCCCGACTTCACGATTGAGAGCACTCTGGAGCAACAAAAGGACTGGACTAAGAGCTTAGTGCACGCTTTCACACGAGGACCCTACCCGTTCGATACGGAAAGTGCCAGGGAAAGCAGCCAATTCCACCTCAACGTCGAACGGATCCGTGTACCGGAGGTCATCTTCCAACCCAGCATCGCAGGCGTCGATCAAGCCGGTATCGTGGAGATTGCAGAAGATATTCTCATGCAACGTCTCTCTTCACATGCCGCGCGCGACGACATCTTGAAAGACGTCTTCCTCACAGGAGGCTATACATTCTTCCAAGGCTTCGAAGAACGGCTTCGAGATGAGTTACGTGCTGTCCTGCCCGCCGAAGTGCAGCTCAACGTTCGCAAAGCAAAGAATCCTTCACTTGATGCTTGGAAAGGTGCTGCGAAGTGGGCAAGCTCGAGCGAAAGTCGGACCAACTTCGTCTCCAAGGAGGAATGGGCGGAGAAGGGTGGGGACTATTTGCGAGAGCACAATCTGGGTAATGTTTTCACGTAAGCTGGCCGGGTTGACAAGACGAGAAATGTGTATTATTACTCTGATGATTATAGCGATGGCGTTCGGGTGGGATCGAGAAGAGTGGCATAGATGCCGATCAATATGGGCAGAGAGGTATACTTGCTAGAGGGCATGGGAAAGACCTTGGATGCGAGCCTAGACGAGAGGACTTTCACGCTCGTCGCGGGTCGAGCTTAGTCGAGAAGAGCATGATACTAGATGACTTCTGCAATCAAGCTGCTTATGTGAATGTCAATCGAGACCTGCTTACGAGCTCGCAGTGAGAAGCAGACCTATCTTGACACAGTCCATGCGCGAGCACGAGGATCATGGAGCCGCGTTGCCGTCGACGATCGGTAGCACTCTTCTTCAAGCGCGTTTCCACAGCCACTGCTCTGAGCCAACCATCGTATCGGCAGAAAGCTCTCCTCGCCACCATACCTAACCCCATTCACAACATCCCCTTCCCCCTCTGCTCCTTCCTCTCCTCCCAAACCGTCTTCCCACTACAACTACAAACCGTCTTATTATTATCCCAAACCCCCGCCGACCTCGCAATAACCCCAACCAAACAATTCTCATCCTCCTTCTCCTCCTTCCCAAACTCCGCCCGACTAACAACCATACTCCTCCCAATCAACTCCCAAATCCTAACCGGTCGATCCACAAAACTACTCCCCATCCCATTCTTCCCAACTTCAATCGTCCCAAACACGCCCTTCACATCTTTCCCTTTCCGATTCTCCTCTTTCGCTCTAAACCAATCCCATACACCCCCCACACTCCTCGGTCCTTGCGAAATATTCCCCGTTTCGCGTACAGAGACATTATATTTTCCCTCAGCTACGCCTTTTAATGTCATATCTGCCAAAACCAACGCTTCCCTCCCCTCAGCATCCTTTCCTTGCGTATCCTTCGGAACAACTTCTACCATCCTCACCAGACCCCGAACCTGCTCATGTAACGCCACACTCTCAGCATGAGTTTCGAGAATACAAACCGCCGCACTTTCAGCTTTCCCGCTTCCTCGCAGGATTGCATCGCGGCCTGTAGCTTCTATGGCGGAAACGATGGCTGAGGGGGCGGCGTTGCCTGTTATGCTGACGATTTGGTCTTTCAAAGAAGCTGTAATGTTTTGGATTCCAGGGACATTTTGTTGGAGGGCTGTGGTTATGTCGGAGATGCAGGAGTCGCAGGATAGTGGGACGGCGAAGGTTGTTTCGAAGGTGGGGAGGGTTGATGAGGATGAGGAGGAGGGGTTCGCCCCAGGAGCTGAGGTTGATGAGGTGGTCATGGTGGGCGATGCGGAGGAGTGGTGATCGTAAGAGACAGTGTGTGAGGAGTGACTGCACTCAGAGAAAGTTGTCTGTTGTGTTTCGAGATGGAGACATTGGAGGGGTCGGAGCAGTGAGGTCAGATCGATTGGAAATCAGTTGCCCCACCTTCCCGGGCGATACTCTCGCGCCATATTGAAGCATAGCGCACCGGGGCTCATCCAACGACAGTCTCGACTCGCACAATTCAATAGCATTATGGAGCAGGACGTGAAGTGTGTTAGTAGAACGAGGAACCACGTCGTGCATGCAGATCATGAGCAGATTTATGCAGGAACGACGACTGACAAGGGACTTTGATGGACAACAGCATATAATAGCAACAGCTTTTCTCGTACGCTATCTGGATATCATAACTTCGTGACAATTTTTTCCCGCCTATCTCATGCAACCGGCGCCAAATCGCTCTTCGCAATACTGATACATCGTGGCCAATGACATCATTAAAAGGTCGCCGTTCTGTCGATGCCTCCACTCAAGTGTCAACGACTATGCTCTTGAAAGCACAGCCATCGAGGTGTGATTGCAGCCTTTAAGAAGAACGTGGGCAGCTGGCACAAGCACACTTGCCTGGCTCGCAAGCGCACTTCTCGTCGGCGCCACCGCAGTTGCACTTGGTCTTCTCAGTGCCTGGAACCTTCTCGAGTTCGGCCTCCTCTGCTGAGACGGCAGGCTTGCTGTCATCTGGGTTCTTGCTGCAGCTGGAGCACGCGCACTCGCCCGGCTTGCAGGAGCACTTGCCAGCGACACTACCGCAGTTGCAAGCGGTGCGACCCTCCTTGCCCTCGACTGGGTGGTTTGGTGCTTTGCCAGCCTTGAGCGATGCAAGGTGCTTGGCCTCGTTGTGGACGTCGAGCACCTGCTTGCTACCTTGCTCGTAGAATGCGCGGACCTTCTGTCCGGTCGGGGTTCCGAGAGCCTTCTCAAAGTATGAGTTGAGGCCTCTCCAGCCCTCGTTGGCCTTGGCGGTAATGCCGTACTGGTTGTCGGTAGCCTGAGCCTTCTCGGTCACCTTGTACTTGGAGTCGAAGTTCGTAAGGGCAGAGGTGAAACGCTGGGAGATGCCATGTTGCTGGTCGAGGGCGAGAGCCTTCTGGATGACCTGATCGCTCAGGTTGTAGCCATGTGCCAACATCTCTGCAGCGACACGAGCACGAGGCTTGTCTTCTTGTGCGAGGTCATCTTCTGAGGCACCTGCTGTCTTTCCACCGGCAGCCTGGTCGAGCGATTTGCCCGGGGTGACGTGCACCTGCGATGGACCGAGCTGTGTGTTGTCGAGCAGCAGAGCTGTCTTTGCTGCCGTCTCTTTCTCGAAGGTAACTGTGGCGGACTGCGACGACGATGCCTCGCTGGACTCTGGGGTCACGGAGATGGATTGGATCTTGCCGCTAGATTGAAAGTCAGTGGATGTGTTCCCAGTATCGTGGAAGACTGGCGTGAAACTTACCAAAAGCTGAAGAAGTCGCGGACCTCCTTCTCGCTGGTCTGACCGCTGATACCCTGGACGTGGACGGTGTTCGACATGATGGGTGGTCGTGGGTTGTGTTGTTTGCGGAAGTGGAAGATGGGTTTCGGATTTGGAGAGGATGTATTGTTGAGAGTGTGTGGAAGGTGGTGTTGTGTGGAAGAAGGTGCGTTATATGCTGCTCCCAGACACGAGGCCTTTTTGCGCGGTCAATGTTGGCAACGCACAAACAGCGCAACTCTATTGAGCAGGCACCACGTCATGGGTGGAGGGAGGGGCAAATCACCCGGTCCAGCCACATGAACGACTGCGCCACGTCGTCTTCTTCGCTCTTCACGTTCCATCTACGCAATTCCACTGCCCACGCGAGAACGACGAGTCGTATTCCTCGCACTGTACTCGCTCACACTTAGGCAACGAGTTTCTACACACTTTCACATGCACTGAACGTCTCGCCGAGAGCAGCGTCAGAGCATGCGCCACCATCTCCAAATTTATGATTGGGCGGGTATCAGGGCTACCATGCCTATCAGACCACAAGCGGAGCGCCGGCCAGAAACATGATGCGTTGTCCAAAGCAGTGCATGAATTCCAGAATGCTAGCTATGTTTTCGCGCGCGTTACAGAAGTCGAGAAGTCAAAAGGGTATCTATACCATAAGATCGCAAAAACCAGCTGCCTCCCACAAGCACACTATGACTTGCTGGCCATCTTCGAACCGGACACGCCTCAAAGCGCCAACATGAGCGACCGCTGCAGATTCTTAGCAGCCGTATTATCGTCAGAGATGTTAATTTGTTTGCATTACTAGTAGATGAGTGACCACATTCACGACCTAGAAGGTTGCAAAGTCGTTGGAACTTCACCTGCAGCCTGGGTCGCGTAGCCCAGCTCGTGGCGGCGGCCCGTGTCTTCCAGTTCACCTATTTCATGACCAGTGTCGTGCTTCACCTCAGTAGCCGCCTGCCCATGATACGCATCAACATATGTCCCTTGGAGCTCTGACTTCTCTTGCGAAAGAAGTCGTCTGCTTGGATCGGATCCATCGAGTTCGGCCTTTGCATAAGTTACAGCACTGCTCTGATGCTTGACGTCCGATAATTCAGCAGCATGACGCTCGTCTCCATATCCTGCATCCGGCAACACTGCTCTCGAATGATAACTGGTCTGCTGCAGCGCCTCTCTTCTTCGTTTCCTTCGTCTGAGGCAGAAAAGTATCCCAGCGACAAGCCCCAGCAGCACCACGACCGGTACGGCCACTCCGACTGCAATCTTTGTGGTATTGCCACTCCCACCACTTCCTCCCTCAAGTGGCGCATCATGAACCAACAGCACCGCAGGCGTCGTGTACGCCACGATCGTTGTCCCGGTCCTTGTCGTCGTCCCAGTAGTCGGATCGGGCGTGCCATTTGTATGATTGAAACTCCGACTTTCTGACCTACAAGCCTGCAATCTCGTTGAAGTCTCCACGCGCGAGTAACATTGCACCAAACCGCCCATCGTCCAAGCATTCGGACAACAAACGACTTGTGTACCCGGAACACCAACGAGCGCCAGAGGTTTCTGCCCATCATCCCATATTCCCATACTCGTCGGCGCAGGACCTGTGAGCGTCGTCGCAGCTTGCCACCCTGCGGGACAGGAATAGCCTGGCGAGTAATAGAATTTCTGCTCGCCTGGGAGCCAGTTATTGTTCCCGCCCGCAATAGCGGCGGGGTTTGGTCCTGTGTATGAAGGATAGCATTCTGAACGGGGAAGATCTGCCGTTCTAGTCCAGTCGCAGTGTTGACCCCATGCTCCACGGGCTTGAATGAAGAGGTTGGTAGACACGGGTGTGTTGCAACTCGCGGGTGGAGTGAAGACTGTTGTGAGAGGACCTAGATTGCTCCAGGTTGCGGTGTAGGAGACGGTGGATTGCGGGAGAGCGCGATAAGTGAACACAGCTGTGTACGCGCTCAGTGTGCTTGAGGCCATTGTTACGAGGGCATGAGGGAGATGAAGATCGGTTCGCGCTCACCTGCGCGTGAGTTGGGTGCGCGAGGTCGAGAGATTTTGATTGCGATCAGAGAAGACATCGCGTCCCGAATAGCACCCCCAAGATAGATGGCGATGCAGCCATGCTGGGCTTCGAGCAGGAGGGGCTGTGTCCGAGCCGTTGGCATGAGGGCTTGTTCGTCCAATCGTAGAACGCACTGGTGCGAGGCGGAGCTTCGAGGCGTTCTTGGAAAAAGTGAAATGTTGATCGCCAATAATGTGGCTTGAGAAGGATCACGACTCGCGAATGCGAGCGATGAGTTCAGGATGTTGCCGTGTGTTCACGCACAGGCGTGGACGCTGCACTCGCACAGTATATGCTACCCCATTGCCTCATGGCAGGCCATTCGGCCACGGCTTCTCCCTCAAGCCAGCAGCCCAATTGTTGTGCAAACCATCCTCATATCGAATCTTGGTCTCGCTCAAATCAACACCATCTTGCGGCTGGTCAACTGTAGCAACATTTACAGGGAAGAAATCATGGCGTTGGCCTTCCCATTCGTAGTAGCCTTCTTGCCAGACATGAGTGCCGCAGTCTCTGCAGAAGTACTTTGCGCCTGTCTTGACGTTGGGCGCATAGCTTCCCAGAGCGGGATCTTCTCTGGAATCGGGACTAATCAGATGGAAATCCTTGGACAGGTTCTTGAGACCGTGTCCAGTGAGTCCCAATTTCCTGCAAGACGGCTGAGCATAGGTTTGTCCTTTGGCAGTGGTCCTACTTACTGGCAGAACGTGCAACTGCAGCGATTTGCGCTCAGAGGAAGGGAAGTGACATCGAAGGTGTATTTGATGAAGCCGCAGTGGCAGCTGCCTTTGATGCTCTTCTTTTCCGGGGGGGTTCCGTCGTCCTGCTTTTGCTGCTTTGAAGTCTGCTCAGTGTCTCCCTCGGCGGCGCGCTTCTTGTTGCCACTGTCGTCGTCGCTTGCCATGATCACAAGTCTGATTACGATCAAGTGAACGCGAAATATGCTGTATGCATCGCACGAGGGCAATGCCGTGAGTACTTATGCTTCTGTTGCAGCGGTGAAACAGCTCCGTCAGCTTCAGCTTCTACAATAGGCAGCTATGCCAATGGCTCGCTGTTCCCCGCGCCACATCTCCTCCCTTTTGAGACTATCGCTGAGAAGTTGTCCTACAAGTTAGGCGCGAGACCGACGCGTCAAGCTGCTTACGATGAGGCATCTCAAGCTGCCGAACGCGTCCGAACGCGCGCGTGAGAGTACGCGGTGCTGAGGTTTGGAGGATTCTGGTCTGTCAACGGCCACAGCTGTCGCTCTGCTGAAGACGCGACGTTGAACCCCGTGCTGTGTCGCTGCCAAATCGAGTGATGAAGTTACGTTGCGAGACGAGACTGCTGAAGACATTGATGACCGCAGAGACCAGGAGCAGTCTTGGCGATCTTGCTTTGGAGCCTCCACTTCGTCGCATGCATCACCACTCTTCAAACTACTTCCTCCATCAAACGACGCAATGGATTAGTGCTATCGCTGACATCACAGCATCTCAAATACGTCTTCCACGTGGAAGTCAAGAACACAACCTCTCATCAAATAGGGCTGCAGAACGACCACCACAATGTTCGCCTTGTCCGTCCCAGCTACCCGGACTGCTGAATCTTCCAGAAGAAAGGCGGTCATTGTCTTCCCCTCTGCAGGCGATCCGCCCCGTGGAATGCGCACGCGAGGGCCTCTGCAAGCAGATACTCGACAAAGACCAATTGTTCGGCACGCTCCACACATTCCTCGCTACCAACTGCAAGCATGTGGAACAGATCTGTGGACTTCCCTAAAGCATGGTCGAGTTTCGTCGTGTCGAGCAAAGGATCGGCTGTAGTCGACTGCACTCTTTGGCGGCCTGTCCGTCTAGCTCTAGATCCTTGACGCACTCACCACGAGCGACAATGAGGTCGGCAACGATATACCTTGGTAAGTGTAATTCTCTTGGTGTTGATATGTCGATTGAATGCTTTCCTTCAGCTGTGCCGTGTCTACCTTTCGCTGTTTCTACTGAGACTCCAATCGAGTGCATCATATTCTAGCTGGAACACTATTACCAAGATGTCAGTCAATACTGGAAAACAGCTGCATTGGACGCAGCGTATCGCGTTGGTCAGACACAACCTTCACGCCGCAAGTCGAAGTGGCGACTTCGGCTTCTTCAAAGCACTCCAAGCTGCGGGCATGTTGGAGGGCACGAACCATTTCGCAAGCCTTGCTGCTACTCTCGGAGATGAAGCAGACACTGTCATGGCAGCGATGGACAACCTGAATGGCGGCATGGCATTCATCCACCAGGATGCATTCCGGAATGTATACAACAACATCAAGGATAGCATGAGAGACGAAAGCACCAAGGCAGCAGACAAGTCCAAGCTCTATGTCGACATCACTATGCAGAAGAACATGGCTGCTATGGCGATCGAGAAGCTGTGCAATTCTGCAATCGCACTCATTAACCAGCAGCCCGCAGCTCAAGCCCAAGATCAAGCCGCCAATGTTTTCGTTACTGGAGCCACTCTCATTGCGGATTGTATTGAAGTGGTCATCAAGCAGTTGGACACCATTGACCAAAAGATGGACGACTTCATTCGCCTTGAAGAAAGCTGGAACATTGTCAAAGCCTCCGTCGTTTCCGCGAACGCTGGATTGAAGGGTGTCTACTACATGCTTGATGCACCAGAGCCGCAAGAAACCACACGATCGCCAAGTATAGCAAGCGCTGGAAGCTCCGTCTTCCGTCGACTTTCGACTGCTTTCCAAGGATCACATTCTCCAGCCCCGGGCACTCGAGCATCGAGCATCGCCAGTGCAGGTGCCGCACCATCGTCTACCTATCGCACACCGGCATATGTGCGGAACAGTATCAGCGCCGGTTGTCCTACCAGTATGCCATCGAACACAAATTCTGCAGCCTTCAACCTCAACTCCTTCAACAGCAACGGCTCCTCCTTCAACAGCAATGCTTTTGATAGGAATATCTTCAAAGCACACAAATTAAGCACCATTCCGCCGACACCACACTCAGAAGAACTTGATCCCTTCGACACCGACGACATGGAAGACGTCCCGCCTATGCCCGAAATACCCGTCGCACTCCAGCCCAATTCAGGAAGCGTTGCCGTTTCGTGACTCGTTGATGAGGCCAGCAGGGAGCGGGATAAGGCACGGGGAGATGAGACTATGGCAAAACTGGATGAATACATTGAGATGAACGAACTGTATATACAGATCCTCTGTACATAATATAATTTCCTGTAAATACATTAATGACTGAACAAAAATGCGCAAGTAGTTGCTGCTCCAGTTCACTCGCACCTTCTCCTTACGTAACACGTTCGACAACCTTAAACTTGCGACTTTCAACTTCCACCTCCACTTCCTCTCCAGAACAACACAACACAACTTCGCTTGTTCTTGACATCACGCCAGGACTCGCAATAATGCCTCAACATATCTCAGTCCGCGACTTCATTCGCTTCCCCGCAACCTCCGACCCCAAAGAACCCACTTCCACCCTCGTCCTCACTTCAAGCGGAAACCGTTTCGTCGACATTCGGATTTTGAAAGAAGGGCCCGAACCAATTCCTCAAGTTGCGAAAGATGCAGGTAATGCGGCACTCCAAACACAAACTCAATTAATCCCGAGTTCCCACTGATTTTTCCAAGCCCTCCTCCCTCTCTCCCACCTCGACTGGGCTTTCGCAGGTACATCCTCCTCAAACGAGAACGTCAACGGAGAAGTCAAATCTGTTTGGACGCACTGGATTGATTCTCGAACTTTACAGCCAGAGACTGTGAATGACTCCGGCGTCATGGATCCACAATCTGATGGGAGGACGTTGGAGAGAGGTGTTATGCCAGACCCGGAAACGGGGAAATTAGTTAGATACGAGGAAATGTGGAGGGATATTGAAGCTTCTTCTTGCGGAGAGAAGAATGCCGCTAGTGGAGTGAAATGTGTAGTGTTGCAAATGTATTGTGAAACTGGCGGGGAAGAGAAAGATCGAGCGAGAGGGATGGTGATAAGGCTGGGGCAGTTTTGTCAGGGGGTTGTGAGGGTTGGGGAGGCGTTTGCGTTGGAGAGGTGGGCGTGGAAGGAGGGGGAGGAGAAGGTGGGAGGTGGGTGGAAGAGGGAGGTGAGGATGGGGGATTTGTTTTTGCCTTGTGGGGTGGCGATGGAGCATTTTGAGAGGTTGAAGGTTGGAGGGAAGGTTACGTATGAGGGGTTTGAGTGGTCGGTTGTGGAGTTGGAGGAGAGGGGCTGAGAGAGGAACGGGAGAGAGTGTGGAGGTTGAAGGTGTTGTTTGGATTTTTGAGATACGCTATGGGGATATCATAGTAAAAGACATGCAAAGGCTATGGAGATGATGCAGATTGTTAAAGAAGGGATGGCACGTTCTGAGCCGCCAGTGGGTATCCCGACTGTGCTGGTCTCGCTTGGTGCCTCACTGGTTGCTGCGCTGGCCTGCGATACTGTAGAGCTGCTGCTCGCGGCAGTAGCAGCTGCGACTCCGTCTACCCTCGTTTCGCTCTGCTTCTGCATCACCGAAGAGACGGCAAGTCGAGGTAGACCATCACTCATCACTGCGCTAATCTCATGGAACTCCACTGTCGCTGCCTCTCCCATATGAATCGTGATCGTCGTCACCGCGTTAAAGAGCACCTCATGATCGGCAGCGGGACTTGCTGTAAGCGTCATGGAATTCAATGTCAAAATATCATTGGCCTCATGCATTACGGCTGCAGGCGTCTGCGCTGGGGGCGCCTGAGCTGGGGCATTCGCGACCGGTTGCCCTGGGCGCGCATTGTCATCTGGTGTGGGGTTTGCTTGAGGTGCTGCGTGCACTGTGAAAGCTGTTTCAGCATTCTGGAAGACGTGTTCTCCTCCGGGTGCGGTGCTGGGTGTCAGCGTCCACGAATCGATTGTGACGGCTTTGGCTGATTCTCCTGAAGCTGGTACTTGAATGGTGATCGTTGTCTTCGCATCTTGGAATACAACGCCGGTAGCAACAGGATTTGCAGGTTGCTGAGTGAGGGTGATCGAGCCGATCGCGAGTATTGGGGCTGGAGGTTGTTGCTCGTGTTGCCCAAAATTCTGATTGCCATTCGTATTTCCGAAAATTGGGGCATGTGATGGTCGTGGCACCTCATCATTCGAATTGCCTTTGTCCTCAGGTCCAGAGTTGTTCGAGCCATTCGATGGTCGATTGGGGCTGCCTGCAGGGCGATTCTCACCTTGCTGCGGTTGCGCTGATGAGCTGCCTTCATTCTGTTGCGGAGGTGCTGGTCGGCTATCGTCATCATCATCGCCAGTGCTTGGCCGCGAGATGACATCCGGCACCGCGCTTGGGGTCTCGCTGAGCTGTGATCCAACTGGATGCGCAGGAGTCGCAGGCGTCGAAACCGGGTCATACTTCTGAGTAGTCGTTGCAGTAGGAGTCGCTGGCCAGCCAACGGGAAGAGTGGGTTTCGCCGCTGCAGTGTGTTGGATGAGTGCCACAGGAGGGTCCCAGATGCCGAATTGCAGCCAGCCCGCATCAGTACCGTAAAGCTCGTGCAACTCCTTGGTGAACCTTTCTTCCTCAATAATGTACGGCTCGTAGTCGTTCAGAATTGTCCAGCTTTGGACCTCTGTTCCCCGCACCGCAGCCGTGTTCGTGAAGTACTGCAACCACTTTTGCGGACCATTGAAGTATGCCGCGGCTGGGACATTCTGGTAGCAGTGCTCGCCCTCCTGGATATATTGCGTCGTGTAAGTTCCATTTCCGGAATCGCACAACCAGTTCAGATGGCTATAGTCGAAGGGATATCGAGGCGCTCCTCCGTCAGGAGCGCGACGAATGCTTGATAGGTGCTCCGGCTGCATAGTGCGAATTGTTTTCGCGATATGCGGTCCACACCCATCTGCACGGCCTACATTCGTGTACACCATAGCGATCATAGGAGATGTGATAGTGACACCATCTGTAATCATCGTGTTCGGCCCGTCTCCTGTACGTGTTCCGGGAATTGTCTCGGCTGTTCGCATGACACCGGCCTCATTCGGCTTGTAGCAGAGTAGGCTGTCGTCGGTGGGATCTTTGACCTGAACAGGCCAGTACAGTAATTGCGCGTGTTCGGCCATGACCTCGTTCGTGAAGTTTCCTGTGGTACACCAAGTGAAGTTAGCTTCAGGCCCTCATATTAATCTGAAGCAGAAGTTCATACCCCAACCCTCCACCACTGGTGGCTGACAAGATTTCTTCCCCGAGGGAATGGCGGTTCCGGATGTAGCGCACGGCGGCTCGTACAAAGTCTGGTTGGCGTATAGGACTTTCAGCTTTGCCGTCTCGTACCAGTCATGTAATTGTGTACACTCCTCTGCGCCAATAGTGCAAGGAGCAGGCGTCGGATAAGGACCAGAGACATGCGTTTCTGTCACGGTGTAGACCTCTCGTGTTACGGTGCTCCACGTTAGATATTGCCCTGAACCAACAACCCTAGGATTGCCGTCACACAGTGTCGTTACACTGGCAGCAGCTACACCGCCGCCGATACTGGCCAAAGAAGTGGGCCATTTCAATGTCCAAACGGTCTCAGAGTACTCGGTGTGGTAGCCTGGCACTTGAGATTAGCTGTGAGACGTGCACCAAATATCGTATAATGCTTACTCGTTTGTGCTGCATGCTGACTTATGTACGCGCGAGAAGCATTCAGCCAGGAGAATAGGTCTGTTTGACAACTGCTTGCGGCAGCGAAATCTTGCGTTGAGGCGGTCGTGATACTGGAAAAAGCTGTAACGTTTCCATGTGAGTTTGTACCATTCTGCCTGGCAATAGAGAGAGTAGGAAAGGGTGATGACGATGGCGATGTTGATGTAGTTGATGTCGTTGATGCTTGACGGTCTGGGGACCCTGTCGCGCTCGCTCCTGTTATCGTTGCTGGAGTGATGCTGGAGCTGTCTGTATTCGAATTTGCGCCTGAAGACGATGCTGTGCTGCTCGAGGTAGATTCCGCCGTCTTCGCTCCATCGTCATCCTCTCCACTAGTCTGACCAAGGCCCTGTAGAATAAAGTCGGCGAGATGTGCAGTTGTGGTTGTTGAAATGCTGGAGCTTGAAGAGCTGCTCAATGCAATTGTGGTATTCGTGGTTGTGCCATTACGCGCTCTGAGAGACACGGCAGACGCGCAGAGAGGGGCCAATAGAACAGCCACGCGCCACGACATTGCTGGCGCCCGAGACTGGAGGTATAGGAACGAGAAATGCCTACCTTGACGCTGGAGTATCGTCGGTCTTTGTGTGAGTGGGGGCACTGTCTATAAGCATCCTGTTTGGACCAACATATTGCATGCTTCTTTGCTCGTGGGATCCATCGCCTCTGGGCGCAGTCCTCCTCCCACTGCGACTCGGCGGGTATAGATAGCATAGTTCAAGCCATCATGTGCCTTGATATTTCCGCATTGATCCTTCGAGGCGCTAAATGCCGTTAGCTAGGCTGTGAGAGTGCCTAGTATGCAAATGCTAAATCCTTCGCACAGCCCAAGGAGGAACAGCTAGATGAGCTGTACCATCTATAGCGGTGGTGAGTGACGAGCAACATGCGCCTTGCATGGAGCTTGTTAGTGGCTTGGTGCCGAACACGTTTCGCATGCTGGCGGTAAGTTGAATCATGGCGATCCGGCTGGTGGGAATCCCGATGAGGAGTGATGAAGTGGAGCGGGAAGGACTGAGTTTCTGGAGTAATATCGAGAATGGCTGGTTTGGTTGTAAGCCGGAGAATATGTTCAGCCGATCCTCAGGCATTCACGCGGCTCTTTCTCTTTCTCTTTCTCCAGCGAAACTCCTTCCTTCGCGACAACGCGTGACGCGTAGGCTTTCGCTCCAACAACACTACTACACTCCAAACTCGATGCGATGGCGCCTGCTGTAGGCTGAAAATAACTTTCTCGAGGCCCGAGAGACTAGATGTGGCGTTGCCGGTTGGCGGCGAGACAGTGACAACCATGCAGGCACGTGTCGAAGGGGTGGGCGGATATAGCATGTCCAAACGCTTCATCCATGAAAAATGAGTCCAAGTTTCCTTGATACTCCGGAGTCGCATCCAGTGGAACTTCAAGGCCGAGCTCCAAGCAGTCCTGGAGTGACAGCGTTTGAGTCTGCACTGCTCATGGAACGACAGGAATCGTACAGGCGCTGTCTGTTTCGAGCCTGAGACTGGCCATTGCTCAAACGGAAAGTGATCGTCAGACGCGAAAACACTTCTACAAATCTCACAATACGACTCCATCATGGTTCTCAAAAGCAGTCATCAGTCACTTGGGCATAACTTGAACATCGCGGCGGCGGATGAATACGGTCTGAGCTCCGTAATTCTACTTGGCTGCCCTGGACGGAGTTCCGCTGCTACCCTTGTTCACTTGCGGACTTCCGCAATGCTGCCTCTCCCAGTCGCTGCTCCGGTCAAGATGCCACAACAAAAGGTCCGCTCTTCCACGGAGGTGGAATCCCAGCTCAAATACTCGTCCATCTCATGGACACTGCGCGACGGAGATCGTGCGACGCGTGCGTCCGCAGCAAGCGCAGATGCATAGCCGGGCGTCTGAAGTGCCAGCGCTGCGAATCGAGGAATATAAACTGCATATTTCCCGACTTCTTACCAAACAATCGCGATGACGGACTGAGCCTAGAAAGCGGGGAAGATGATGCTGCTGTCGTTGTTGGCTACCTTGATGGTGGTTTGCAAGTGCCAGGTGACACGCATATGGCTGTCACAGCATCACCTCCGTCCATGAATGGATCTTGGTTCCAGTACTGCAATGAGCCATTCAACTTGCCAGACCTACCGAGCAGCAACTTCGATGGCCTGCAAGCTATGGCGGACGTTGTTTCCACCCCGAGTCACGCAGACATAGAGCCGATCGACAGAGGCTCGGACGTTCAGATACGCTCGGAATATGTGTCGAAACAGCTAGCTGGCATTCCAAAATGTTTCGTGGAGCAAGCGCAGACTTCCTTCATACACCGGAGCCTCATGCAGTCGAGACCTGATCCTGCTCTCCAGGATGCGCTCAGCGTAGCTGCACTCTATTTCCTGCGGAATGACAGCAACCGCTTACTGGCTATCCGCAATTTGGAACACAAAGCACGCCAGCTGATTGCAACCACAAATTTGCAAGCGATCAGTCGGGCCAGATTACTTGCCGCCGCACAGGCGCTTTTGGTATACCAGCTGATACGCCTCTTTGATGGTGATATACGACTTCGTGCACAGGCGGAGGCGGATGAAGCGTTCCTCTCAGCATGGGTCGACCACCTTCGATCTGACATATCGCTTATGGCCCCGAACAACCTCAACTCCGAGACAGGACAGAACAGCCTTTCAACACGTGACTGGCAGTCGTGGCTATTCGAAGAGAGCACACGCCGCACTATCATTGTGTCCATGCTGCTCAAAGGCATCTACCACTTTTTGAAGACCGGTCGCGACACCGAGCAAGACCTTCGATTGACGTTCAATGCACACGCATCTCTTTGGAGCGCACAATCTCAACAAAGTTGGCTTGCAAAGCGAAACGATGGACAAGATCTGCAACTACGTGTCGTGCATTGGAACGAAGATATCACAAAGGCTACACCTGAAGATCTCGACGAGCTCGGAGTGCAGATCATGGCTATGTTGTGGGGAGTGGGAGCAACGCAACAATGGTTGGGAGGCAGCTATCTTTCCCGGCATGGTTTCCAAAGTGCTTGAGTTACTACAAACTCACAGCACTGGCTGGTATTTGACAACCTCCTGTTCACTGGTTCTTCGACTCTCGCCTCTCTTCTGCTCGCCTTTCTTTGAGAAGTTGCAGGGGCCATGCTTATGAGCAGCGACTCGGGTAGGGTGGTCATGATCAGAGATTGTAACGCATGTCGCCAATGACCAGCAACTTGTGTCTGGGAGCATCCGATTTTATGCAACGCCGCGGACGCGAATTCGTCCGGCCGCAAAACGAAAAACGATGGCGGTACACCGCTATTCGCTGTACTAACTTGTCCGATTACCAGAGCATTGACATTCACGCCTGCTGCCTTCTCATTCTCATCAGGAGAAGCCAGTTCCGCTTTCAGAGAATTGCAAAAAGCATGAACGAAAGACTTTGATGCGCCGTATGTGACAATGTATGGCATCCCAACCAACGCTCCACCCGAGTCAGAGCACACAATGGCACTCGGACTGTTCGCTTTCAGGACCGGTAGAAGGCGTGAAGTCAGAATCGCAGTGAACCTTGTGTTCAGGCTGATAATGGTGTTTATGTGCTCCGCTGTGGCTTCCTCGAGGGTGGCAAGGGCTGGTGGAGGAACTCCGCCCACGTTATTGATAAGAATGGTCAACTTTCCTGGCAAGGCTTGCACTATTCGGACGATTTCGTTGTAGTCGACACGTTCGCCCGTAGCATCTGCCGCCCAGATCTGGATTTCACGCGCTGGGAACTGCTCCAGAAATGCACTTCTGATCCGGTTCAACTTTTCTGAATTGCGTCCATGGATGACAACGTTGAAACGACGACGAAGGAGCTCTTCTGCAAGGGCATGTCCTATGCCGTCGGTTGCACCAGTGATCATGGCCCATGCTGGACGGTCTTGACGCTGGTATTTGTGGAGCGAACTTCAACAGAATGAGTCGAAGTCCGTCTTACGTTTCGCAGCATGCTTACCTGGGCCTTATGAAGGGCCAGATGCCGAGAGCGACCTTGTACGTGAAGTATGCCAGTATCCCGAAGCGTACTGCCAAGAATGGGTTCCAGAACATATCGACGAGGTGGTACATCATTGTGTTGTAGGAGGCTGGGAAGAGGGTTGTTGCGACGATATAGGAACTCAGAATGCGCACAGGTGCTTGAGGTTTTGAATGCCAGCCCAATGCCCTTGCCTAGTATCTCCGCAAAGTGTCAAGGGCTACGTCCACCATTCAGCGGAACTCCGCTGGTCTAGCAAGCATTACCACGGACGACTCAAGACAGTAGCCCACACTCAATAGCATCGATGCGCCGTGAGGATATCTATACCGCCTCACCAGCTCCCATATGCGACTCAAACAACAAGGATACACGAAGCTTGCAACTGAAAGCGAACACGACGAGGTCGGCAGAACATATTCGAAGCTATGCTCACACAACATCTTACAGCTGTACTGCTGTTAGTGCCAGCTCTCGTCTCCTCCGCCGCACCAATCAACGGTACTTCCGGCGAGGCTCAGTGGCTTCCACTAGCAAACATTCCGGGCGGAGGTCGACAGGAACATGCCGCAGTCGCTCTCAATTCGAACACAATTGGCATTGTTGAAGGCATCACACCCAATGCAAGCGCAGCACTTTCACCCTACTCTTCAACAGACCTGGTGCAGCTGTATTCTACCTTGGAGAATACTTGGAAAACTGCGACTCGTCTACCACAACCCCTCAATCATCCCAATGCCATCGGCTTCGACAACAGGATCTACGTCTTTGGAGGCTTCGATGACGGCGGTGATACTCGCAAAATCTTCCATTCCGTTAATGCTTCTTGGGTCTACGACTCTATTGCCGACACCTGGAACTCACTCCCTCCACTCTCGCCACCACGCGCGCAGGCAGCGCTTGCGACACACGAAGACAGAATCTATGTGGTCGGAGGCTTCACTGATCTTGTCGTATCAGATCAGCTCCCTCTCCCAGCGACTCTCGCTCATGTCTCCGTTTTCGATACTACAACATCGTCCTGGATTACCGAAGAAGTCCTGCCTGAACCAGCTCGTCACATCCCATCAGGCGTCGACCATGCACGTGCTGAAGTCGTCAACGACAAACTCTACGTCATCGGAGGTTTCAACCATGAAGGGTTCAACTCAACAAACCACGTTTTTATCCTCGATCTCATGGATCTCGCAGCAGGTTGGAAAGACGGTGCATCGATGCCTACTCCACGAGCGACATTCGCAGCCGGGGTCGTTGGAAGTAAGATTGTGACGATTGGAGGTGAAGGCAATGCAACGAGCGCAACTGAGATTCCATTGAGGGTCTTCAATGAAATTGAAGTTTATGATTCTGTGACAGATTCTTGGGAAAGTTGGGGTACTTTGCCTGCGAACGAGAAGGGAAGACAGGGACCGGGTGTGAGCGTTGATGGGAAGATTTATATTGCTGGTGGATATGATACGGCGCCAGTGGGACCGCTGGATAAGTTGGATGTCTATGTGCCTGGGAATGTTTAGGGTTGGCGCATGATGAGAGCGGACTTCGATATTTGCATGTCCCAATGGAGTCGAGCATGTCTAGCCTGGAGTAGTGTCTTCGCGGTTGGAAAACACACGATGCCTGGTACCCGCCACTTTCTCAAGCTCTTCGGAGAACGCTGCTTCCGTATGAAGTCGCGTCGTATGTGCCTTCCACTCTCGAGTTTCCGATTAACCATTGCAGGTGCGCGAGCCCAGGCCTCTTCTAGAACACTCCTTCCTCAAATGATACAGCGACCAGGTCCTGCCTGTACCCAAGAAGCACTTCGGAAGGAATACAATCCGTCATCTCACCATTCGGTCAGCACAAGCCCATCGGTAGCCTTCTTCCGACAGCGGTGGTTTGCCTGCACACAGCAGTCGATTTCAAGCTCTTCGACTTCCAGCACGACTCTAACACTGGTCTGCACATGCCCAGGCAGAGAATGACGCTCGTCCTTCACATTGAGATCCAGACCAGCACGCGAAGGCCTACAGCACATCGCCTGGAGTGGATTTTATGCAAACCTCGAAGGGAACCTTATATCCTTATAGGCCACTGGTAGAGTTGCGGTTCGTACCTTTACGAAGATTCCAACAACTCCCAAATCTGCCGTGCATGGTGTCTAGGATGAGTGAGGCACATAAAGCTTGTTTTCCCGTTTCTGCAGGGACGCCCCTTGGGACCCTTCGCAACCTATTGCAGCAAAGCCGCGTCGACGACTAGGGTAAGTGAGATGCAACCGCAGCACACAGAACACTGCTGAAACAACAACCGGAAGCCATCATCCGGCCTCGTGGATATATAGCACTCCTGTACGCTGACCAAACATTGCTGTGATACACCATCTCACACTAGTGAATGGCTGCTCTACCATTTCGATATTGGAATTGGAGAAACCGGGTCATCGAAATGATGTATATCTACGCGCACGACGATGTCAACCACTTCTTCACGTCGATCTACGGCATCTTTGGCGTCGGGCTTCTGTTCGTTGTCTACTACATCTTCAAGAATCTAGATCGACCTTATTCGGGATTTCCTATCATCTCGTTGGACAACAGAAATAAGCTATGGTCAATACTACTTGACGCTTCTGACTTCAATCTTCATGCCGAAGAAGTCCTCGAGAAGGGTAAGAAAGTGACGAATGGAGGTTGCTACCAGGTCAAAACCCCTTCTGGATACAAGATCGTTGTTCCTAGCCGCTTTGCGCATGAGATTCGGAACCATCCTGACTTGAACTTGGGTCAGCATATTAGGGTGGACTTGATGGCAGATTACGCAGGCTTCGATGGAGTGCGAGAGGGACTTCGAAGAGACGGGCTTATGGTAGACGTCGTGAGGATGGATCTCACCCAAAGCCTGGGACGGATTACCGATGATCTGGCTGACGAAGCGTCATATGCTGTGCACCACGTAAGTTCCAGGCGATTCGCAATGTTTTACTTTCTCATCGATATGAACACTGACCGTTCTTCGAAACGCATAGTGGCTAGGCAATAGTGACGAGTGGCGGACACACACGATCAAAGATGTCCTTCTGGACATCGTTGCCCGAGTTTCCACTCGTGCATTTGCTGGTCGGGACCTTGCCCGAGACGAGCCCTGGATCGAGATCGCGAAGCAGTACACAGTAAATTCAATGCAAGGTTCCAAAGAACTTCTGGATCGCTCGCCAATTTTGCGGCCCATCGCTCAATGGTCTATGCCGACGTTAAAGAAACTGCGTAGGCAGGTACGGGAGGCTCGCATTTTGATGAAATCAGTTGTTGAGAAGCAACTAGCAGAGAGAAGGGCTGCCGTGGGGAGTAGCGAGAAATTCGCAAAAGCAGGAACGGCGTTTGTATGGATGGCAGAGCGGGCGAAGCAGAGAGCACCACCGGACTTTGCTGCAGGCCAGCTGATGTTGAGCGTTGGTGCCATCCACACTACGACGGAGAATGTTACTCATTGCATTTTGCAACTATGCGACAATCCGAGCATTGCCCAGGCGTTGCGCAAAGAGATGGTGCAAGTCTTGAGGGAAAGTGGCTGGAACAAAGCATGTTTCCACAAGATGAAGCTACTGGATTCCTTCATGAAAGAGGTGCAGCGTTATCATCCGATGAGCTTATGTGAGTAATATCTTTCCGTTAATCCTGTACAATGCATCGATGGGAAACTAACATCTGGATCAGCCACTATGCATCGAAAGGCGGAGGCTCAAGTCACTCTATCCGATGGCACGACTTTGCCCAAAGGCAGTCGAATAATGATTCTCAACGACATCTTGAGAGATCCCACGATATTTTCGGAGCCGGACAAGTTCGACGCATACCGATTTTACAATATGCGGAAATTGCCCTGTGAGGAAAACAAGCATCAGTTCACCACGACAGCTGAAGATGCTCTAAGCTTTGGCCATGGTAAGTTCTTGCACTTACCTCAGGTGATGTTTCGTTTGGCTAACGACTCTTTCAGGTCGACACGCTTGTCCCGGACGCTTCTTCGCTTCGAACGAGATCAAGATTATTCTCTGTCTGCTCTTGCTGCAGTATGAGTTCCGATTTGAGCCTGGCTATTCGCGGCCAGGAGATTTGATCTTTGCGGGATCGATCTCGGCGAATCCGACGATAAAAGTGCAAGTGAGGGCGAGGAAGCCAGAAATCGATCCAATGAATCCTACCGATGGAGGTACATAATCTGGCTATCGCTGGCGCTGGGAGACTGAGATTTGTAACGAACCGACGTCTTCAACGATAGGAATTCATACGCTCTCTTGTAGTCTTCTGGAATAATTGAAGCTACGACTTTCGGGCAGACAATGCTTTCCTTCGGTCTGGAGTCGTGGTGCACAAAGGGGAGCAACTCAGGCTTAGATGTATACATTCAGCACGTATGAGGCCGCAAAACGCTATCGCCAGCGCCAGCCATTGTCGGTGCAGCCTTGAATGTTAGCTTGGATGGATTGTCCATACGCAAAACATTTCCACGGCAAAAACGCATGTGTCGTTCACCCGTGGAACCCGTTTACTTGCAAAAATTCAGACCCCTTCGGGGTATTAGATTAGTGCCCATTCTCGGAATCGAACCGAGGATCTTCTCATTACGCTGATATACGAGTGAGACGCTGTACCACTAAGCCAAACGGGCCACATGGTTGGTGGATCCGTCACAAATCGCAATATGTACTGCGCGCGTTGCTAGTCGTGAAGCTCGAAGCGTACCGTGTAAGAGATATCGAAAAAAAGATGACTCTGTCACTTCTCAGATAGCAGCGCTCACCACACAGTCTCACAAATCCGAGCACGATCGTTGTCTTGAGCTTACATGCAGCACATTCCCGCGATGCCTCAGGCTGGAAGCGGATGTGAGAGCTTGGCGTTCCGGCATTCCAAAGTTCTGCGACCTGCTTGACCTCATTTCTTGTCCCTGGAGCAGCTCTGTCGATGACAATGCACGATGACAGTCCACGATGCGCGATATCTCAGCGAAGCTACTGACCTATGCTCAGAGTGGAATCGCAATACTCAAGATGGCAAGCCACTTGCGCAGATTGTTCTCCTCCCTTCATGAGAGTTCTGTTGAAAAGAAGAAAAGTGTATAATTCGTTACTAATTGCAGTTTCATCGACCGGCGGCATTTAGTAGCAGCTCCATCATCAAGGTAAACCAAGGCGCCTTTATCACTGAGCATCCAAACTCGAAGCGTACCAAGTTCAGCCTGCCGTCATCTCAACCAAGCAGACTTCGCAATAAGGCTTCCGCCGCGCGTTTCTGGGGTGGTGTCAACTCGCTACCGACGTCCCTTCGCACAGGAAACTTATCGCCAAAAATCCAGCCTCCGAGAGAGCCCAGCCCATCGCCATCAGACGACCATGAACCGAATCGTGCTTCGGCTTCACGTTTGAGCTGAGTAGGTGTCAAGTCGGCAAGGTGTCTTCGAACAGGGAATTTGTCGCCAAAGATCCAGCCTCCAAGCGAACCCAACCCATCGCCATCCGAGCCAAACGCGCCCCAGCGTGTTGGATCAGCTTCGCGTTTGACTGGGAATTTGTCACCGAAGATCCAGCCTCCAAGCGAACCTAGTCCATCGCCATCAGACGACCATGAACCAAAACCTGCTTCAGCTTCGCGTTTGACTGGGAATTTGTCGCCGAAGATCCAGCCTCCGAGCGATCCGAGTCCATCTCCATCGGATCCCCAGGATCCGAATCGTGCTTCGGCTTCACGTTTGACTGGGAATTTGTCGCCGAAGATCCAGCCTCCAAGCGATCCGAGTCCATCTCCATCAGATCCCCACGAGCCAAAGCGTGCTTCCGCTTCGCGTTTATAGTTGGAGATCAATTCGGCAGATCGGCGCTCGTATGGGGTCTTGCCAGTTGCGAGCCATTCTCCCAATCCATCGAATCCATCGGTATCGGATGACCATAATCGTGCTGCGGCTTCGCGCTTCAAATGGTTAAGCAAGATTGCGTGCGCATCACGTTGCTGGAGCGGAGCAGCAATGGTTGGCGTGGCGCAGAGCGCAACAATGGCGATAATATCGTGACAATGCATTCTGTTGCTTGAAATGTGCGTCGATGGTTGTTCTCAAGTTGCTCCTGCCCGCAGGAGTTGATGCTCGATTGGTGCTGCCTGCAGGAACTGTTGCTTCTGTCTTTTTCCTGATCACAAATCAGACAACCTTATATACCCTTCGAAACTTGCCGCCATGGTTGGGTGAGCAGGGCATGTGTGCAAGATTGTTCGAGATACCGAACGCAGTCGACCGTGTTCATGAGCCAAGAATCACCGCGGGTATTGTGCGCCACTTCACGGCCGGGTCTGCGAACATCCCTACTGGCCACGCGCTGGCCCATGTATCATACCGTGAGCTGACCGAAACCACCGTGGAGACAACACCAGTAGCAAATAGCTTATCGAAAGGTATCGCAGGTGCTGATCCATTGGAAGGTACGGTCTGTGATGCTCTGACTGGCATGCAACGATCGCCGGAGGTGTGCTCGCTCTTTTCGCATGAATCGGCTCTGAGCCAGGCCGAGGATTGTCAATCTTCCTAGTGCAATTTTGAAGTCAGCCGTTTTTTCCTGATGTGTCAGCGGCATGCCAAGATCTTATCTCGACAACGACCGATGCCTTGAAATAAGTTCCCCAGAGCCAATGTTGCCCGGCGCTTGGCGATTGCTTCTTGGCCATGCAGCAGATTCAGCATTTGGCACGAGGCTTGTGCTGTCTCCTCGCTTTAGTAAGATTGATAGCGCATGATGCCACTTTTCACACACTTTGACTTCTCATGCATGAGGCAGCTCTCTTTTGTCGGCCGGCTGTGGTGCTCTGAATCAGAGACACAATCGTTCGGTATTGACCTACCCAAAGACATCAAAACTTGAGTCGCGTGCTGTTGCCCAATGAGAATGCGAGATCTGTCTACCAAACTCGTTAGGCTGTGAAATAACCACATCGTTATCGGTCATGCCTCTTCTTGCAAAAGACACGATCCATCCACTCCTTAACGAGAGCTGAGGTGAACTCTTTCGTCGAGCTTCGAACGAACGTCCATCTTCAATCATAACGTCTATTCGCCCGACGCTGTCTAGAATCTGTATTGCTGAAGTCGCCCAAAAGTGCCTCCGAACACGATTTCGCTGATAACGCTCCGTACCGTTCCCAGTTGCACATCGAGCCGAAGTCGGTCCAGCGTAGTTGTACGTCCCCTGTGCATTTGTGCTTGCCAGATCTGTCGTCATTCGATGTTGTTGAATGCCTACTTAACATTCAAAGGTAGTAGACTGAGCGCTTGGTGCCTGTGATTGGGGTCTTGCCAGTAGCAATCCACTCTCCATATCCGCCGAGGCCGTCGCCTTTATTTCCAAGCAAGCCCGCGAACCAGGCATCAGCCGCACGTTTCTGATTCGGCGTCAAGTCGGCCGAAGTGCCTTCGAAGGGAGTCTTGCCAGTTGCGATCCATTCTCCTAAGCCACCAAGCCCGTCGCCATCAGATCCAAATGCTCCCCAGCGCATTGCAGCAGCAGCGCGTTTGTGGTTCGGTGTAAGATCGGCGGAAGTGCCTTCGAATGGGGTCCTGCCAGTTGCGATCCATTCTCCTAGGCCGCCCAGGCCATCGCCATCAGATCCGAATGCTCCCCAGCGCATTGCCGCGGCTGCGCGTCTCTGGAGGAGAAAATCGTACACACTGCGTTGCTCGAGTGGCATGGCGAGCGTTTGTGCGGCGCAGAGCGTCAATATAGCGAAAATGGCATGGTACTGCATCTTGTTTCTGCTTGATAGAAGAGTTCTTGATTGGGAGAAATGTTGCTTGGTAGCGAAATTGTTCCTGCCTGCAGGAGATGTTGCTGAATGGTAGTGGATCTCGTGTTGCTTGCCAGAGCCGGTATGATTATTTTAATCAGCACTCATGCAGCAGTACATATATGTGTAGGAAGTAGTTGGGTTTGCTTAGGTTTCCAGCAAGCATGCTGAGGCCATACGACGAATACGATGTATATGTCAGCCAAGAAATCGCCGTGGGTGTTGCGAAGTACTGGATGCGGCCGCGTTTGTGGGCAATCCTACTGGTTACCTACTGTTCCATGCGTCAGGTCGTGCCATGATGTATCGTGGGGAGACCGAATATTCCGTTGAGTGGCTCATGATCAAGGGACTATGCCACTGGGATTGTACATGCTGGATGCATGTAGACAGCACGATTTTCGACGCCCTCGAATAGGTGCTACTTCGAACAGAATGGTCGCCGGAGTCTCCGTTGCACTTGTCGCAGTACGTTGCGCCTATGGACCACGTCGTGGACTTTCAATTCTCCTAGTGCAGTGCGCAATTAGCAATTTCTCGTCGTTGAGCGTGTTGTTGTCTTGGATGATAGCAAACTCCATGGAGCACCTCCAATATCAGGGTTTCTCAATCGCGGAGAGTCAACGGACATTTCGTGGACGGACCAGTGTTGGTGTATCAACGAAATTGAATGAACGCTGTCGTTTCCTGCTTGTGAGATGACTGACAGGGCAAAACATTTCACGCCAGGCATCCCAATGTATGATTCCGAAATGATTTGCCAAATCTCTCATGGAAGTATTGCCATCCGATGTTGCAACCGACTCATTGCTGTCAGATGATTCCTGCGCGTTTGCATCAAGCCGAGCACAGCTCACTTCCCGCAAGCCCAGCTCTAGTGTCCAGGATCAGAGCCACGATCATGCCATATAAGCCTAGTGAGACACGTCAAACTCCTGCTCGTATACCACTCTCGGACCTCTGACATGTTCAAATAACATGTCTGACTCATGCACTCACCTAACACTTCCGCAAATATCAGGATCAAGACCATAGAAACGAACAATCTTGGCTGTTGAGCAATGCTCCTCGTGCCCGCGTCTCCAGCAATTCCGATCGTGAAACCTGCGGCGAGACTGCACAGTCCCACAGCTAGACCAGAACCGAGATTGATGAGCGATGTGTAGAGTGGTAGGGTGACAACGATTTTGTTGGCGATGAGGACCGAGCAGACGAGGCCGTAGATAGCGAGAATGCCGGAGAAGACGGTGGGGAGGATGGCTGTAGTGAGAAGAAGGCGATGTTAGTGCGTGAAAAACCTGGCACGAACGCCAGCGAGGCAGGCTGGCTTTGGGAACCTATACCTCTCACGCCCAAATCGGGATGTAAGACCCCAGCACTGAGGGTGCCTATGCTAGATTTTGCTGTTCCATAGGCGGCGCCGAAGGAGGAGAATACAATCGCAGCAACAACTCCCATGGCGCTGAAGAAGGGCTGTGAAGGCGATCAACCAGATGAGTGCGGCGCCCATATCTCGTGGCTCAAATGAGGAAGACATACCGCGTATGCTGGACTGCATGTATTCGTTAGCATTGGAGGAAGAGGCGTTGAATGTCGGAGCCATCACAGCTTACCACATATCCGAAGCCATGTTGAGCACTATAATTTTGTCTTCCTTAAGCAGTTTTTGCAACTCAGACATCAAGAAACAAGGGCAGCTCAAGAGGAGACTGAAATAGAAAGGACGAATAATGGAGTTGAAATACTGCTGGAGGCCAATGATGAGATTCGGTCATTGGCGTTAGTCGTTGATCCTGATGGCCAGGCTGCAGAATAAGAACCACGGAGTCGCATTCGTGAGTGATCCTGCTGGTGCTACCTTGAGAGCTAGTCATGTGACTAGTTCTTAGTTTAGAAATGGAACTTCTCTACTTGAAGCGCGCAGGCTGTGAATATGCTGCCGATCTCTCCATTGTGGTGCTGGGTAGGAAAGGGCTCTGAAGCGACTGGAAACTGGATGCGATTTCATGGCTGGTGACTTGACCGATGATCGTTGTGTGAGAGAATTTTGTCAGCAGTAAATTGAGAACCATTGGTACAATCTGATGGTCATCGGAGATCAGAGTCAAGGCCTTGATATAAGTGTCAAACGTGTTTGTCGCAAGCACGAAGTGAAGCAAGAGCAAGGACAAAGTCTTGGCACCTCTCTCCAGCTCGCGCCGCAAGCACCTCCGTCTCGCTCCGCATTTGAACCAGCACCTCTCCCATCTCCAACCCATTGACACCCTCCCAGCGCGGCCATTACCATGTCTCAATATGTCGGCCGCACGCGGCTCGCCTACACACGAAGCTGGCACCTCACAGACCTCCGCACCGATCCCCGTCCCCTCGGCCGTCTAGCCTCCCAAATCGCCATAACATTAATGGGAAAACACAAACCCATTTTCGACCCCTCAACCGACTGCGGCGACTACGTCGTCTGCACAAACTGCCACGATCTCCACACCACAGGCAAAAAAATGCAGAAAAAGAAATACTATTCGCATACGACGCGGCCGGGGTCTTTGAAGGAGATTACGATGGAGAAGATGATGGCGAAGTGGGGAGGTGGAGAGATTTTGAGGAGGGCGGTGAGGGGTATGTTGCCGAAGAATCGGTTGAGGGATGTGAGGATGGGGAGGTTGAAGTGTTTTGAGGGGGAGGAACATCCTTATAAGCAGAATTTGTGGAGGACGGGGGAGGGGAGGAGTGTTGGGAAGGTGGAGAGGGCGGTGAGGGAGGCGAGGGCTGTGTGTGTTGAGGAAGCAGGGAAGAAGGAATTGACTGGGAGTGGGCAATGACGGAGATGAGAGAGATGGAAAGCATTTCGAGATCACTATTCTCCAATCCTCGCGCCGAGCACCGGTGGGCCGCACATCAAAAGGCAGGATCGTGCGTGTTCGAGGGGGGCACTGATATTGCCGCTGGGGAGGTCAAAGGATTAGAAGACAAACAGGGGAAGGCATCGCAGTCAGGCATCGACATCGCTTGCATCGATGACTGTCATGGCGTGACTTGACGCGAGCCATTGTCAGATGTCGACAGCCTCACAAGGTGATGGAGATGAGGAGCAGTGTCTAAGGCAGCGGACGCTCTTCTCCATATGGAGGACCTCATGGCGAGATACTCTTCCCATCGAAGAGACATTCGCAGCGGTCAAGAGGACAGGCTTCACGCGTCAGGTGTGGCATGGCCAGCTTGCGAAGCGCAGAAGTCGGTTTGCTGTATATATCACGCACTGTGAAGGGTTCAACGCGCAGACGACAATGGCAGCACGAGAGAAAATGGGAGACGAGCAAGCACACCAGGGTATCGATGTCCGAATAAGGGTACCCATTCCAAGATGCGAAGAAGCTGTGTATCTATCATTATATCCAGGAGATTCCCTTTGCCCAAACTCCCAAACCCTGTGCCCGCTTCCCAATAATAGCTCAGACGCCAATACGTGGGCTCATGCATTGCTCATTGCTCATCGCTCAAAGTTTCGCCTTCGCATCTCTCGTCACCACGCTCTCAATCAATCCATTCGGATCACTCTGCGGCGCGTAGACCTCCGCATCCTTGCCCGTATTTTTCAATCCCTTGTACCAACTCAAATCGATCTCAAAGTAGTGCTTGTTGGGTAAACTGTATTCCACCTTCTCCACGTCCTTGGCCGCGTCCAGTATCCTCTGGCTCATGAGATACATGGTGTTCTGTACTGATGGTGAATTCTCTGTGGCGAACGTTTCAAGCGTAATCGTTTTGGCAGAGTCGAAAGCTGCGTCGAATGTCTTGGCTGATGCGGCGCGCTGGACATCGTCGAGTGAGGCATATGACTTCCACGTCCAGTGAGCGTCGACGGAAGTGGAGAGGATACGGTCTCTGGTTTCGGCTAGGCGGGTAAATTCGTCGCGGTGGAAGGAGTGGAATTGGGAGCCGGTGGATTTGAGGACCAGAAGGCCTGTGAGGCCACTACGGATTGTGATGTTGTTGCGTGATGCGGTCGCGTAGACGACGCGCTTCTCCTCGCCATCGCGGACGAAGGAGTGGGGGTGCGACTTGCCAGCTACGGTCATGCGAGTCCATTTATGTACGGTAATCCATACGTGGGAAGTGGTGATGTGTGGGTATTGTTTGAGGAAGTGGGAGGCCACAATGGATGCGAAGAGTTCGGGAGGGTTGACTGGGTGTTGTTTGGCGAGCACGTAGACGGTATGCTTTTGAGTATCTGTCGCTACGATGTTGGCGTTATCGGAGTGCGTCCAGGAGCGGGCGATGTCGCCTTGGAGCATGGTGCAGACGGTCATCTCGGTGACGGATTGTGTGCCATCGAGATGGCGGTCGGTCTTGAAGAGGCGGACATTGTCTTTGCCGTATTGTGCGTGTGAAAGTGTAGCCATGTTGTTATTGGTATGGAGTGTATATGGAGATGGTCGCGTGAGTAGTATACAATATGATCGTTGCTGTGAAGTAAGTAGCCCAAAGTCTAGGTGAGATTTGCTGCTAGATCTTGGAAGGGAAAGAAGGACGACTGCGAAGAAGCTTCCTACCGAAGATTTATTAGAAGTACAGGCTTATCGGAGGTGGTGGAAGTGCAGTGCAGTACAGCTATCGCATGAGGCCGAGAGGGAGAGCTGGGCGACGAGGCAAGCTTCGCGCATCGACCCTGCAGCTGCCAGCGGACGTCGCCGATGGTGTGACACCCGCCCGTCGTCAGGCCATCAATAACGGAGATCAGGCACAAGGTGTATTGCACCCGGTTTGCCCGTTCGGATCAATTCCGAAAGACTGCATCTGTGTCGAGAGTGGTCGCCATAACATTGGTAGATTGTTGGTAGTACCATAGCAGTTGTCGCCAGCAGAAATGCAGTGGGAGAGCCTGGATGCCTGAATTCCGTCAGAGCTGCCACCTCCGCTGATCCTGGCGTGGATATGCACGTCAAGTGTGAAACGCGAACGACCATCTGAGGCACGGCACGTCGACCGCGTCAGCCAGAACAACATTGTCGCCCCTCCTCCACCCACCACTATCTGCCCACTGTCCGCCGACAACGACATGGTCACAGCGCCGTCACATCCCGGTCTCAATGCATACCGACGTGCTCGTAGCTAGAGCCTGTCCCACTACCAATGACGGCCCTCGATGACACTCCCACCCAATCGCGCCAACGGGCCCTCCGGAGGCACCACCAATAATGCACTCATTCCGCCCTCGCGCTCCGCTAAAGATGGAGGTAGTCTGGCCGCGAGCTTCGTCACTGCGAAGCCTTCCCAGTCTTATATCCGACCCGGTATTGCTGCTGGGCCGGGCAGCTTCACGGCCGATCTGAAGTCTTTCAACACCAGCAGATTGGATCTTAATGCATACGGCAACCTTGATGATGGAACAACAGACCCCACGAGCAGCGAGCAGCGACAGGCTGAGTACAGGCAGGAAATCGAGAAGCAGACGCGGCTGAAGGCAGGGACCGAGAACTTGCTCGAAGCACTGAACAGCAAAAATGCCAAAAAGTCAAGAGATCAGCGTATGGCTGCCGAGAGCCAGCTCAATAGCTCCAACAGGAAGATTGCCCAGCTCAAGTTGGACCTCGAGGCCGAGATTCAGAGGAGTAAAGAAGCTCCCATCAGTCCCAAGGCGAGACTGTCGCAGCTGTTCCGTCCAGTCCAGCCTCTGTCTCTGAACGATCCCAGACCTTCTCAGGATCTGGAAGAGTCCGCTGCGGAACTTCAGGACCCGGAGCTGGAGTCGCCAACATACATCTTGGCAGAGATTCTGCAGGCTTTAGAGGCAGAGGATATGCAGCCAGACTATTATATCAACCAGGCTAACGACCTGGTCGAGCTATTTCGGCGGCATCCAACTCTCAAGTACGACCTGGCTTGGTCCATCTTTGGTATGCGAATGCAAATCATGTTGCTCAGCGACAGCAGAGAAGTCGTCGCTGCAGGGTACAGAGTGATGAGGTATGCGATCACGAATCGCAAATCTTTGCAGACGATACGCGCGCTCCATACAGACTATCTCGTCATTTTGTCACTGGTCAAGGAGAGCAAAGCCCGCGTGGAGCGGGAACAAGCCCTCAAATTCATCCGCGCATTTCTCGATGTTAAGGACGGAACGAAGGAGATCCATCCGGCCGTCGCGCGCATCGTTGTCGCAGTCGCAGACCATTCAGACGATCAGCTACGCGGCATAGCAATCTTGACGCTGGCAGAAATGCTGCTGAAAGAGCCAATGCTGGTCGTCGAGGCAGGCGGTATCAGCGTAATTGCAGAGGCAATGGGTAATGGAGTATACCATGCACCAGAGACTCTGCTCGGGCCCCTCCTCCATCTGATGGACCTCCCAGCTCGAAGAGGAGTCATTCGCTCTGGCTTTGAATTCAGTTCAGCGTTTGCAACCTTCACCGAGCCACATTTCTCTAGTTCCTACGAGGATCGCTTGATCGCCAGCTCGAGGGTAATCGCTGCGATGTTCAAGAGCTGGGCTGGCCTCATGAGTCTTTCTCTTCATAATTTCCTGCCTGTCCGATCAGTCGTCTCCTCGCTGTACGTGGCCGATATCCGCGTGCGCACGGCCATCCTCGATCTGCTCATGGACATTCTTCGCATTGAGCGGCGGTCATGGTCGACACCATTCATCGGTGGTCGGCGCTTGACGACTTATGCACGTGTGGTGAACCTCAAAGAGGACAAGCCGAAGACCTCCAAGCAGAATGACGAAGATACCAATCAGAAACGCAGTCTTGTTCAACACTTTACTGCTGTTACGCTCGCTGCACTTCTCCAGCATGGCCTTCTTCAAGGTCTTGTCAGCGCAGAGCGCGACGCGCCCTCGGACGCGTTGAAGCGTAGAACAAACCTCCTCATTGCAGAAGTGCTGAAGAAAGCGAGCGAGTTACTGCCCTCATCTTGGAACGCGCAGCTTCAATCCATGCCCGGCTTGTTCGACTCGGCTTTGAAGTTCGACAATGAGGATCGACACCTAGCTGTGACCACAGTCTATCAAGTGGATAAGGTCAACTTGAAGCTGTGGCGCTCAGATCCATCAACGACAACTCAGTCGAAGAAAGACGAGACTCAAGATACACGAGCGAGATCTGCGTCAAAGACCCAAGTGCAGGCCAATATGGACGAAGCGTTGTTCCGCGCCAGGCTGCTCGAGACTAACGTTCTCAACACCGTCAACTACCTTAAGTGGGACTGGAACATCATTCTGGAACTGGTCGATGCGCCGCTTACCAATCCCCGTCTCTTGTACGAAGCGATGGAAAAGTCGAAATTTGTACATCGCTTGCTTAAGTTCTTGCGACCATTTCAGTTTCGCTTCTCAGATGCGTCGAATACAAAGGCAAACCAGCGGTATCTCAAGATGGCGTGCACGCTCGTCAAGTCGCTGCTCCAAACGCAAGAAGGAGCGGTATGGTTGTTGAATAATAAGACGATTCGACAGCTTGCCGAGTGCCTAGCACAACTGGACTCGCAGAGCGGCATCACATCTAATAGTCCCATGTTCTCGCCAAATCGGTTGAGTGAGACCCTCGTGGGAGGCTACTTCCAGATACTCGGCGTCATGTGCAGTGACCCCAAAGGCCTGGGAATCCTCGAGAAGTGGCACATGATCAACATGCTTTATCATATTGTTGAGGTCAAGAATCGGGATGATTTGATTCGCACATTGCTCACCAGCCTGGATTATGCGCTCGACAGTCACCCGAGAATTATTCTCTGCAAGGCCATGATTGCAGGTTCTAAGCACATCCGCATCATGGCAACCACACTTTTGCGTTCATACGCAACCACACCCATCGAAGACTCGGGAATAGGTGGCTCTGCAGCAGAGTGGGCGATACGTTTGCTGGTCAGTCAGCTGTACGACCCTGAGATCGAAGTCTGTGAGGTTGCTATCAAGATTCTGGAAGAAGCTTGCAATGACATCAGGTCGTTGAAGTATGTGGTCAAGTGCAGACCTGCGCTGGATCATCTGGGCGAGATTGGCGCGCCACTGCTGCTGCGCTTTTTGTCCACATCCGTCGGATACCACTATCTAGATGGCTTGGACTACATTACTCGCGAAATGGATGACTGGTTCCTAGGGCGCAATGATAGCTATGTGGCGGTTGTCGAAGCATCACTGGCTCGCGCTCTCGCGGATGTGCCAGAGAAGCCTCAGTCGTCCGGTCTTGGCGAAGCGATAGTGCCCCAGGACTTTGGATATGTGCCGCCACACTTCTACCGCGAGCTGACCAGAACCGTCGAGGGTGCAGAGCTTCTCAAGCACAAAGGCCATTTCGAGGAATTTGCAGCCACAATTCAAGACTTTGCCATGGAAGAAGAGGATCCAGAAACTATCCTCAAAGTGAAAGGCTGTCTGTGGGCTGTCGGGAACGTGGGCAGTATGGAACTGGGCGCGCCATTCCTGGAAAGCACAGATGTGGTGAAATATATCGTGCAGATTGCCGAGAACTCGCAGGTACTTACATTGCGCGGCACTGCTTTCTTCGTCCTCGGGCTCATCTCACGCAGCCTTCATGGACAAGAAATCCTGGCCGAATACGGATGGGATGGCACTATGAATGTCATGGGTGAATCTCTGGGCTACGTGCTTCCCATCAATTTCGACAAGTTGTTTTCTTCCTTGCGGTCGGTTTCTGATACTCCAGCATCATCATCAAATTATCAGCAGACCTCGCCCGCGCTGCGTAATCGTCCGGGTCAAATTTCCGATCGCGATCCAACCAACCAGGCCATTCTCGACGCTATCACGAAGCTTGGAAACACAGTTCTCACCAACAAGGCTATCACGGAGCTGAATTCGCTAAAGCATACCAAGAAAGCTCCCGCATTCAGCAACAGCCCAGACCTGTTCCGCAAGGTCATGATACTGCTGGCGAGCCATGCGTACCGAATCCCACAGTACCGCTTTGTCATTGATCTGTTTGAGAAGAGCGTGCTGAGGAGGATTGTCCTGGCAGAGGAGGGTAGTGAGGATAGCAGTAGCGAAGAAAGCGAGACAGATCGGAGTGGTGATGTGCACGACAATGGTCCCGAGGGAGACACATCAAGGGATGATGACGATGAGGATGAGGACGATGATGCTTGATTGGGGCTCATGTATACGGGCACGGCGTTCTTGTGGCGTTTCAGTGCCGAGAGTGAACATGGTGTTCAAATGAATGCAATGGAATACGATATACCCCTCTGTGGGATGGGTTTGGCGTTATTGAAGGGGCCATGATCGATCTTCTTGGGGCCAAAGTGGGGAAGGGATGGCTATCTTCTTCGGTGCTGGCGCCGGCGCAGTTGTACATATTGGATCAAAGAAGAAGAGCATTTGGCAGATGTGTTATTGCATTCGAAGCACGTTTTGGCTTCCACCGTGTGACCGCTTCTTGCAAGAGGCCCACGTAGCCGTATAGGCGTGTCTGTGTGGCGTTTCTTGGCGTTGTGACTAACCTCAACTTCTCTCTTTGCATGAATCCGGACGTCGTTGATCCCCCGTGAAGTCCGCATTTACGGAGCCCGTCCCACTGGCATCACGATGAACGTGCATTCCAAGTCACTGGCAGCGCGTTCAGCATTACAGGCTTCTTCTTCTGCCTGCCACAATCCCCAGGGCAACGGGTGTACCGAGAAAGACCAAAGTATGCGGGACTACTGGAGCGTCCGATATGATTCACGCTATTAGCACATGGCGCCCACGCGTCCTCACGAGCTTCCGACTTCAGCTTGGTCGTCGGTGTGGCCTACGCATCTGGACTCTGGCACTTGCTGTAGCGGTTGCGGCTTCGCCATGTGAGGGCAATGGACATATGCAAGTCCTGTAGCCGGACCATGTGCTTGGAGAGATTAGTGTACATTAGTGGATGGAGCTTGGGGCGAGATTTCCGACAGCTGAAGAAAGCCCGTCGATATATGAAAGGCTCATTCCCTTCCAAGCTGGATGTTGGGGCCTCTGAGGATACACTGTTTTGCAATCGAGCACTAGCATTATTTGATATCATGGCTCCACCAGGTCCGTCAAAGGCGAAGCCGGCTCCGCCTGCGGCAAAGCAGGATTCGGCACCAGTCGCAGGCCAAGGAGCCTCTCAACCAGTGAACCCGACTGCACTAACAGCAGTCATTGACAAAGAGAAAGAACTCGCCGCCGAGAAACAAGGTGAGGGCCTCAGTGAGGCTCGTCATACGCTTGCTGACCCATAGTCTTAGACGCAATGAACACGGCAGTTGCTCGTTTCAAGGAGATCTCAACGAGCCTTGGAGGTCATCAGCAGGCTAAGGCATTCTTCGACACCTACGGCACTGATGGCTTCAAACCGAAAGCCCCGCCAGAGGATCCCAAACGCATCGCTCCCAAAGAAATGACTCTGAACTCTGAAATCAAAGACTACAGTGATAGATGAATGGGCCTTGCCGCAAAACCTGACGGGTTTGGGGCAGCTCACGTTCAAGACTTGGCTTGGGACATTGAAGAACCCGATAAAGCTGTGAATGCTACTGAGCTGAATGATGAAGCGTGGCAGCATCTTATTGACACGACCAAGATGCTTCATGGTTATGTTCTTAACGGCACATCCGGTCTTTCGCGCGCAAGATTCCAAGCATTCCAGCTCAAACCACCGGCGGGAAACACTTATAAGGATGCGAAAACTATCAGACCAGAGTTTGAGGTGTTTGATGCTTCATCAATTTCCACCAAGGAGACTAAGACGCAGGTAGAAAGATCAATGGCGCAGAATGGCTTCTCTTCTCAAGCAATATCGGCTTCTGTTGGAGCTTCCACGCCCTACGTTGGAGTTGGCGTTTCTGCTTCACATTCTTCTGAGTCTCAGAAGAGTGAGAGCAGTGCGGATTTCAAGGATCGCTTGGAGTACACTGCCACATACAATTTTCCGAGGGCACGCATCTTTCTTGATGAACTCAACCTCGAGGCCACTACCGAATGTGCTGACTTCCTGGTGAAAATTGAGGATGCAGCAAACAAGATCTCAGCGAACATCAAGGCTGGAAAAGAGCCGGACCAGGATCGCGCTGTGGCCAATGCCAATCGTCTGGTCGCGCAATTTTACACCAGATTCGGCCATATTTTCGCATGTAATATCCAGCTGGGCGGACAATTGACTGCTAGCAAGTCTGCGACGTCTTTCGGAACTGTCAAAGAAGAGGAGCGCAGGGACGCTATGCAGGCCGCTGTGGCCGCAAGTGTCGAAACAAAAGCCGTTTCCGTGTCTTCGAGCTACAGCAAAGGCACTTCTACAGATGATACGAACCGCAACACTACCGTTGAAAATGCGTCTTCACTCGCTTGGTCCGCACGAGGCGGTAATACGTTGCTTTGCGCCAATCCTGCTGCATGGGCGAATTCGGTAGCTGACCCCAAGCACTGGAGGGTCATGGAGCAAGCGAATATTCTTGCGCTTCCGGAACTCATCAGCAAATTCACACGGACCACACACGGCGGAGCTCTTGCATGGCCTAACATTGGCGGTACGTTCCATACCATTGCGAAGAGTAAGTTCCAGCAGATTCCGCGCATCCAGCCTGATAAATGGACTGGAAAATTGAAGTTCCGAACTCTTGATGGGCGAAAAGTTGTGATCAAAGACAATCATCTTTGCATCGCCGATGAGGGAGAAGAAGCTATCTTTTCTGTTCTGGATGCCGATAAAGAGAAGAGCCATGATCCGGATACGATCATGCCTCAACTGTATGCGGACAGTCCCGTATATCTTATGCCAGGTAAGACATATGCTCGCCAAAGCCAAGCCGAGGGAGCACAATTCGCTGGTCTCTGGGTCGATGGCAAGTCCACCAACTGACAAGTCCGAACGGACCCAGGCAAGCCTTGCCGCTGGACTTTACGTCGCAATGAGGCTCTTCCCGATAAGACGGCTCCTCTCGGAGCTTTCCCGTGGGCTCCTGGCCGCGGCGATCCCATCAAACATGAAGAGGTGGTCGGACTCTTCTGCCACTCATATCATTACGGAGGCCCCTTCACCAGCAAAACCGTACCACCCATCTTCGCGCCTTATGTCGTGAAACGAAACGACTCTCGGCTTTCGGTCTTCAAAGTCGATCCTCAAATTATGCTGAGACTCGACACCGCTTCATTGTTCAAGGACGATCCAGCTTGGGCTTTTCTCAAATCCAATACGAGCGAGTCTATGCAAGCTCTCATCGAAGCCAGCGATCTCGGTAAGCGTGTCGATGAAACTCAAATCGAGACCTGGCGGAGCACCTTTGCACTTGGAGATGTGTCGAAGTGGAAGCCTGCACATGAGATGATCATGGGTGTTACGCCTGCATCTCGCGACTACTTTGTGCGCGCAGTAGGGGAAGATACTTTCAACAAGAATAAATTGCTAACCGCGGGAGTTTTGGGCACTTTGATCAATCTGGATCTTTTAAATTGGGCTGCTTTGAATAGTGTGCCGAATTTGGAGCCTGTGCGGTTCAAGGTCATCTTTGTGCATGATGAGGAGGACCTCCAGGAAGAACAGGGCGAGGAGTATGGTCCTGGGTTGTTTGACTAGGTAGGTAGCTGCTCACGAGACATGAGTTATCCATTGCGGTTAGGTCAACTAAAGTAAACGGCAGACAGACAGTAAGCTTCCTGGCACAAAACCGTTGGCCTGTCTTGCAGCCCTGCGATAATCGAGGTATACGATCCGTGGACTCAGGTATATATGTGGCTGAGACTCATCCCGCATCTCATCAGTTAAATCGGACTGCTATTCCTCTCGCACCACCAGTTCGGCTCCTTTACCGCATCAACAACGCCATCATGAAACTTCAATACGCGGTTCGCAAATCTAAACATATCGACAGCTACCTTGAACATCGATGTCTCTCACCTATAAGCCACATGTCCCTCTCCTCTTATGTACAAAGCCCACTTCATTACGACTCAAACAATTCGCACTATCTGACTTTCGTTCAAAGCCTAGGCGCACTGACCTTCGATCCCCCACCTCGAGCGAACAATGCCTGCAGCTCTGTCTTGACGACACTCTTATGACTCAACAATCCTCGTTCATGAACGTCGACCCATTGTCCCTTTTCTTTCCAGCCCCATGCTTTGTCTTTCTCTTCGCCATTCGAGACATCGTACAGCACGTTGAGGATGTATTTTCCGATGATGGGGAGGAACCTGATTGAACACAGTCAGTACTTCGAAGTCACATGCAGTCGTAGCAAAATAGACAAGGGGCGCATACTTATACGAGTGAAAGCTGCCTCCCGTAGCAACATACAACCCCTTCAACCTCTCCTGATCCGGATGTTTACAAATCAAGAAATCTTCCGTCGGAGTCTGCGCATCCCAGCAAATACGCCAATAATCCGGTTCTTTACCCTTCGCAAACGCAGGTAAAACTTTCTCGCTGATCATCGCTTTCGTCTCTTGTTTCAAGCATTCTGGTACACAGTATTGATCTTCCGCCGGGATGGAAATCTTATGACCCGAAGGAAGAGTGTGGGAATTTATAATTCCAGAGCGAGAATTCGCGTATTTCATGAGTTTGTTTCCATGAGAGGGTGGGATGATCTCTCCGAGACCACCGTAGACTACGACGGGGAGTTGGAAGTTATCGAGTTGGGAGATTTCGGTTGAGGTGCAGTTGTAGTAGGCTGCGCAGAGACCTGTGGCTTGGATTTGGGATTCGATGCGGAGGTTGGTGGGTAGGGAGAGGGATTCTTCGAGGGTGGAGAGGAGGGCGGAGGTCCAGGGGCCGGTGCAGAGGATCGTTTTATCGGCGTAGAAGGTGCGGCCGTCGGCGGTTTGAGCGCCCTGAATAGTTTTGGTTGTGGAGTCGTGGAGGAGTTGGGTTACTTTGCCGGTTTCGCGGCGGATGCCTTTGCGTTCGGCGGCTTGCATGAAGGCGTGAGTTGCTTGGGCGGCGTCGCACCAGCCTGCTTCGGGGTTGAAGTAGGCGGATTGGAAGCCTTCGGAGGAGGTGCCTTGGAGTGCGTTCCAACGGGAGGAGATGTTGTTGAGGTCGATGTCTTGGGCTTGAGTGCTTCCTCTTCCTTCAAAGGTGGATTTGATGCGGGATTTGAGGTCGCTGCCTTCTTCTTCGTACATCAGCCAGCCCACTTTGTGGAAGAATGGACCCAGTTCTTCGGACCAGAACCATGGGTGGATAGTCTCGCATGCGAGGTCGCAGTATATCTTGTTGGCATAGTCGGTTCTGATGACGCGATTAACATCAATGGCTGCGGCGAGCTTCGGTGGGCTGGAGGATTGGTCGATGATGGTCACCTTGGATGGGTCTTTGTAGAGCTGGGCAAGGTGATAGGCGGTAGATGTGCCGAAAGTACCAGCTCCGATGATCAGCACAGTAGGCTCCGGCTTTCCTTCGAGCGGATTGTCAACGTCTATACGCTTGATGGTTGGAGCGACGTTGTTAGGCTGCGTGATTCTTCGACCATCCTTGCCATATGTCGCGAAGATTGGCATCCTGACGATGACGTCTTGTGAAGAAGTGGCTGTTCCGTCGACTTGGATCTGTGTGGTGAGCGAAAGTGGTGGTCAAGGACAATTTTTCCAGGCGCAGCTTGGGATTATCTTGTTGCGCGGTCAAGCGGAGTCTTACCTCCCCGCCCGGTTGTTCCCATTCTCGTGTCATTTCATGGTGCCTGGTCGCAATGAACTCTTATTTGCTGCATGATGCCAGCATCCCAGTCTGGAGAAGTCTGGAGAAGCTAGGGATTGTGAGGGGAAGCTGCAGGGTTGCACCGACTCCACGCGGGTTGCTGCGCGTGTCGCGAAAACATCCAAACACTAACAGCGCCGTAGCAATTCTGGACGTACAGACAGTGTGACTACATCTTCAATTGAGATTTGTGTTAGCAGCTTGGAGGTCAAACCTCCAAAGAGTGAAGTCGAGCAACTTAGCCTAGTTCCGCAGCTAACTTATTCTGGTGAAGACGCCAAGATCAGATGATGAAGCAACTCGGAAGTGGCAGGAACGCAGACAGCACTGGTTGTGGGTAAGGTGGAGAACTCGCCGTCCGAAAACTAGCGGTCTCCGAAGTTTCATTAATCATCATCACTATCAGCGAACATGTCTTCTGCCTGTCGCTTGCGAGCCGGTTCAGCAGGAGGCTGTGCTTTGCCCCCGCTGGAGCTCTTCAAGGAGAAGCCATTGCCATTAGCCTTTGCTGAATCGGCAGGCAGATGGGAATCTGTCTTTGACGTATCGTCCTCAATCGCAGACATTTCCACGTCGGCTGTCGGGCCACCGCCCTCTTCAGGACCATCGTTAACTTCATCCGGTGGCGACGCGTCCAAGTCCACTGAATCTCCGTCCAGGTCCACAGATGCGCCATCCAAGTCGGCCTCTTCTGCCTCATCCAACGGCCGATCATCCATGAGCAGAGCTGCAGTGTCGGCTGCGGGTCCAGTGATGGGTGCCGGTGCTGGAGATTCCGAAGCAGCAGCAGGTGATGCGGTGCCATCAATGCGCTTGAACTTTGAAAGGTGTTTCAAATCTCCCACTGTGACTTTTCCGTCCTGATTGCCCTCATCGCCCTGATCGGGACCATCCTCGGCAGGTTGCTCGAAGAACCCTCTCTTGAACTCATCAAATACATCTGCAGCAAACACGCTGTTTCGCTCCCAGATCTCGAAGAGCACCCCCACTCGATTGCGCCACTGTTGCTCTTTCATTCTTCCCCATCCAAGATCTTTGCCTAGACACCCAAGCGTCTGAAATGTACTCTGTCGACGAAACGCCGTTTCGAACAGTTGACGGTACTTCCAAGCGTTGCGTACTCCGGCTGTTGCAGAGTTGTGTAAAATGTCATTGATCAGATATAGAGCAACAAGCTTGATCTGAGATGGGTCGGTATCATGCTCTTTTTTGTCTCTGCCTGAAAGACCGTGAGCTTCGATGCTTGGTAGCTCCTCATCCGGTTCATAGACGTCTTCGTCATCCTGATTTGGATCTTCCTCGTCAAATTTGCCGCACTGTGTCGAGCCGAATGGCTTCTCGACATTCAGGACCAGCATGTCAACTATCTCTTCCGCCCCAGCGCCGGCATTCTTGATGGCGAAAGCCGAGATAGCTGCAATGTCACCAAGTCGCAACTTAGCTTGCGTTGTGGGCAATCGTGAGAGGAGCCAGGCGAATTTAGCAATCTGCAGAGGCGTCAAATGCTTCTTGTCAGCAGAAGGCGCTCCCTCTCCTTCTCTCCGGCTCGTATTGAATTTACGTTGCTCGGCTTCGTCATCGCTCTCCTCATCGGAAGATTCATAGTTGGGATGATTCAGCGCGTCGCCCAATTTGGTGAGATCCATGAACGGAACATCGCCCTGCAAGATGTTCCAGTCAATGGGGACGTCATCAAAAGGCCGTTCGGGACCTCTGCGAATTCGTCTCTGTTCCTGCAGAACCTCAAAGTCCTCGTCATCATTCCACAGTAAGTAGCGATAATATATTCCTTCCGGACTATGCGGATCGTACAGAAAGGCGAATCGCTCATCAGTTTCCACTTCGGGCATTGACATCAGGACAGCTTCAAGCTCGATGGCCTTCTCGGGGCTGGGCTCTGACAACAGCCGTTCTACTATGACGTGAATTGCTCTCACGCTCGCAATCTCCAATGGTGGTTGTACAGAAAGATGGGCCACCGCTTCAAGGCCTCCATTGCGTGGTGGTCGCGGCTCATACGAATCCGGAGGAGCGAAGTCTGAAGGTGGAGGGGCATTGCGCATACTATATCCTCCTCTGGGCTGGTCGCGGTTGATCTTTTCGGCGCCAAAGGGCTGCGGTTCTGCTCCCGAGCCAGGTAGCGTGCCTGGTGGCAGGGCTGTTGATGACAAATGGCGCGCGATGACCAGTCGAAAGCCACATCCAAGGTAGCGGTCTCTGAGGGCACTGACGGCAGTATCAATCTGAGAGGTAGGTGTCTCGTAGTCCAGCAGTGCTATTGCCGTCACAGACATCCTGCCATGCCTGAGTGGCGGCGATATTGAAACGCTATGGACCTTGAGGTGATCGGCCAGGAGCTCACGCACAACACCTTCATTGAAAGATGGCGGTAAATTGGACAACTGTACCGTCGGCCTGGGCGCAGCAGCTCCGGGATCGTCTTCGTCTGCTCGGGTATGTCTGCTGGACTCGTCTCGTCTTGCATTCCCGCCCAGGTTGTACTCGGCAGCCAGAGCTTCCTGTTCCCGTCGGACCTCCTGCTGCTCTCGCAATTCATCCAACGCTCGCTTTCGCTTCAGGCTGGGCGGAGGTCCTCCAAATCCGCCTCGGGAGCCTCCATATCCCCGCCCAGGCCCCGACGGCGGTCCTCGCGACGAGTTGGAGTAGCCATCGTAGTCGTCACTCCCACCAAAGGAATCCTCAAATTCAGCTAATGCAGCTGCTGTCTCGGCCTGCTCCCGGCGACGCTTCTCCTCCGCTGCTAGTCGCTCCTTTTCGAAGGCGGACAACTTCTTCGGGGCGGCCAGCTTCTGGCTGACATCGGGAAATTCTTTGGGCGCTTCTTCGTCGGCCATGGTGGATGGGTGCGTGTGTTATCGAAGTTCCATTTCCAGGTGTCGATGTCTGTGACGTGGGCTCACAATGTTGCAACGCGTCGCGCTTCACGAAAGTCCGCAAACAAGCTTTCTGGCTTCGATCGGCGTTCGGCAGGGTCACATGCATGGTCAACCTCTCCCGCACAGCAGCAGCAGCTGCACCACGCGCTCTGACATCGCCGCCGCCCGCACGCCGCCACTGTCGATATCCACGCAGTATCTTTGCAGGCGGCGCGGAGTGAATGCGCGGAAGACGGCGAGGACCATGATCGACGACATCGAGCGGCTCCCACACTGAAAGTCTTGCGACTGGCACATCGCAAGCACACTCGCCAAACATGACGACGGCCTACAGCGAGGCCTTGAGCGCCATTTTCCAGGACCTCAAGTCGCGCAACGACCACACCCGTCAAAATGCCTCAACACGGCTCATCGAGCAGGTCAACGCGGCCTTCCGCGAGCTGCAGCCGGCACAATGGAACTCATACTACAACGAGGTCAATGCGAAGATGGTCGCCTTCATCCTCAGCGGCCAGGACACGCACGAGCGGATGGGAGGACTGTACGCGCTGAATGCGTTGATCGATTTCAAGGGCGACGATGCTGCTTCGAAAGTCACCAAATTCAGCAATTACATCAAGAGGACACTAGAGGGCAACGACACGAGTGCGATGATCGTCGCAGCGAAGTGCCTGGGACGACTGGCAATTCCGGGCGGAGCATTGACTGCGGAACTGGTTGAAGCGGAGGTCAAACATGCGCTGGAATGGTTGACGTCCGATCGCAACGAGAACAGGCGTTTCGCTGCTGTGCTCATTTTGCGGGAGCTGGCCAAGAACAGTTCGACGCTGTTATACATCTACATCCCTGGCATCTTGATGAGCATCTGGGAAGGTCTGCGAGACCAGAAGGTCGTTATTCGCGAAACCTCTGCGGAAGTCATCTCGCACACTTTCAAGATCCTCTCCGCCCGCGACCCGCAGATGCGCTCGTCCATGTTTACGCGAATGTACGAGGAGTCGGTCAACGGACTGCGTCGTGGTACAGTCGAGTATGTGCACGGCTCCTTGTTGACCTTCAAAGAGCTGCTTGTGCAAGGCGGCATGTACATGCATGGTGCCAAGTACAAGGAAGTCTGCGAGCGAGTCTTGCAGCAACAGTACCGTGAGCACAAAGATCCGACTGTGCGGCGCACTGTAGTGGAGATTATTCCGCTCCTGGCTGGTTATGCACCGAAGGAGTTCTGCAACCACTACCTCGCACGATCCATGCAGCATCTACAAAACCTGCTTAAAGATGCGAAGCAGAGAAATCTCGCATTCGTCGCCATTGGTAAGATTGCACATGCCGTTGGCTCTCAGATCGCTCCGTATCTGGATACTATCCTGCTTCACATCCGCGATGCTCTGTCGGTCAAGAACAGAACGAGACACTCGGATGAGGCCCCGATCTTTGAATGCATAAGCATGATCAGTATTGCTGTTGGCCAAACTTTGAGCAAGTACATGGAAGCTCTTCTCGACCCCATATTCGCTTGCGGGCTGTCTGATGCGCTGACACAGGCGCTGGTTGACATGGCGCATTATATTCCGCCTGTCAAAACGACGATCCAAGAGAAGTTGCTTGATCTTTTGAGCAGGACGTTGTGTGGGCAGCCATTCCAGACGCTGGGCCATCCTACACAGGGCAAGGGTTTGCCACCGATTTACACCAAAGAGTATCGAGATCAGAAGGATCCACAGCACCAGGAACACAAAGACCAGGAAATCGCGTTGGCCCTTCACACCCTCGGCAGTTTTGATTTCACTGGCCATGTGCTCAACGAGTTCGTGCGAGACGTAGCTATCCGTTACGTGGAGGATGACGATCCTGGTATACGCAAAGCTGCGGCACTAACATGCTGTCAGCTGTTCGTCAAGGATCCCATTGTGCATCAGACGAGTCACCATGCAATCCAAGTGGTCTCCGACGTGATTGAAAAGCTACTTACAGTCGGCGTGTCAGATCCGCATCCCGATATTCGACAAACAGTGCTCGTATCTCTCGACCCGCGGTTCGATCGACATCTGGCAAAAGCAGAGAACGTTCGAACTTTATTCATCAGTCTGAACGATGAGAAGTTTGCGATCCGCGAAGCGGCAATGACCATTATCGGGAGGCTGACAAGTGTGAACCCTGCCTATGTTTTCCCGTCACTCCGCAAGGTGCTCATCCAATTATTGACCGAGATCGAGTATTCGAACAGCGCCGCCAACAAGAGAGAGTCTGCACAGCTCATCAGCCACCTTGTTGGCGCGAGCAGCAAGCTTATCAAGCCTTACGTCGATCCGATGGTGCATGTACTTTTGCCCAAAGCAGAAGACCCAAACTCGGAAGTCGCTGCGACCACGCTGCGCGCCCTTGGCGATCTCGCCAGTGTCGGCGGCGAAGAGATGAAGCGATACATTCCCGAACTCATGAAGATCATCATACGGAGCCTTCAGGATCTCGCTGCGCCTAAGAAGCGCGAAGCTGCTCTGTGTACGCTTGGTCAGCTGGCCAGCAACAGTGGCTATGTGATTCAGCCGTATACTGATCATCCTGACTTGCTCACTATCCTTGTCAACATTGTAAAGAGCGAGCCGCCTGGCGATCTCAGACGCGAGACGATCCGACTCATGGGTATACTTGGTGCATTGGATCCGTACAAGCATCAGCAAGTCATGGAAGAGTCACCAGAGTCAAATCTGAAGGCTGACTTTCACGGCGTCTCCGACGTTACGCTCATCATGCAGGGCATCACACCAAGCAACGAAGACTACTATCCAACCGTCGTTATCCACACACTCATGGAGATGCTGAAGGAGGACACACTGAAATCGTATCATTCAGCTGTATGCGAGGCTGTCATGAACATTTATGCGACCATGGGAATGAAGTGTGTACCGTTCCTCGGCATCGTCGTCCCAGGAATGGTAGGTGTGCTGAAAGACGCTGGCACGGAAAATCGGCTTGAAGGTTACTTCAACCAACTGAGCAGTCTCGTCAAGATCGTACGCCAGCACATCAGACCTCACCTACCGGTGATTTTGGAAGCCATCAGTGACTATTGGCACCGGAGCACTCAGCTCCAAGCGACCATTCTGAGTCTTATTGAGAGCATTGCGCGAAGCTTGGAGGGAGAGTTCAAAGTATACCTCGCCAATGTTCTGCCACTCATGCTTGGTGTACTTGATGCCGACGGGCGATCAGAAGCCGGCCGTGCTGCCATGCAGCGAGTACTCCACGCATTCCTTGTCTTCGGGTCGAGCGCGGAGGAATACATGCACCTCATCATACCGGTTGTTGTCCGTATGTTTGACAACGCCGATGGCCGCTACAAAGATCGAGCAGTACGCAAGGCAGCAATTGAGACCATTGGTCGTCTCAGCAAGCAAGTGAACATTAGTGAATTCGCTGCCAAGATTGTGCACCCTCTCGCTCGGGTCCTACAGAGCAACGACAACCAGCTGAAGCCTGCTGCCATGGAGACACTATGTGCGCTAATTTTCCAGCTAGGACAGGACTTCCTACACTTTGTACCGACGATCGACAAGATACTGGTACAGCAGCGCATAAATCACACCGCATACAACCTCATCGTCACCAAGCTCAAGAAGCATGAAGCACTGCCGCAAGACTTGAGCCCCGACGAGCGATATAATGACGAAGATGAAGATCAATATCCGACTGAGATCTCAACGAAGAAGCTTGCAGTCAATCAGCAGCATCTCAAAAATGCCTGGGAAGCGAGTCAGAAGTCGACAAAAGAAGACTGGATCGAATGGATGCGACGATTCTCGGTCGAGCTACTGCGCGAGAGTCCGCAGCAAGCGTTGAGAGCCTGCACTAATCTGGCTGGCGTGTACCCTTCGCTTGCTCGCTCTCTGTTCAACTCCGCTTTCGTCAGCTGTTGGACAGAACTTTACGACCAGTATCAAGAGGAGCTCGTGCGAGCGATCGAAACTGCTTTGACAAGTCCTAACATTCCGCCAGAAATCTTGCAGACTCTGCTCAACCTCGCTGAGTTCATGGAGCATGATGACAAAGCGTTGCCGATTGATGTTCGGACGCTCGGGATGTACGCGGGCAAGTGTCATGCTTTCGCCAAGGCGTTGCACTACAAGGAGCTCGAATTCAACGCTGAGCAGAACGCCAGTGCTGTGGAGGCGCTCATTTCAATCAACAATCAATTACAGCAAACTGATGCAGCGTTTGGTATCTTGAAGAAAGCTCAAGGCTACAATGATGTAGACCTCAAGGAGACTTGGTACGAGAAACTTCAACGATGGGACGAAGCCTTGATGGCTTACCAGGAGCGCGAAGAACGCGAAATGGCCAACGAGGACAAGGTCTCGTTCGAAGTGGTCATGGGCAAGATGAGATGTCTCCACGCTCTCGGTGAATGGGATACTCTGTCCCAGATCGCGTATGATCGCTGGGTCATCGCAAACAGCGACGAACGCCGGAAGATAGCGCCCCTGGCGGCGGCCGCTGCATGGGGCATGGGCCTATGGGACATCATGGACGAGTATCTCGGAGTAATGAAGCAGAACACTCCCGATCGTAGTTTCTTTGGAGCCATTCTGTCAATTCATCGCAACCACTTTGACGAGGCACATCTCCATATCACCAAGGCAAGGGACGGACTGGACACAGAACTTTCGGCTCTCCTTGGTGAAAGCTATACCCGTGCATACAGCGTCATTGTCCGCGTGCAGATGCTGGCAGAACTGGAGGAGATCATTCAATACAAACAGCATTCTCACGACCCTGAGAAGCAGGATCGTATGCGCACCACCTGGACGAAGCGTCTGAGAGGCAATCAGCGCCAAGTCGATGTGTGGCAACGCATGTTGAAGGTTAGGGCGCTGGTTATCTCGCCGCAAGAGAACCAGGAGATGTACATCAAGTTCGCTTCTATCTGCCGCAAGGCACAACGGCCTGGACTTGCCGAGAAGAGTCTGAACAGCCTGCTGAACTTCTCTAGTAGTCAGCATCTTAGCACGCTGGCAGACGGCGACAAGGAGAGCTGGGACATTGTGCACCAGGCACCATATCCGGTGCAGTATGCGACTTTCAAATTCCTCTGGAGCAACGATCAACATGATGCTGCGCTTGGCGCTCTTCGATCCTTTACGAAGACGCTCAAAGATGACTACGAAGGACGGATGGCCGCGGCAGCGCCTCATCTCAACGGGCATCCTGGAAGCGTGCTGAATGGTGTCAACGGCATGAACGGCGTCAATGGAGTCAACGGCATCCATAGTACTGGTCCCTTTGGCGCTGCCAACGCGCACCAGATCTCACCCAAAGAAAAGGCAGAATTGGACGAATGGCGACTCCTACTTGCCCGATGCTACCTTAAGCAGGGAGACTGGCAGGTCAAGTTACATAATGGTGACTGGCAATCTGAACATGTTGCTGATGTCCTTGCGTCTTACCATGCCGCTACAAGGTACCACGAATCTTGGTACAAGGCGTGGCATGCCTGGGCTCTGGCCAACTTTGAGGTCGTGACATCTCTCACTTCTGGCGATCGCGAGGCCACTGATGTTCCGTCGTACATTGTTACAGAACACGTCGTTCCTGCTGTCAAGGGGTTCTTCAAGAGTATTGCACTCTCCTCCACGAGCTCGTTGCAGGACACACTTCGCTTGCTGACTTTGTGGTTTGCGCACGGAAACTATCAGGAGGTCACTCAAGCAGTGACGCAAGGCATATCATCGGTCAGCGTTGATACTTGGTTGGAGGTAATACCACAACTCATTGCTCGTATCAATCAGCCAAATCGACTTGTCAAGGAGGGTATCCACAACCTCCTGGTTGATATTGGTCGAGCTCACCCACAGGCACTCGTCTACCCACTCACCGTTAGCATGAAGAGTGATGCAGTCGGACGATCTCGTTCTGCAAGGAGAATCATGGATGCCATGCAGCAGCATTCGCCGAAGCTGGTCGAGCAGGCAGGGTTGGTCAGCCACGAGCTCATCCGTATTGCGGTACTGTGGCACGAACAATGGCACGAGGGCCTCGAGGAAGCGAGTCGACTGTATTTTGGTGACCACAACATTCAGGGGATGCTTGCTACACTGGAACCTCTTCACGAAATGCTTCGAAAGGGTCCAGAGACACTCCGTGAAATCTCATTCATCCAATCCTTCGGCCGTGACCTCAACGAGGCTAGAGACTGGTGCGAGGCTTACAAGACGACAAAAGAGATTGGAGATCTTAACCAGGCTTGGGATTTGTACTACGGCGTGTTCAAGCGAATTGCACGACAATTGCCCCAGCTTATGAGTCTGGAGCTTCAGTACGTCTCGCCCGAGCTCAAGAATGCCCACGATTTGGATCTGGCCGTACCTGGAACGTATGTTGTTGGCAAGCCTGTTGTGCGCATTCAAAGCTTCGAGCCTGTTGCTACTGTCATCAGCAGTAAGCAGAGACCTCGCAAACTCGGCTTGAAGGGCAGTGACGGCCTCAAATACGACTTCATGGTCAAAGGACATGAGGACATTCGACAGGATGAGAGAGTCATGCAACTGTTCGGCCTGGTCAACACGCTACTTCAGACCGACACTGAGTGTCTGAAGAGGCATCTCAACATTCAGCGATACGCTGCCATTCCGTTGTCAACACAAGCCGGTCTGCTAGGATGGGTGCCTAATTCTGATACCCTACACGTTCTCATCCGCGAGTATCGGGAGTCTAGGAAGATTCTGCTCAATATTGAGCATCGCATCATGCTGCAGATGGCGCCCGACTATGATAATCTCACGCTGATGCAGAAAGTGGAGGTCTTCGGATATGCGCTGGACAACACTACTGGACAGGATCTGTACCGTGTTCTCTGGCTCAAGAGTAAATCCTCCGAAGCATGGCTCGATCGAAGAACAAACTACACTCGATCACTTGCTGTCATGTCCATGGTCGGATATGTCCTCGGTCTGGGAGATCGTCACCCAAGCAACTTAATGCTGGACCGAGTGACTGGCAAAATCATTCACATCGATTTCGGAGACTGTTTCGAAGTGGCCATGCATCGTGAGAAGTACCCCGAACGTGTGCCATTCCGCTTGACGAGGATGTTGACCTTCGCCATGGAGGTTAGTAACATCGAAGGTTCATATCGCACGACTTGCGAGCACGTTATGCGTCTCTTGCGCAGCAATAAGGAATCTCTCATGGCTGTGCTGGAAGCTTTCATCCACGATCCGCTTCTCACATGGCGTCTCGGTACTAGAGATGCCCCATCAGATCCTACATATCAGTCTGAGCGCCGTGGATCCATCATGCATAGTGAGAATGGTGCTCCACAACTCGTTGGTGCTCCGCCGCAACACGACCGCCGCCGCGCTTCCGTTATGGGCGGCGACTCTAATGCGCCACCTGCCGGCGACCGTCCACCGAACTCCTCATATCGTCCTGGCCGTCCTCGCCATGGCTCCATCGTGCCGGGTATGAACGGTTATCCAGCACAAGACCCTATGGAGAAAGAAGTCCAGAACGCACGGGCTTTGCAGGTTTTGGCTCGTGTCAAGGAGAAGTTGACTGGAAGAGATTTCAAAAAGGAACAGGAGTTGACGATCGAGGATCAGGTGGATCGGCTGTTGGCCGAGGCAACGAATCTGGAGAATTTGTGTCAGCATTATATTGGGTGGTGTTCGTTCTGGTAAGGATCGGACTGAGACCAACAGTATTTATATCATTACGAAGCGGACGAGCGACTTTCAGTGCAGATCGATGTTTCATTCCAGCGTGGCGTTGGTTGTTGTTGTTGATATGCTTTGATGGTCGTGTGTGGATGTGAGCTGAAGAGACGTGAAGCGCAGAAATATGAAGTATGAGCCCTCCGCATGTGCGAGTGTTGGCGAGACAAAGCTATGTATATGTGGGGAAAATACAGCGGTTAGCGGCTGCTACCCGCAACAATGAAATCGTTCGGATCGATGTTAACAAATTTTTGAAAGGAAGAAATGTTCTACCAAAGTCTCGAATTTCATCGCCGTCAATCGCTATTCACTCGTCACAACAAGCACGAACAGTGCTGAGTTTGAGTATCCCATCTTAGTGGGCACACAGCGAATCCACTCTGACTTGGCGTCCGGATGGCGGCTTCAGATGTAATATCATTTCTCTACAATCTCTGTCAATGGTGTTGCGCCAATTAATCAAGAAAAATTATTATTGAAACAACACTTCGCTCGCTGCGCGGCTTGTCAACCATCTCACACTCGATTCCAAAATCAATTTACTCAACTAAAACAGCAAAGACATGCTCCCAACAGAATCCCGCAATTGAAGCCCTCCAAGCATGTCCAATTGTAACCTTTCTTCGTCTTCACATGTCGTTGCTCGCCGTCCGATCGATCGTTCTGATCCTGGTCTGGATATCTGATTGTAGGATCCGTTCTAGTGTCCCTAGATGAAGATCCATGCTCCCTGTTTTCGAGTGGAACGTCGGTATTCTTCTTGTCATCGGAAGAGCCTCCAGCTAGTTGTCGTGATGAACCCATGTTTGTTTGAAAATCGAATGGGAGCAGGCAGTCTGTTCTTGTTTGTGGAAAGTCAAGACTTGATTTTCGACTCTTTTCAATGATCGAATATTATCCTTCAAGAATATGAGGTTCGATTGTTCGAATCTGAATCCGTCCACAATACGAGTAATTGCTTCGATGAAAGAATGTTCGGCTGTTTCGTGCCTTCTGTTGTTTTTCTTCTGCGCTTGACACCTTCTCTTCCTCGGTTTGACGTCGAACTCCCATCTTTTATCAACGCCATCACCAGCACGATCGTCGTCGTCGTCGTCGTCACCTTCAACCTTCCTCCAACAATAGCATCTCACTATCCTCTAACTCACGCTTTGCATAAACTTTCACCCTCAGCCACACTATGCTGTGCACAACTTGCACAAAAGCCAAGGCACTACCAAGACCACAGCCACTTCCTTCGTCCACGATCAGGCAACGACATAAAATCTGCCCAACTTTGGACAAAATCGACAGCGACTAACCTTTATACTCAAAGAACATCTTTGCAACTGCTTAAAGGGTCTAGCTTTGCATCGTATACCACCTGTCCCTTCTCCCAGGCAACGAAATATCTTCACCAAAATCCCCAAATCTCAGCCCCTAAGACCCCCCAACGCCGAGCAAACGCCCAAACCCAGAACATTCATCACCTCGTCACGCGAACCTCGTTTCCAATCCTTCTCCTCTCAAGCGAACCCAATCGAAACCCAAGCTGCATAAAATGGGTGTAGACGATACAATGCAAATGCAAATGCAAATGCAGCCAAGTCTTTCAGCTGAAGAAGGAATCGAAATGGTGTTCTAGAACAAATGGAATGGTCAGCCCTCAGCTTGGCAATACCTCCTAACTTGTGCCTACGCTGCGCTCGCAGTCTCGTGTTGCAGGCAGCCTTATACTCGAGCATACAAACGAGACGATGAACACAGATGTTCAACCACTTCTCGACGTGAGAGACCGGGTGTTTCACGTGACAGTTAACCGCAAATGGGAAATGTACAGAACAGGGCGTAAGGCGTGAGCGAAAAGCGTAAGTTTCATCAACAGACACTAGCGGCTAGTAGAAGGTTCTGTTCTTCTTCCAACGTCAGCCCAATTCAGGCCTTCTCTTCATCATCATCGTCAAGTCTTAACTCTCTCTTTCCCAAACCACTAGCCCACTATGCCCAGAAGGCTGGTCCTATCTCCCACCCAGTCGATATTGGCAAAATATACAGAGATCAAAGATGCGATGCAACAACAAACAACATATCCTCTAGATGACACTCCTCACACCAGCCTTGGCGTAATCCATAAATCCCTTCTTTTTCTTCTCACTCTGGATCTCCTGGATACTCGCTCGTCGGTTTTCCTCCGTAACGTCCACACCCGAGATCATCATCTTCTGATCCTCGCGCATACCGCTGTAGATGTCGACATCCTTGAGAGCGACCCACATGCGACGATGTGAAGGATACACGAACCACGAGTAGACTTTCCAGATGATGTAAAGTCCAACGAGGAAGGGACCGGCGAGGTAAGCGGAGAAGAAACCCTCGGCTGTGAGAGGTGTGCCGCCGACGGGGTAAAGCGCAACGTAGAACTGTGCAACGAGTGCCAGGACGTTGACCAACAGGCCGAGGTACGAGCCCCAGACGCCGAAGGCTGCTTTGAAGGGCAATTCGTCGAGGGAGTGGCCATTGAGTTTCCTGTAAGTCTATCAGCGTCTCGATCTCGCCTCAAGGGGCTTCGGGGAGTTATTCTCCAAACTTACCAAGCAGCGCGGAAGCGAATGTGAGCAAGGCAAACACTGCCGTAGATGAACAGGATCGAGAGACCCGACAACGCCAGCAACCAGCCGAAAATGTCACCTCCATTTGGCGCCAAGTTGATGAAAGCCAAGCAGCCAAAGAGCAACTGCATGATTGTGACCATGAGTGGACGGCCGGCTTTGTCGACGTAAGCGAACAGCTTAGGAGCCATGCCTGCAAAATTGTCAGCAAATGAATATCGACTAGTCTGTTCAGCTCGATACATACCGTTTGCGGCCAAGGCCTGGATTGTGCGGGTCGAACCGAAAGTGCACGAGTTGGCGACACTCATCACAGCAATCAGAATGACGGCGTTGAAGATACTGGGGAGGACCTTGATGCCAGCAAGCTGAATGGCAATGACGAAAGGAGAGCGACGCGACTCCGAGCCCTCATCCTGGTAAGCTGGAGTATCGGTGGGGACGATGAGGCCAATGAGGAGGAGGTTCAGGAGATAGAAGATGGCAATACGCCATACGACCTGCTTGGAAGCACGTGGAATCTCCTTCTTAGGGTTCTTCGCCTCGGCGGCAGCCAGCCCAGTAAGCTCGGTGCCAGTGTAGGCGAATGCAGCGGTGACGAAGACACTGCAGAAACCGTGGAAACCGTTCAGGAAGGGGTTGTAGGGGGCGTTCCTAAAAATTCGTTAATGGGATGCTTTTGAATTGGCAATCGGGGAGCTCACCAGTAGCGACCGCCGATGTAACCTCTGTCGTCAGTTGGGACACCGCCAACATTGATGATGATGCCCAAGATGATGAAACCAGAACAGGCCAAGATCTTGATAATGGACAGAACAAATTCGACCTAGAAAATGTCAATGACAGAGTTCCAGGAATGGCTGCGAGGAAAACCCCACCTCTCCGTACCCCCTCACGCCAAAGAACTGGATGGCAACCAAAGCAAGGAGCAGAGGCACGATCCAAGCACTGTTATTGATACCCTGCGATCCCTCCCAGAAGTGAATGATATTGCAGGCGGCAGAGATCTCGAAAGGCAAAACCGTCAACCAACTGATAGCATACTGCCAGGAGCAGGCAAACCCCCACGAAGGATCGACGAATCGGGTAATGTAGACGGTGAAGGCGCCATTGACGGGATACAGGACGGCCATCTCAGCGAGAGCCTGCATCATGAGGTAAATACTGCCACCGATGAGGGCGAAACCGATGAGCACCGAGGCAGGACCACCTGACTGGAATGCGCCACCCGAACCGATGAACAGACCGGCTCCAATGGCACCGCCGCTGTGGAACAATCGGTGTCAGCGCAAGGGAGATTTCAGAACATTGCAGTGGACGTGGGTGAAACTCACATGGCAATCATTTGCATGTGTCTGCCCTTGAGATCTCGCTTGAGCGCTCTCTGGTCAGCGTTGACCATGGCGACATCATTGCCGTCGGTGCTGAGTTGTCGGCCGCGCGCATGGTCGCTGAGGGAGGCGCGTTTGGGAGCATCGCCAAAGGACTTGCCGCCGAACTCGACGTCGTCGTCGTGTGCCATCGTGGTCGGCGCGAAGATGTCTCGTGAGACAGCGGACCACAGACAAAGGGATGTGTGAGAGAAGAAGGAACAGGGAACAGGGAAGGAGGGAGGGGGAGGTTTGGTCTGAGGAAAGCGTCGATCAAAGAAAGCGGGCAGGAATGCAGTTCATAAACGACGACTAAGGCCGATGCGCCACACTCGGCATAGTGTTATCGCGGTGATCAGGTTCGTGTGAAGGTCGAAGGAAGGTGCTAAGTCGGTCGCGCCACGAGACCTGGCCAAGCGGCGTCAAGAAGCACAAGCTGCGAGGGCGCGTGGCTTATCTAACCGAAAAGCCTTTGCCTACGAAGCAGAAGGTTTAGCCAGCGGCCAAGGCTTGGTCGCGGCCTTGGACATGTTGTACAGCGCAGTGCAGTGCAGTGCTGATTTCGCGGACTGGATGCGCCGTCGAATGGACGCGCGCGCTGGGGCAGAGCACGAGCAGCAGGATTGCGGGGCAGCGCGGCGCGAAGGCTGTTTTCGGTGCAGACAGCCGGGGCTGGAATGGGCGCGCACAGCTGGTGCGCACCCGGGGCCAGCGTGGTTCGTGGTTCGGTGGCAGGATGGCGAGGTGGCATTGCAGCAGCTGCCGCTACTGCAGCGCTTTGTATCGCTGACCACTCTCGGCCGTCGATCTGCTTGTGGGTGTCTTCTTCCGCCCTTCGATGCGTCTTCCACGCCGCACGATAGGCGAGTCCGGCGTGGCGAGGCTCCGGTCTCCAGCGCTGTCGCACGATCAGGGACAAAGACCGCGAGCCAGTCAGAGATTCGTGAGTGGTGATACGAACAATGCTGTGTGCAGCTCATTCTCATCACTCATCATCGTCGCATGCTGCCTCGTGGCAGCCCGTCCGCCTTGATCTCACCTCGCCGGGCCTCCCACACCACTCACCGCGCCGCCGCCATCTCGCTCCAGCACGCGACACGGGTACGAGAAAGAGCAGATCCTCCGTCTTCTCACCTGCCTAATCCGCACCTGATCGCTTCCTGAAGGAGTCCTAGCCAAGCCTCTCCTGACCAGCAACAACTCGCTCGTCTGTCTGCAATCTTGACCATCAGCATTGGCATGCAGACTATCGGATGCTGACCTTCTTCCGTTTGCGAGCAGCGCGCATCCGAGATGACGGTGTAATAGTATTGATGAAAGCAGACAAGGAGCGATAGCAGAGATATGCAAACAGACGCGAACACGAACGCCGACGAATCCGATTTGTAACGACAACTGCCTTTCCCCAGAATCACGGCCCACGCGTTCGGTGTCGTCCCGTCCAAGCCGCCGCTAGCGTGACTAAGCCATGCCACTTCACTGCCCAGACTCACGGCGCCAAAGTCTCGCTGCTTCTTGTTACAACTTCATCAGTCGGCGACATTTCCACGTGGAGAGAAGGTATGGAAGGCGCAGAGTCGTATTGAATGGTAGGGATGAAGTGATGGATTGCGAACGACCAACCAAAAGCGACAAAATGGCATCCGAGGTACTTCATGTCGCTCAGGACTTCACTGGCTACAATATTCCCCAAGCAAAAGTCAAGAGAGGCAGCTTGGCAGGCGCCCGACCTCACTTGACTCTCGTAAGGCATTGTCCCACGAAAAGCACGAGTCAGAAAAGACGTTGCCGACGCGCAGGACTGATAGAATTCGAATTCGTGGCTCTGCAAGGTAAATCGTGAGAGTCCAACCTGGGCTCTCATCCATTTCATTTCGTACCACTCCCAAGGAAATTTTGTCTATCAATCAGATCTTCATCACTGGTATCATCATCTCAGATCTCTTTTCTCATTCCAACAAAAACTTTTCCGCTTTTCTCGATTCGCCACATCACATCATCTACCCAGCAGACGCCTTATACTCTTTTCCCAAAAAGAACGCTCATGTTTCTAGATCATCAAAGTTCCTGCAGCCTCTTTTCAGCCGACAGCCTTTCTGTAGAGAAAAATGTCTCACATCATCCGTCGGAGTTGCACGGGGAAAATTAGTGTCCTTCGCTCTTCGATACGACAAGTCCGGCAACAGATTGGACCATGTGATCCACATCATACGCCTCACTAGCCTCGCCATAGATTCGGACAGCATCTTCGGTCCCGGAAGCGCGGACGAAGCATCGCCCATTCTTGTATTTGGCCACCTCAGCATCAATCTTCTCTTGCAGACCTGCAGGCTCCGCAAGTTTCTGCTCGGCAGTACCAGGCACAGTCTTGAAGAGGGAACGGTCCTTGACGATCTGCTTGGCGAGTTTGTTAGGCATGTCGGTGTAAGTCGCCAGCCATTCTTTGACTGTCCACTCTTTGTGCGCGAGAATAGCTTCCACGAGGAGGAAGTCGGAGATGGCGTCGCCGACGGTTTGGTTGATCAGCTCAGTCAGGCCTTGCAGGATTTCAAGGTTCTCAAGCTGGGCAGGAGACTGTGGTTCCTGCTTGTAGATTGTTCGCAGAGCGTTGTTGCTGAACAGGATTGTGCCGTGCCCATTGGCCTCGAAGTAGACTCCAATATCGTATCGTGCAGCTTCGTGGTGCAGGTGCTTGACGCCAGTAGGTGTAAAGACGGACTTGAGCTTCAGACGCTCGGTAATGTATTTTGATGAAGCTCCGTTTGCGTAAGCAGTCTGTACCACGCCAATCTTGATCTTCTCTGACAGGCCGGACTTCTCGACAAGCTCACCAAGGAAAGAGGCCGCGAGCGTCGCGATGCGGTCGCCGTCGAGTAGTCGGAAAATGTTACCCTCTTCGACAAAATAGTACACGATACGATCTGCGTCGCCGTCAAATGATGCCCATCGGTCAAACGGTTTGCCTGTGAATCCAGCTGGGACCTTTTGCCCGGTCTTGACAAAGTCGGCTCCACAATCCTTGTTCAGCACTTCAGCGTTCTCGATCTGATCGTTCTTGACAGTGACATTCAATCCCGTCTCTTTCTCTGATGGCAGGTGCTTGAGCAGCTCTTGCAGCTTTGGAGCTCCCACGCCGTTGGCGCAGTCCACTGTGACTGGACTTGATGCCTTGGCGTATTTCATGACAGTCGCAAAAGCGGTAGAGAGCTTTTTGTAGTAACCTTGCTCCGAGATCTCGCCGTATGGGTTGGCATCGTTGGCGGTGTTCGTAGCGCGAACAAGGTAGTGCAATTGTGGTGTCGTCAGGATGCCAAAGTCCTTGTACTCTGCATTGGTCGCTTTCAAACCAGCCTCGACTGCCTTCACCAATCGTGCTCCCGAAGGTCTTGTGTCTCGTCCATATATCACTCGTGCAGGCTTATCCATATCAATGTTGAACTGCTTGACAATCTGAGCGAAAGCATGCATCGTCTCCTCCGGTGTCTTGCCATTCACAATGTACGTGGCCCACTTCTCCCACTCTTGCTCCAGCATCTCTCCCATTGGATCAACCAATTTCACGCCATTGTCCTCAGCCTTGTTGTGTGAAGCAGTAATCATGACGCCAATGGTCTGGCCTGCGAGTTTTTTCGAGCGGAGGATTCCGATGAGAGCTACGCCCAGCATGACATGATCCAGCACGTCGCCTTTGGTACGGAAGCCAGCAGTGCCGTAGGTGAAGTCGCCATAGTTCTCGGGACGAGGAAAGTCCTTGACAGCTTCGACAATGGCCGTGGCCATGCTGCCTTTGGTGTCGAATACGCCTGGTGCCATTGTGGAAGAGAGAATGTCGTATTGAGACTGGTTGAACCGAATTGAGTGTAGATAGGAAGAAGATTGTTTCTGAAGTCGTTGAGGCGGTGCGGTGAAGAGGGTCGTAACAGCCGCAGTTTCAGAAATGGGCGAAGCGATGCGAGGCTGAGTGAGCACGCCGCTGTTTCGAGCTGCGGTTCGATGGTATCGCGAGCTGGCTGTGCGAAAAAGAACCACACCGGTGTGTGGAGGATAGGAATACACCCTAATGCAGCTTGTGAAACTGCAATACGGTGCTGATTGTGAGGAGAACGAGAGAAAGTCGAGCTCTTGCCGCAGCTCAAAATAACTCACAGAAAGGGACCCCACGGACACGAGCTCCGCCAAACGTCAACCTGCATCGGCCCGATCCTCTCCGTCGCAAGTCTTGGCTCCTCCGAGGGTAGTCGCGATACCGAAGTCATCTCAAGGCATTGACAACGCCATTGAACAACACCACTCTCCACAATGGCGTCAAGAACACCCGCGACCATGTCGCTCCTCCGCCAAACATACACAACACCGCTCTCACGAACAACCACAATCCTTCCCAGGACCTCAATACAACAACAACAACCACAACTCTACCTCCGCCCCTTCTCCTCCACCCCATCAAACCTCAAAAAGAAATCCGGCCCCCAAAAACGCGACGCCCGAATAACCGCAATCCGCTACTTCCTCCACCACCCTCTAACCCCTCGTCCCCTCCGCCTCAGCCGTACGCGCTACCTCCGCCACTGGACAATCCACCGCGCCTGGCAACGCTACCAAGACAAACTCAAACGCGAACGCCAACTCGAACTCGAACGACAATACAACAGCATGGCCGAAGCCTGCGAGCAATTGCGACTCATCGATGGCGAAGGCATGACTCATGAGGAAAGGATCAAATACGGACAGAAACCGTTGACGCAAGCGAAAGAAGAGGGAGGGAAAGGGCCGAGTGAGGAGGATGTTTTGAGGGCGAGGGAGGGGAGGTTGTATAGGCTTGCGATGAAGAAGGATGAGATTTGGGATGGGGTTCCGATTGAATATGCGAGGATTCAGACGGAGACACCGGCGAGGGAGGGGTGGAATCATGGGTGGACGAGATAGAGAGGTGGCAGAGAAGAGTTTCGTGGGAAATTTTGATGTCAGGATGAATGCGAAATGTGGTGGGAGAAGCATTTGCATGTCGAATGTACCAGTATCAGCGAGTGGGTGATGGGACGAAGCAAGAGGAGTATCCAGGTTTGCGAAGAACGTGCAAGTCGTGCCCTACCCGGAGACCGCGGAGGTAAACGCTACATTTGGGTCATTGGAGTGGACAGGTCATGACTTACATGAATCCATCACCAGGATGGGAGGCACTGGATTCGGCCACGGAAGTTCCACTGCGGCTACGATACGCCAGCTCAAGCCGATTGTACAGCATAAACCGGCTCCTATTACACGGCGCCTGCGCAGAATTGAGGGACTTGCGGAGGCGCTCAATGTACAATCACACAATTTTCAACTTATACAAAAAGGCTCTGAAAGAGGGATTCAGCGTTATTCCTCCATTCACGAACATTGCTTTCTGAAACTCTTTTTCTTCCCTGATCTGCTCGCTAACTCGAAATCTATATACATGTTTCCCATACAACGTCGTGAGCGCTAATCTCTGTCTGTCGCAGAACCAGAGAGAACATGAAAATTATGCCACATGCTTTCCACTCTCCCGTTTCTGCCACCGCACACCTCCGCACGATCCCATTTCTCTCATTTTCACATCGGGGGGTCTCATCTCATTCCCTCCCCAACATAATCCCCTCCACCCTCCTAACCTTTCCAATCCTCTCAAAAGCAAACGGAGCAGCTTCAAAACACCAATCCTCAGCGCTCTTATCATCCCTCTTCCGCTCAGCCTTACCATGCCCTGAAGCACCACCACCGCCACCACTAAGATCTTGCTGTTGATGATGATGCTCATGAAAACCGCTCCTCAAGCTTCAACTCCCACCACCCAAGGCCCCTTTCGGCCTCGTCTCCACACCCTCATACTCACGGCTAGAAATGTATTCCAGTGTCCTCTGGAAATGTTTCCTCGGGCTTTCCAGTCCGCTGGCGTTATTCGGCCCAGTGGTGTCGGCCGCGGTAGCGCTCAGATTCGAGTGGATGAGTTCGATCAGGCCGTTGAGGTATTTCGTTGTCACGGCATCGTTTTCTTGGTCAAAGTAGTACACGTATCGGTTCAGGATTTCCACGAAGAGTTCAACGGAGACGGCAGTGTCCATGCATGCATCGGCTACGCGAAGGGCGCGTTGAAGGCATTCGAGTACGCGTTTGCCATCGCGGTAAGGCTGAAAGCTTGTCAGTACGGTTGCTCGCTTTCGCATGAGTGCATCTCTGGTCTCGACTCACCTCTTTCCCGTCCGCCTTCTCAGTCTCCACCTTCTCCACCGCCCACCAGAGATGGGAAGCGAGATATACAGCGCGACACTGATCCGGCTTCTTTAACAACTTACTGCCGTGCAGCGCCGCCTTCGTGATGAGCGTGTCGTAGTTCTCCCTGCTGAAGCGCTCTGAGCAGCCACAAAGCGCGCCAGCAATGATACAAATGGCCTGGAACTGCGACCTCGAATCCGATATTGACTCCTCGTAAACAGTGAAAGCTTGCGCGAAGAACTCATATGCAACATCCTCATTCTCGCATTGACTCGCCACTTGCCCGCAAGAGACGAACAACCTCAACACGAGATCCGGCACCCCCTGTGCAGAGACACGAGTGTACAGCGACGATAATGTTGTGTGCATGAATTTGTACAAGGCGCTCGACTGTACGCCATAGTCGTCTGATGAAAGGTGTTCTCGTCGCTTGAAGTTCCGCGCAAGCTTGAGTGACTGTGTTATTATTGCCGGTGATGTATACTTCGTTCGCTCGTTTCCTTCCTGGAATGCTTGTCGTATCTTTTGCAGTAATTGGAACTGGGTCATATTGTCGGGTCCTTTGATGAGATGCACTATCCGCGCGAGCCAGCCTTGTTCTTCTACCGTTTCGTCCGTTTCGATCGCTCCTCTGCGGATAGGCCCACCCGGGTATCCCGATGATGGTTGCGCGCCTTCTTTGATTAGGACTGATAGTATTGATAATATGCTTTCCAGATGCGACATGTTTGTAATCTTTGTGTCATTTCGCAGTAGACTCCTGATCACTTCCCCGGCGACGTTCCGCCGTGTAGGATACGGTTGTTGCAGGAATAGTGGAATGTAGTTTGGCAGTGCAAGGGCGGTAAAGAGCGAAAAATACGTCTTGACTGGTCCAAGGAGCAGACTGAGGATGTTCTGTTGCGAGGCTTGTGAATGCAGATCGGCAGAATTTTGGTATCTTGAGACTTCCTTCGTGGCGTAATGCAAAACTTGGTCAACGTAGTCAAGTCGGTCCGGGTAGATGGCAGTTGCCAAGTTGATGAGCGAGGTGAGCAGTGCTGTGATGTCCTGGATAGGAAGTCTCTGCACGCTGACGAGGTGTATGACTTGCTCGTAGAACACTTCGAATAGCTTGACATTTCCTGGTATCCCTTTCGTCTTGCCATTGGTCTGTGGTGTTGATTCGCCTTCGCCAACGGCAGTCGTCTCTGTCGGTGCTTCTGAATCGGCTGTTGATGCAACCGCAGTGTCTTCGCTCGGCCGCGGTGATGCCTCGTCTCCGTTGTGGCCGTTCTCCGCAGGCTTCGTCTCTTCTGAGCTTCCGACATCTTTGGACATGCTCAGCTTCTCCAATAATTTGCTCACGCTTTCCTCTTCCACTTTCTGTCTCTCTTCTTCACTCTTGGGCTCCGCTTCCCTCTGCGCAAACGCACTCAAGCGATCCATCAATCCAATCACGATTGCCTTGACGTTGACATGCGGGTTGAGTCTCGCAGTAGCCGCAAGTAATTGATCCAGTGTGTGCAAGTGGTACTCATCCGGGAAGACCTGAGTAATCACCTCGAGCAGGTACTCCTGAGCCAAAACGTCCCGACATTGCACCACCTGCTCCAGGAGCGGCTGCAGAATCACATTCTTGTAACTCTCCATGTCCACCAATTGAGACAGTCGCACCAGATTGCTTCCGACCAACAGCTGCAGCTCTTGTCTCTCTTTCGTCCTCTGTTCCCGTTCTCTCGAATGTCCCTGATGCTGTAATCGTACCCACAGCTTGTTCATCTCAACGAAATTCGTCAAGATGAACGAGATGGAATCCTGCAAGTTTCCCTCCGGTCCCTCAGCGGAATCGCCCTCAGGAAGATAGTCTCGTGCTTGCCCGCTCAGGTAATATCGCAAGAACAAGCCGCGGACGGGATGCTGTACACCTCTGCTCATCTCCATCATATCTTTCATGATTTCCTTGACAGGCGCATCTTCGATTCCCATGTATACTGTCCCCACAGTGATCATGAGGTACAGACGTGGAACAATGTTTCCGGCATATTGGACCAATTCATAGAGGTCGGCGAGGTGGTTGACGGGATGCGAATCGCGTAGATAAACGGAGAGGTGGCGCAGGGCATCGAAGACGCTCATGTACAGCTCATAGTACTGTTTGGGACCGAGACTGGACGTTCGTAATTCGGAGACGAGTGTCGAGCTGTTTTAGGCGTCAGCTATATTGAGCTCTGTAGCTGTATAGATAGAACACAACTCACGCGCATTTGAGCGCATCCATCAGCTTGCCCGGAGTCTCAAGACATCTCCGCATCTGCACCGTCTGCTGGCGAACAACTTGCAGCGCATCCTCCAGCAGCCGGGCCTGGTCTTCCACGGGCGGCGGAGAGGACATGTTGTTGGCGGCGGCGGAGAATAGGCGGAGCGGAGGACGGTAGAGCAAAGCAGAAGGAGAAGAGATGGTAGTAAGTGGTCACGCGATCCGAGTGGGCATTATTCTGCAGCGCATGCAGTCGTGTCTGGGGGGCGGTGCAAGGACAGGCAAGTCGGACGAGCTTCTGGTGGTTGTTGCGATTCGTATGCGCATTGTGAAGCGCCCATCCCACGTCGTTGCTGAGCTGGCGGGCAAAGCCTCAGGCACCAAATTCCGTCATCGCTTTCACATGCATGCATGCGAAACATCAACCAGGGCAGGGACACATTGGAGCTTTGTATAGCACTGAATGTTCCGTTTTCTATACTGTCGTTCAAAATCATTACGCTTATACATTAGCTCCTATGCTGCACTAGCAGAGCGTTCCGTTCACCAAAACCCGTCCCATCTTGTTCTTCGCTGTCTATTTCTCATCATCATTCTGAACACTAACTCCATCGCTCATGATCCGCTGATACTACAAAGACCCATTGCTAGTCATTCCTCGCTATGCTGTACAAGTATATAATGCATGCACTGTTGGCCGTCAGGTCGGTGCCAAGTCCAAACTCGTTGGTTCCTTCCTGACATTCCACGAATCGTAGCCTCTAATAGCTCTTCGTCCCGTTGACCGGTACAGCCCAGCTCGTGGCGGCGGCAACTGGATGGTAGCCCGGAACGCTAGAGCTTGACAATGTCGTCGCGGCTGGCTTCCAAGGTTGGTATTTGCCATTGTCTCCCAGAGGATGGTATAGACCATCATCACCTGTGTGCGTGGGCTGTTCGACAGGATAGACTGGCTCGGCCGTGGTTGTTGTCGTGCATGGCGTAGAGGTGCTCGAGGATGAACTTGTTGATGTTGAGCTTGTGATTGTCGAACTCGTGCTTGAAGAAGACGTTGATGTCGGCACAGTACCAATCACCACTGTCCATTGCGAAGAGCTGACTGTCGTTGATGTTGCAACCTCCACTGTCGCGACACTCGGTGTTGTAGGAGTAGTCGCCGCTGGCGCCACTTTTGTCACTGTCTGCTTGGCTGACAATGTCGTCTTCACCGTCTCGTAAATTGTTGCTGGCTCGTCGGGAGTACTCGTCGGACCGCCGACATCGACAACATTGTACGTCGGAGGTGGTGCTGGGTGCGGTAATGCTCGTGCGTGGAGGACGAAGTATGTGGTCGCCGCGAGGATGGATGTTGTGCTGAAGCGCATGGCTACGAGCCTGGGCTGGATTTATCTGCTCTGTGGCTAGGCCGGAGTTCTCTCGTGTCAATTGCAGCAACGAGGTCTGGTGTGTTGGACGGTTGCTAGGGTAAATTTGTGATCAAGGCGGCCGTTGATGATCTGGCGCGAGTCTAGGGATGATCTTGCAGGGTCGAAGAGTCGACTTGCCTATATCCCCCGCCATTTTTTCGCAACGGTGGCTGGGGCTTGTCGTCGCCATGTTCTAGATGTGTACGCGTGGTGGGAGGTTGGAGATGGCTGGGAGGAACGTGAGCGGAGACGAGTCCGTGACCAATCGGAGTGTGAGAATTATGCTTGGCAATGACTGCTCGTTTGGTGAAACTTGACGTGAAGACGTGCTTGCGGAAAGCAACATCCGACAACACGTGCGTTATCTATTGAAACGGTATGATCGTGGAACTTCATCCCGAGACTGACGGGACCGCAGAACGTCATAGAACAAGTCGGCCCAGCGAAACATACCGAAAGCAAGAGATGTCGGTTGCTGGACCTTCCGGAGCTATCACGATCGGTAGCCCAATTGTGCTGCAATATGTATCTCCGCTGCGTGTCAGGCTCTCACAAATCTTTTGGATTTTTTCTGCTCAGGTGGGCAACATGAGCCGCCCCATGGCTCTTCCTCCGCCGGGAGTGCATCCGGCCGCTGGCAAAGTATTTGCTGTCTACCGTTTGTGAAAGCCCGGACTTTCACCCCACAAGGCCGCAAACATGTCTCACGAGCTTCAACAGCGAGACTTTATAGATCCGATCTGGCCGTGAAAATGCGGTTCCCACCCGCGTTCTAAGTCCGGGTCTTGGCTGCCACTCAGTATACGACTCACAAGCGTAATCTATACTCAGTATACTGCGTTGGACTTCAAGTCATTGGGCAGTATCGTGAAGACCATGAGGGCAACTATTGCAGTCACTGAACCGGGGTCTGATGATGAATGCTAGCAGAATAATCATGGAGCTCGCGCAAACCTGTGCGTTCATCGGAGGAACCTCATGCAACAGGGCTCCCGGACCAGAAGAGCAGCTAACGCAAAGCTTTTGCAAGTGCTTTCACCCACATTGACTTCAGGCAGAGCTCGCGCGATCGACGTGAACAACTTTCGATCCAGCTACAAGGTTCAGAACGGATTTCCATCGAAGACGCTCCAGAAGCATGTGCTCAGGAACGGTTCATACGACAACGGGATACCTGCTCGTGATACTACGATAGTGAATACTTATCTCTGATCACATGTCTGAGCTTCAAGATATTATGCATGGCATTCACCTCTCTACAGGGCCTATGTTCACCATGCCTGTGCAACAGCATGTGCCGTCGGCACTTATGGCAGAGCGATCATCTTCTTTTGCAACAACCGTAGTTGCGACCGAACATCGTTCGTATCACTGCACTTCTTTAGCTATCAGGTATTCGAGGCTCGAAGAAGATCATGGGCCAACAAAACACGGCGGCGGAGGAGGCAAAGGGCCTGACGATCAAGATCGAGGAAGTCAGCGGTGTGGAAGAAGCCAGCGTTGTGGAAGAAGCCAGCGTTGTGGAAGAAGCCAGCGTTGTGGAGGAAGCCAGCGTTGTGGAAGAAGCCAGCGTTGTGGAAGAAGCCAGCATTGTGGAAGAAGGCAGCATTGTGGAAGAAGCCCGCGTTGTGGAAGAAGGCAGCGATGTGGGAGAAGGCAGCGATGTGGGAGAAGGCAGCGATGTGGGAGAACGCAGCAGTGTGGGAGAACGCAGCGATGTGGAAGAACGCGATGTGGAAGAAGCAAGCGTTGCGGAGGCAGACGATGTATCAACGATCGACACTGAGGAAGGCAGCCTCGTGGAGGCAGAAGATGCATCCACAGTCTCTATGTGGTTGCAAGATGGCGAGGTGCAAATGCAAACAGCACGTTCAAGGATGCCACAAATCTGGTTGTTGCAGGGTCACACGCCTCGACCACCAACACGCATTCTATCGAGGGCAGCAACACGCCGGAACTTCATGGAGGACGAGTGCATACGACTGACCGAGCGGAAAAAAGGCTGGTCCATCAAAGCTATGAAGAACAAACTCTTGTTCAATTGGTATCGATTCGGGTTGAAACTCAACAGGGACACCGAGGCTCGATTCCTTCGTCGCAATTTCCACGAGGAATGGTACGACGAAAGATTGAACGGACCAGAGTACATGCCCTCGTTGTGGTGAAAGTGGCTATCGACTTGAGATTCGAGATCTCTGGTCGCGCTGCGGAAGAGTGAAGCTCGCACAAGCTTGGCTTCCACGTGGCTTCACGTCGTACCAGTGGTACAGCCCAGAATCCAACATTTTTTCAGAGCAGAATTCTTTCTCAGGACCAGCAAACCTCCAAATATCAAGAAAAGAAGAAAAAAATTCAGAGCGCAAAACTTATTTTAGCGATCCACGGCAATTGAAGCATCTCAAGCTACCGTCGCGCTCTCAGTCTCAGGCTTGAGCTCGACCTTTGAATATCGTCAACGACAATCCTTTGCTATTGCCTGCTTGATGCAGCAACGTCTATACACATAAACCCCATCGTTATAGCAATGCAATCTACTCGCAAAGCTCAGACCAAGAACGGAGACTTGTGACTCTATCGATACACACATATGCATCCAGCAGGCTTGTGTAAGCTTAGCTGTCTTGCACGATCACATTAAATGGAGTCAGAGGCTTGTTGCTGTGGTGAATCGAAGACCACCAAAGTGGTGAATGAAGAAAAGTGGGTCACGACCGGCGTCTCCTCTACTTAAGCCCTCCTTTGCAGCGCTCTTCTGGCAATCTTTCTCTTGACAGACACACAGCAAAGCCTCATAGTCAACAACAACTTTCGGCACTCGTGCAACTTCCGCACGTCCCACGCGTCTCCTCCAAGCACACTCGACTTACTCAACCCAACTTCACAAGATGTCTTCGACTCGAGGATCCTCCACCACCCGAGGCCGTGGCGGTCGCGCGGCACGTAGCGGTCGTGGCAAGCCAGGTGGTGCTCGTGGCACCTTCTTCGAGAAGCTGGACTGTGGCGAGCACTGCATTGAGCGCTACACGAACTCGCGTGGCACGGTCAAGGATCGCTATGAGATCTACCGGCGTCAGCTGAAGAAGGACGAGAAGAGAGGCGAGTGTATCTGTGACTACTACTCCTTCTCGACACTCAACTACGAGCGCACATCGCTTGGTGAAGAGTACAAGGTTCGTTCTTCAGCAAAGTGGTTCGAGTCCTGGGTCGGTCGGTAGCTAAAATGCCATAGAACCTACCAAAGAACAAGGTCTTCCCGTTCTTCCGCCTCCCCGCAGAAATCCGCAACAAGATCTACGAGCACCTCTTCATCCTCGACCAACCGATCGAACTCTGCCCAGACCCGTTCTTCTACTCGTATAGAGTTCACAAGCACCTGGAGGCCCAGCGCTCGGCACATTACTATGCCCACGACTACCAATCCAAGTTCTTCAATGAGAATGTTGGATCAATTGGGCCTCTCATGCGCCTAAACAAGCAGTTCCACAAGGAGGTATCGCCGATCTTCTACGGTCAGAATGTCTTTGCTTTCTCCAATGTGGCTGGATGGGTCTGCTTGGACTTCTTCATGTACAAGATTGGCCTGGAGAAGTGCGCCATGATCCGTAAGCTGATCGTCTGCCACCCGGATGCTACTCAAACTCCCGGCACCCTGAGAAGCGCAGAAGAGTACCGCCAGGCGAGCATCGGTTTCACTCCAATGGACATGGTCCCTATTGAAGACCCAGGTTTCGTCTACGCAGAGCGCTGGTTTTACGACTACGTCGTCGGCAAGGACCCCACTTTGATTTTGAACAAACTGGGCAAGCTCGAGAAGTTCGGCGTCACGTTCCCAATGGAGACCCACATTCCCGTAAGTTTGATCCCAAAATCCGAACGACAATCTGATCGAATTGAGCTGACTTGATGCTTATATAGTACCGAGATTATCCTACCACTCTGCCCATCGACCCGACTAAGTTCCACAACCTCGAAGTCACCCTATTTCGCCTCACTAGACAGTTCACCTCCAATACCCGCATGGGCGCCTACTCCTGGCAAGTCTCGAGCATCGACGTCGAGACCGTCGCGGCAGAGATGAGTGCCAACGCCAACGACTATCCAGTCCAGGCAATCACGGCCAAAGTGCACGACCAAGGTCGCTATGCCACGGGCTTCATCGAGAACCTGGATGTGGAGGACGAGCTGGCCGAGATCGAAGCCGAAGAGCTGGGCATTGTGAGCAAGAGAGAAGCCGAGTCCGCGCTTGAGAGTGCTTGCAACACTCCGTTGCCGGGGGACAGCAAGCCCAGGTCCAGGTATTCGCGTCGCGGAGGTAGAGGAATGATGAGGTAAAGAGAGATACGAGCTGCTTCTGCGCGCACTTGGCGCTCCTTGCGAATATGCAAGCGAAAAGACAGCGAGATGCACACACGGAAGGAGATGCGAGCCATGAGCGGCTGGCCTCTAAGGATGATCACGTTGCGTTCTCTATAGCTCTACGATACCACACCCTGCTTCTTCAACGCTTCTACCTCGTCTTGCTTCATCCCCAAAACTTCAGTCAGCACCTCTTCGGTATGCTGTCCCAAAGTAGGCGGCGGGCTTCGTATCGTTGGATTCGTATCACTAAACTTGACGGGCGGGCTAACGAGCTTCATAGGTCCACATTCCGGATGCTCGACTTCAGTAACCATACCTCGTTCTCGTGCTACAATTCCTGTTAGCACTTCAAAAATTCTTTTGGGACACATCAATCTCGTTTTCGAAGACTTACTATGCTCCAACTCCAACGTCGTCTTAACATCATTAATCGGCGCATACGGCATTCCACTCCCCTCAAAAATCCCCAACCACTCCTCCGTAGTCTTTGTCTTCGTCACAGCTTCGATCTTCTCCTCCAATTCATCTCTCACCTTCACACGATCCGCATTCGTCTTGTATCTCGCCTCACTCACCCACTCCGGCTTTCCAATCTTCTCGCACAAAATACCAAATAATCGATCATTCCCTCCACCTAGCAGAATATCTCCGTCGGAAGTCTTGAAACCTTTATAAGGTACGATACTAGGATGCGCGGTTCCCCAGCGGCCAGAGTCAGGTTTACCAGAGATGAGACAAGATGAAGCGATGTTGGCTAAGGTGGCGATTTGGCAGTCTGCTAGTGCGACGTCGATGTGTTGGCCTTTGCCTGTTTTGGCTCGAGCGAGGAGGGCTGCCATTACGGAGTTGCTGGTGTAGAGACCTGTTGTGAGATCTGTGACAGCGACACCGACTTTTGCGGGAGGGCCGTCGCGGTGGCCGGTGATATGCATGAGACCCATTTCTGCTTCGACCATTACGTCGTAGCCGGCGCGGTTCTTGTTTGGTCCCGTTTGGCCGTAGCCTGTGATGCTGGCGTAGATGATTTTGGGGTTTACGGCGGAGACGCTGCGGTAGTCCATGTTGTATTTTGCCAGCGCGCCGGGTAAGTAGTTTTCGACAAGGACGTCGCATTCTTTGATGAGTTTGTGGAGTATTTCGACACCGGATGGAGACTGGAAAGAGAGGCCTATAGATTTCTTGTTGCGATTGACCTGCATTTTGTTAGAGCCAGTTCGCCATGTTCTCTGTCTGATGCGGTCGTACAGCTAGAAAATATGCACTTTCGCCTGAGCCTTGCTTGGTGCTTTGTTCTTTGTACGATGCATACGGAGGTCCCCATGCTCGGGTATCATCGCCTCTTGTTGGATGTTCGACTTTGATGACTTCGGCCCTGTAGTTTTGTAAGCTTGCTTCGCCGATAACACACCTGGAGGTGGTCGTACTGGGCTCATCGTGCATACCCTAAATCGCCAAGAATTTGTGTGCAATATGGCTACATACTGTAAGCATACTGTCTACTCCGATGTCAACAGGACGTACACCAGCAAGCACTCTGGTCATATCAAGCACTTTGATTCCAGCCAATGGCAGGTTGCTTGGATCTGAAGCTGGCGTGGCTAGCCATCTTCGCTGAGGTCGTATCTGGCCTACAAGCTGAGTTGACGTACCACGACTCAAGAGCCGCAGAGAGCGGGTAGCAGCAGCCATTTGGATAGTGAATATGTCCCAATAGTGTGCATGGACAAGAACACGCGTGTTGTTGATGGAGCATGGAAAGCAAGCGATGTCGGCACGTTCATCAGCCTTCCGAAAAGCCTCGGCCCGGTGCTCCAGTTGGAGACCGCACCTCCTTCTTCACGCTATCATCAACTTCTGTTTGCACGAAAATAATGTGATCAATCTAAGCAGTTACTGCAGGCTGCTCGAGCAAGTTGAGAGCCGGACACCAATGTACTCGATCACCGAGTTCCTGACGGATAGTGTTCTGGAGCAGTACGCTTCTCTGCATTGTCATGGCGGACACAGCGCGCTCATCGCCAAACTCACGTTCCGCTCATCTGGAGGCAATGGAATGGAAAGCTGTCTGAGGTGATGCCAGGATTATCTCACGGAATGCCGTAGCTGAGCTGCAGGAACTGTTTCGTGGCGCTCGAGCTCACAGTTTGGGCGTGTTCTAGGCGCTACACATACCTAATCGGGCAATACGAGGGCTGATCGGTTTTTTTGCATACATGTTGCATGACCATGACCTTCCGCCATTTGCAGCTTTGTGCTCAGATTGCCGCATCGCACTCTCAGCAAGACAGCGACAAGTATGGACGAACGTGCACGACAGAGATTTAAAGCCCTGTTCGCCTCGTCAAGCTTTTCATCATCCTCTGGCGGGAGACCTTTGACAAGTTCTCCGTACAAGAAGCTGGATCAGAGGAAGAACCAAATACGCATCGCCGTCCTGACGCCCGAAGACCCATCCTCCAGGGACCAACCCATACACCTCACTCTAGAGACAGTAAACCTCGGCAACGACCCTGAATATGAAGCACTTTCCTACCAATGGGGCGATCCGAAAATCACGACCGAGATATTCCTCAATGGGGTCTCATGGCAAATCACGAAGAATCTGCATTCGGCATTGAAAGCATTCCGTAGCTCTAGCGCAGGCGGTGATCGGTTACCAGTACGGCTCTGGATCGATGCAGTGTGTATTAATCAGCTTGACTTGTCCGAGAAGACCTGGCAAATACCGTTGATGTTCAAAATATACTCTCAAGCACGTAACGTGAGGAGTTGGTTGGACCCTCGCGACTTTGAATCTAAAGAACGAACTGACCCGGCATTCCGCTTGCTGAAAGAATATTCTCTTGGCGTCATAGACGTTGAGCCCCCGGCACAGGGACTACACCCAGATCGAGCCAAGGCTATTCTGGAGAGCTTCGGTGTGCTTGCTGACATTTTTCGCAACCAATACTGGCGACGGCGTTGGATCACACAAGAAATTGTACTCGCCAAAAGACTTTCCATACACTGCGGCAGACACTCCCAGCATGATCTAAACCTGCGGAACCTTCATCGCAAACTTGATCTTCTGTCTACACACTTGCAGGCAGCTCTACCATACCAAGGCGACCGCGACTTATGGGGCGTTGTAGATAACGATAAGGATGTTTGGAAGGCCCACCAGCCACTGAATTTCATCCTGAACAGCATTTCGGTTATAATAGCTTTCGACAAGCCACTGACGAAACATCCTTATCTCCTTCGAGATATGCGAGGCGCTGAGCAAACAGGCGAGCTAGACTGCGTGTATGGCATTCTAGGATTGCTAGAAAGAGACCTGGGCAATTCAATACTCACGCCTGACTACAAACTACCTATCGCTGAAGTCTTGCAGAAATTTGCTTTCGAGTTCATGACGGCCAGCAAGTCATTGGCTTTGATGTATGAATCCTATCCCGAGGACCGCAAATTGCCAACCTGGGTTCCCGACCTGCGCACTACATCTAAGGGCAACGACCGTTTCTATTCGGATGCGGTTGCACTGTCGGATGAAGACCTCATCAATTCCGGCATTCGATCTATGACAGTTCGTAGTGGTATTCGCTTTCCCGGCGCAAGCACTCAACGCAGACCTAATATGCTAGCTGAATTCGATCACCTCTTCAATGCTTCAGCCAGCAGCAAATTCTTCGCCAAACCTCCTGCAACAGGCATCATCCACGTGCGTGGCTTAATGGTTGACAACATTACAGACCTCTCAGGTCACGACAAAGGTTACTCAAATATCCATCCCCAAAAGCTAATGGATGGCTGGATACCAATGGACTGGATGGACATGTACGACTACGCGACCCGATATGGAGATACGTTTCAACACGATACATTCGAAGACGAAGGGTTGATCCGGGCATTATGTGCCGACAGCATGAGGCCATATCCGATCGATGAAGACGGAAAGCCACAGCCAGAGCAGCCCATGCGTCGAATGACTCGTGAAGATGTTGAAGAGCACCGACGAGGCATCGACGCAATGCGCACATATCCCGGACAGTTCGTGCAACATCCCAGTGTATTCCTCGACGCCAGCATGTCATTGTACAAATTCTTCTGTACGGGCAATGGCCGTATTGGCATTACCTTTGCCGAGGATGTGCAGCAAGGCGACTACATATTCGTGGTGGCTTCTCTGAATATGCCACTGATTATTCGTGGTGCTCAGTATGCTGATGCCGAGGACGTCGCCGCTGCTAAGGAACGAAAATTGCTGGATCCTGCTTATCGTGGCAGATCTCTCACCACGTTCAAAGTGGTCGGATCTTGTTATTTGCATGGGATTATGGATGGCGAGGCTATTGCCAGTGTTGCAGCGGAGAGGCAATGCAGTGTTGAGGACGTTTTTGAAGATTTGTTTCTGATCTGATCTTGGAATCTGGTCATCAGGAACTACCAGCTCAAGGATATACGGAAAAAATGCCGCAGTCGTGAGCTGAAGTGGTGGCGGAATGTTCCACCCGCTGCAGCTCCAACCAGCTTTACCGGATTCTGCCTAGCCTCATCCTACAGTGGAACGAAGGATGAGTTGGAAACATGAAGATCTGACCTACGCAGCTGTAGAGAAGCCTCACTTCCTCAAATACACTTCATGTCACTGACAGAAATTCCGGGCGGCTTTGCAGATGGTGTTCAGGTTCCGTGCCGGATGGCCAGTGACTCTCTTGGGCGGATTAGTGATCGGCGTACTCGCCTTGCTCCTACCTCAGCTTCTCAGCTGGCGTAACATACAAGCTGCAGTACCCTACACTGGGCCCAGATTCGATGCAACAGGGCAATCTGCGATATGCATCAAGCTAGCAGCTGCCCTCCGGGAACAGGTTTATTCTCATCAACATTCGACTTACAACGATGTCCTGCAGTCATACTGGTCCGAAAACGCGGCGGAGATGCAGCCATCTTGCATCGTAAGACCTACGAGTGCCGAGGATGTATCAGTTGCAATCAAGACTCTGCGAGAGGGTCGCGAAGCTGGAGACAATGTGCGATTTGCAGTCCGTAGTGGCGGACACTCCCCCGAAGCTGGATTCGCAAGTATCAGAGATGGCGTTACCATTGACATGGGCCTCTTTGACGGGATCTCTGTTGCGGATGATCGTTCATCAGCTACTATTGGAGTAGGTGCTCGTTGGAAAGAAGTCTACTCGAAGCTAGATGACATGGAATTAGCTATGGTCGGCGGCAGAAATGCCAACGTCGGTGTTGGAGGTCTAGTCCTGGGCGGTCAGTCTTCGCGCTGTTAATTCACGTCAGATTATGCTGATTGCATCAACAGGGGGTATATCCTTCTTCTCCCCTCGCTTCGGCATGGTCTGCGACAATGTCGACTCTTACGAGATCGTACTCGCGAACAGCAGTATCGTCCACGCCACCGCCCAATCCCACCCAGACCTCTGGCGCGCCCTCAAAGGCGGCACAGGAAACTTCGGCATCGTCACAAAAGTCACAACAAAAGTCTTCCCCTCCGCACAAATCTGGTCCGGCTACGCCTACTACCCCAATTTCCAAGCCTCAAAAGTCCTCCGCGCATTCCACTCTTTCAACCAACCCTCTAACTTCGACGCCTACGCCGGAGGTCCTCTCACAGCATTCGCCTACGCCCGTGATCTAGGTCTTCGACTAACTGTCCAGCAACTCTCGTACACAAAACCCACACCCTGGGCTCCCGTCTTCGAACCATTCAAAGCCATTTCCTGGCGTATCTGGACAACCCTCAAAATCCAATCTCTCACTTTAGCGACTGAAGAACTCCACGGTATGGCACCTCTAGGAGATCGACAGTTTCAAATCACTTTGACGATCAAGAACGATCTGGACACGATGGAAACCATGCGACAAATCTTCAACGAACAGATGAAAAGAATCAAAAGCGTTAAAAGATCTGTTTGGAGTCTTGTCTTTCAACCTCTTTCTGCTGCTATGATGAGGAAAGGAAGTCTGAATGTTCTCGGGTTAGAGACTCGACATGCGAATGATACGTTGATTATTGCATTATTGTGCGTATCGTGGCGGGATAAGAAGGACGATGAATTAGTCGAGCAAGTTTCACGAGATATCTCGAAACTCAGCGAAGACTATGCGCGGGAGAAAGGGACCCTGGATCCGTATCTCTATCTCAATTATGCGGCGAGCGGACAGGATGTTTTCGCTGGGTATGGTCAGGGAAGGAAAGAGTTCATGCAAGAAGTGAGTAGGAAGTATGATCCTGAAGGCTTCTTACAGGTTGTGAAGCAGGGAGGGTTCAAGTTAGATATGTTTTGAGCGGGTTTAGAGGCGAATACGAGTTCGATAGGCTTGCAGTGCGAGGCGGACAAAATCGCCAAAATCTGGCACTGTTCATCCCATCTATTCTGGTTTGTTCATTATACAACAAGTCTGGTGCTATGGATGTTTAGCGGCATGGAATCTCTAGATTCTTGTACGGCGAACTGCATCGCGGGCTGTGCATCGTGAATACCGGGCTATGAAGTACTTGTGCAGCACTATCTGAGCTCCCACATCTGTAAAACTGTATGTCTGTTCCTTAATCGTACTCTTCGCCAGAACCGTAATCGTCATCACCTCCGTACACGGAGCCGAACTCGTCGTGTCCTTCAGTGGCCATTTTGTAGAGATCTTCATCATCTTCTTCCTCTACAGCTGGTTCCTCGTCCAAGTTGTCCCATGTGGCTGGCTGCACGTGCTTGGCAGGATTATCCTGTATCTCTGCGTCCCCTTCGTCACTGCCGTCGTCCTCATCTTCGGCAGGTCCAGCAGACTGCTCTCTCGTGGCTGGAGTCTGCGATCGACTTTCGCTCGGCGTGGCCGACCCGGCGCGAGACGGGGTTTCTCGGCCATAGATGCGCTGCAAAGCAGAGAAGTCGACATGCTGAGACTTCATTGGCGCTCTCTTCTCCAGCATTGCCCTAGCAGCATCGGCAGGCGTCTCGATTGGTGTCGAGCTCTCTGTCAGTACCGTGCCATCGCCCAAAGTATTACGCTTCTTGCCTCGACCTTTGTGCGCTTTCCCTTCTTTCTTCTTCTTCGTCGGATTGGCCTTCTCGACTTTCGCAAGGAGTTCCTTTTCGGCTTGCTTTCGGAGCCAGTCTTCGTTGTGAGCAACCCAAATCTGTTCCTTGATCTTCCTCTCGGTCTCTGACAGAATGCAATTGGCGACCTCGGGGTCGTTTTCGAATTCAGCTTCAAGCTCTGCAGCAGTGAGAATAACACCCGGCTGCCAATCAGGTGCCTTGCCAAAGTAGTCAACTCCTCGGGCAAGACGAGCCTGTCTGCCTTTCTCGCTGTCGGCCTTCATTTGCTCAGCAGCCAGCGCAGTAGCTCGTTGATGCTCGGCTTCTATCCTTTCTGCTTCCTTTAGCTTCTCGACTTCACTCTGCATCTCTTGCACTTCTCCATTCGCTAGGGCCTCCTCGATTTGTGTTTCCAGATAGTCTTCCTCTGCAAGCTCTTCCTCGGAGATCTCAACCTCTGGAGCCTGTACTGGCTCCTTTTTCGGTCGTCCACGACCACGCTTTTCACCCGTTGGCTCCTCACTCGCACGTAGTGCCTCTGCTACAGCCTGCACTGGAAGAGCCGGAATGGCGAAGCCATCAGCGTCATAGCGAACACTTGGTTCAGGTTCAGGTCCTTCCGTCGTACGCTGTCGTTTTGGAGATTCTACTCGGGGAGCTGACTCGGGATCTGCTGAAGGTGGTTCTTCGGCTTCATCATCCCGCTTCCGCTTTGCATTGGGTTCGAGAGATCCGTTGTTAGGTGCTTCATCACCCTGTGTCGGTGGAGGCGTAGACTGCTGCTCCGCGGGAGATGCTAGGCCTTGCACTGCGACCATCGGCGCTGCGGCAGGTATATGTTGCACTGGGACTGGCACAGTCTGATCAGGAGCCGGAGTAGCTGCCTCCACGGAAGACAGCCTTGAGGAACCTTCGCTGAGGTCATCGGGGATTATGATGTGCTGTGCAGACGGTGACCGCATTTGCGATTCTCGCAATTCGAGCATCTTCATGTGCTCCTCCCGACGAGCTCTCGCTCTCGCAAACTTTCTGGCATTGTGATCAGGAAGACCGAACGAGGGAGGATTATGTTGATGCACCATGCGATTGGCATATTTGCGGAACTCGTCAACTGTCAGACCTGAGGCCTTGGTGCGTCTGAACTCCTCCACACGTTTGGCGATTGTCACATCTGCGACTTTAGAAACGAACACAACCTCGCGCACTGTGCGCTGGAAGTTGTTCATTCGGGCGGCGAGGATGATGCAAGCACCACAAAGACCAGCTGGATGACGGCCAGACACAATCCAATCGCGATTCATTCTGCGAATGATCTTCAGCGCATCAGACGCGACGTCTTTTGTCTTCTCTGCAAACTGAAGCTTGTCGCAGTACTTGTATATGAGAGGTTCAAGTTCGACCAGATGTTGATGTCCGACTGAATGATCTTGAGTGATGTAAAGCTCTCTGCACATATCTTTGTAGACCTCGCCCAGGCGGAAGACGTTGATTTGTAAAAGCTCGGCGATGTCCATGAGGAGAATCTTATTGTCCCTTTGGCGTCGACAGGCGGCATACAGGCAAGCAGCAACAACTTCGTCGGTCCTCCGGCCAGCAGAGAAGTTGATATTCGCAGCGAGCACCCATATCTGCTCTGCTTGTATCTGAACCTGCTGCAGTATGCCCAGCTTTGGACAAAGCTGCTCCAAGGCCTTTCGTCCAGCGTTTTGAACATCGGCGAGAGAGTTTCGTTCGCCACCTCCAACCTTGCGATACGCACTTGACCCTAGGGTTCTTGCGTGTCGTGAGTTCTCGTTGACGGTGCCACCTTGGACAGTGGCTCGCCCACCAGCGTTTTCCTCGAAGGTGACTTCAGCAACGATGTTGTTCTCGGCGATCTCCGTGTAACAGTCGAGACAAACGATTTTGCCATCGTCTTCGCTGAATCTGGTAGAGCCGCACTCCTTATTGGGACACTTCTTCTCCGCCGATGCGGCTTGTTTGGCTGGGGCTCGTTTTCTCGGAGGGACTGCCGGTCCTTTGATTCCTCCAAGAGGCCCACGTCGGGCTCTTACCACCGGACCAGGCATTGCGGTCAGTCAGTGCTGGCGCGCATGCGGCGGGGATGGAGCCGAAGTGCGCTGATGTACATTCACGTGAGCCGTGGCCGTCCTGCAGTCGCCGTCTATGAGTAATGTCCCGCCGGGCGGCGATGTATTCGAAATGCCTGATTAGGCAAGTGATATCGCGCGTTGGAGGTGATTGAATGGTATGGCGCGCGGAGAGTGTGGCGGTGAGTGAAAAGAATTGTCGTGTGTCAGAGCTTGGGTTGGCGAGGTGGTGAGTCGGAAAGCAAGTGCGAAATTGAGAAGGCGGGGTCAAGCGCCAAGACCTGCCAAAAGACACGGACGTTGTGTTCGAAACCCAGCTGTCACTTCTCTCTCTGGCTTTCAACTTTATCATCAGCAAACATTTTGACTGCGTAACATCAAAACGCATGTGACGGACATACAAACAAATATTCTCGAGTCACCGCAGTCGTTAGCTCCTGCTCCCGAGGCCCGATCCAGCACGCCGCGCCCGCGAGGCGCCATTCTGGACATGAAGAGCAAAACCACGCCCACGCTCGTGGTGATTCTCGAATGACGCTCGCCATCAAGCCATGATCCATCATACTTTGCGCCTGAGGAATGCTTAAGCGGCGAACTCATTCAGGCACGAGTTATCAACACCTTCTGTTCATTTTTTGGTTACTAAACGAGTGCTTGGTCACGGTTCTCTCTATCAATGTCCTGGTTGTCTTCTGAACCAACATCTCCTCACGTCATTCCGGAAAGCTAGCTCGAATACATTCTCACTTTGGTGGACTGCCCTTCGCAGTGTCTGGGAAATTTTGCGGGACCTGCGCAGAGTCAACGAGATTCGTGGTCACGAAATTTCACTTACACCTTCCACAGCGTACAAGTACCACTGCGACATCTCATTGGAATCTCCAGCCGCAGACCAAATGTGGATCTGGGAGCCCTTGGAGCCATTCCCGCCGGCCATGTGCAAGCCTAGAGTCTTGTTGCTAACGGGTGCGATCCTAGACCGGTCAGCTCTCAGCTTTGCCTCACATCAGTGCTCGATATATACCAGTACCGTCCTGTGCCATTGCGCAAAGGAATGATGTTCCAGCGAGTCACGTCGTTGAGGGGTGACTGAGTGGTGCAGGTCACTTCTTTGCCTTTGTCGCTCACGGTCAGGTACGTTCCGCTGGCTCTGTTGAGAAGCAGGTATTCCTCCTTGCCAGTCTTGCCCACGTTGGCATAGACGACCTGCCAATGCGCATTTGGGCTTTTGGAATTGTCCCTGTACGAGGAAAGTAATTAACGAAAGAATGCTCAGCACAGTCTAACAGCCTTACCAGGCCGACAGCTTGGTGCCGTCTTGCTTGTTCCCATTGTTCAGGAGGATGAACATGTTTGGAAACTTCGCCCCAGCGATCAGGTATGTGCCAGCTCCTACGAAGTCGCTCATGATGGTGTGAGTTGGGTGGATTGTCTCGAGTGATTGGAATGTGGGTGGGACTACAATGTGTGTTAGGAGGACAAATTTATATCTCACGAGAAGGACTGTCTGGCTTGATTCACCGCATTGAAGAGCCCTGCAATCAGCTTCTGATGCAAAGACGTGCGCTTTATACGAGCTTCGGATGTACAAGTCTTTCCCCCGAATACATCTCTCCCCTCACGAAGCTGTGCGACATTCAAAGCAGCTAGGACATTGGATCGTCAATCTCTCGCTATGCAGTCTATGTCTCGCTTCGGCATGAGTGCTTGGAGAGCTAGCTGTCAAGCGCTGTCACTTCGCAAATATGCCCGTGTCCGATGGTCAGTGAGTGCATAGTGCGTGAGGGCTTCCTGTGGATCTTCTTTGAGTCAAGGCCCTCTTCTTGGCACGACATTCTTGCTGACCGTCCATCAGGTCCTCAACATACTTCGTCGTCGAACGAAATACCGTGAAGTGCTATGGCCAGAAATACTTCATTTCAAAACAATGAATGAAAACAATGCCTGTCAGTATTCTGTCTACAGATCGGATAAGCTGAGAAGTTATAACGAGCAGGCTCACCAGCTAGCAGGGTGCGTTGAATGCATTGCACGAAGACTCTATAGCGCATGCTAATGTCTTTGTACGCTTGCGAGCTAACCAGATGTAGACAGTACAGAACTTTGGGTGCTACGAATGCATAACCCCCACAGTCTCTGTCACGGTTGCATGTAGCGGTGAAGCGTGGGCGTGGCTAAGGCTGCTCTCGAACGACCAGCGATGAGAATGCTGTATGAACTAACGATGTGCCCCAGGTTATTCGCACTTTCGAGCATAACAGTCTACGATTGTTGACGGAGCTTATGAGCAAAAGTCGCATCACTACATCTTAACGATTGTCCATGGAGCGCTAGACACCTTTGGAGGCCTCCTGGGATGTGTTCGCCCCTCTTCAACGTACATCCATGGCGTTCATTGTGACAGGGAACAGTTCTATGGAAGCTGAGGGCTACCTCCATGCGACCTTGGCACTCGTTGCAGACACCCGGTCGGAGCAAGACGCGATTTCACTCAGCAATATAAACACCTGAGAGATGGTCGACCTAACACATCACCTCGAAGCCCCCTTATCAGCGTTGACCGGAACCTCTGCACAAGCGCTTCCGTGGTCTTGACCAGGCGCACTACCGCATCCATACTGGTCTTCCACGCAGAATCCAGAACAGCACATACTGCCTGTGAAGCGCAACCACGTTAGCGACCTCCTCCGCAAGCTTCCAGCATCGGCTCTGTACTCACACTTCGTATTATCTTTACCAGAAATGCAATGACCAGCAGGCAGACAAGTGCCTGGCGCTGGCGATGGCCCACCAGCACAGCCTGGACCAATTGTCGAGCCCGGTACGACACCGCAGCCTGGGACGCCTTCCTGTTTGCATTGACCTGAGCAGCACATGTCGCCTGGTGATTTCAACGAGACTTACATCTTCTAGAGATTATGGGGTTGGTTCTTACATGTCGTCAGGTCCTTGCCGTTGATACAATGATCCTCTGGGAGACACTGCTGTTGCCTTGACAGAAGGTTGTGCTTCGCATCGACCATGCGCCCACCTGCCGCGCTCGCAATGGCAGTGAACACAGCGAAGCTGTAAGTGATAGCGCACTTCATTGTAGCAAGAGCGGAGTCGTAGACGTCGAATCCGATTGGGTCCTGTCGACAACGATGGAATTGATACTGCGTACGCCAATACCGTGGTATGGCTCTGCGTTTGTTTATATGTCGGCACTCTTATCCCTGAAAATGGCAATGGCCAAAAATGGAACACATCGGCGTGCTCCTGTGTCACAAAATTGCGGAACACTAATCTTGAGAGTAACTAATGGGAGATTTTAGCTAGGATGCCCTTGCAAGCCGCTTTGTACAATTCCCCACAAGGAAGTATATCAAGTCTTGAACTGATTCGCAAAGCAATATTCTCGTACTGAGCAAACTGTCGTGCCAACAATGATCAAGATTTGGGTCAAGGTTTCCTACCACTGCTCGCCGACCTGGGCCTCAAGGGGGACGTACATACCCTCTTACGCCGACTCTAATGTGCTTGCAGTCCACAGGCTCGCCTACCCTGTTACTGTAAAATCTTGCGTCCACTGTAGCTTCAATACTGCACTCGTGAAACGGAAGACGGCGCCGTTTTAAAGTGAGTATCGAACAGGCTACCAGGACAAGGCAGTCGTATATCAAATCTTGTTGCATATCTATCCAATAGCCGACCTCTGTGGTGCTCCTAGCATCGTATACACCAGTAAGAGGATAGCGGAGAACCTCTTTGGATCGGGCACAGGACGTATGCTCGCACATTGACAATCGCCCTCGCCGCCGTTCCACGGATGCAGTATTGAAGTTGTCGTATTCTTCAACACTAGCACCAAGGAGGAGCACAGTCCTCCCCTGGCTTACCCTCGATGGACGTGTTTTCGGTGTTACGGGTCAAGCCCGACTCCGGCTTGCCCTTCAGCTCAAAACCGTAAACCTGGCGGAGCACCACAATTTGCGACGGCTGCCCGTAAGCGCTGCTGGGATCGAGACGTGTGATCGACAATACGATGTAAGCAAATGCTAAGCATTCTTGGCCCCCACGAGTTGCCTTGCCATCGGGTGAGCCATCCCCAGAGCAACATGTAGACGATGGTAGCAAGCAATTCCTCGTTCCTTTCGATAAGGCATGATGTTTGTCTATTTGTACTGCTTCTCGGTCAACCACATCGGACGGAGCTGACAAATTGTGAAGTAGAACTCACGGACTTTGTATTCGAATCTAGCTGTCGCTTCTCTGTCGCTGTCAACTTCTTCATCAGCAAACATTTTTGTCGTCTCCCATGGCAACAAGTTTGCACGTCCTTCGGAGACGACGCCAACATCGAGAGGATTCTAGATAATTGCGTTAAAGCTGCATACAATGTCCAAAGGTGCGATGGTTCCAGATCATACCTATTTCGCGAGGCTTCGAGCTAAACTTACAACAAGTCCCTGTACCTCTCCCGTTCTGGTAGCCTTCGGTCTTCGCTTGGCTCCATATTCAGGCACCATTTTTGTATCATTGTTGCCATCACTTCAACTCTCACCTCACCACGCACGCGCCCCGCCCCGCGCCTCACCGCCGCCACTCCTCAGGCTCCAACTCGGCCTTCGGCACCCAGACAGACCCAATTGACGTATAAATTCCCTTTTCGAATTACCACTTTCAACCCGGGTTTAGCTCACTTGGTATGAGAGCATTCGCACATCCACAACGTTGCGTCTTCCACTCAGATTACCACTTACCTACGAACTACGAAGTTGTTCTGATGTCGATTCAAGTTCCAATATGATTGTGACCGTGCAGTCTAAGGAGTTCCTCTGACGAGGATCAGTTCTGGCGCAGAGTTCGAGGTAGAGTAAAATGGTGTAGACAGGTGCCCGGACCTCCTTTTTTTGTCTTTTGAAAGGGGCAATCTGTAGCTCGACGGCTCTTAAGTACGCTCAATCCTTTTTGAACGTGGATCCCGCGAGACTTGCATCTCTCGCCCGTCTGATCGATGCAATAGATGTGTATTCAAGCTTGATTGACCCTCTCGAACATACAATCAGAATGAGCTACCTAGCCAGGTACGTTGGATCCAGCGCTAGGTTTCGATCTCCTTCGGGGTGCAATGATGTACGGCCGACTTGATACTTTTAGCGATACCTATAGTAGGATTTACGAGGGCACTGAATATGCCTGCTCTAGCTCGTCGGCGAGAATCGGTCTGGTGTAACTTGCCCGTCATGTCTCCATCGCTGTCCTATGTGCGCTTCCGCTCCTCCCAGCTTCGGAGAAATTGGTGGACGTGAAGCTATTGCAATCGAACCAAATACGAGGAAAATTAACAGGCTCGTGGCGGGTTGTAGATCGCATCCTTGTTGAATATGATCGGCCCTCGCGACCGGCCCCAGAGCAACCTCATTCGATTCGATGCGCTAATGACTTCTGTTCATCGTGGTTTTGATCGAATGCCTGATTACCATCCACCAAATCGATTTACTCGGCATCCCCACAAGGGCTATCTCCCACTTCGTCCTCCGGAAAGCCTCTCCGTGCATTCGTGTCTCCGCTCCAGTGCACGAAACCGCTCTGCTCGTCTCTTCAACTCTACAGCATCCATTTCCGGGTACGCGTCTACGCTCTTCCGCCAGCCTGATTTAATGCCGGTTTGTGCATGTCCCAAGCACGTTTGCGTTCGATTTGACGCACATGAGGCAGAAGCCAGCCGACTCCTCTTCAGCTTCAGCTGCGATATCGTAAAACTGTATGCAGGGAATCGAGTTGTGGCAAATGTGGCACAATTGCGAACATCCTTCCCCAGATTCGTACACCTCATCAGCGATACTCCGAAGCTTCTCGATGTGATATGTGATTGTGAATTCCGAGTTGTTGTTTAGATTCCTGCGCAACGTCGGTGATTCAGCATGCCAGAACTTTCGCAAAGTGTCGTAATACGTGATGCTTGCCTTGGAACACGCGTCGCAAACATCTTCGTCGAGCTCGTGGCAGGCGATGCGTTCGCTAATGCAATTCAGTGTCTTGTTACGGCATTCGGCGATGCCCACTAGTAGCAATGTCAGTGTCGCGGCAGAGCCCTTGGCCCCGACGAAGACTATGCTTACCTAGCACCTGGGTAGGGAGCAACTGTGCGCAATCCTGAGTGCATAACAGGGTAATGTTTGAATTGGTATCTTTGATCAGCCTCCGAGTGGCAAGCTTGAAGCAATGTGGCTCATCAAACAAATATGCCGCTGTAGCGATTTTGGCAACGTTGCAGTCGTCGGTGAAGATATTTTGGTGATGTGAATCCAGCCAAATCGTCATCAAGGTTCGAGCTGCATACATGAAGGCATGTGTCAGTGCATACTTGTCGACCACGATTGCAAGGCTGAGCAGCTTCTTGGCTCCCTCCTTCAATCCCGCTTCTTCCAAGCGTGGCGTTCGGAAATGCAAAACGCGGCACACGAATAGAAAGTCGTCGGCATCGTCGTCTGGGAGTGCAATGTCGACCGGAGCACTCGAGCTGCGTGCTTGTTGACCTTCCCGAAACTGTGGTCCAAACAAAGCTGCGAAGACAGAAGATGCACGAGAAAGCGTCACAGAGCAGACTCGAATGCACTTCTTTTCGGGACCGACAACAAGAATCACGTCGCCGTCGGCTGCGAGGAGTTCTGTGCCGCTGTCCGCCATGGTGTTCGTGCCGAAACTAGGTGTAGCGGGTTGAACGTGTATCTGAGTTGCTCATTGGTGTCAGGCTGTCAGGATGTTCGTGACGAGGTGTTTGTAGCGCGAGACTGTGTAGTCGAGGGAGGCAGGCGCGCTGAGCTCGCCTGCATTTAGCGTCAAACCTTACTTCACATGCACGAAGTGATCCATGAGTGAAGTGGAAAGAGCGAATCTTCGCGAGCAGCTGAGATCAGCGATCCTTCTATCACTATCATATAATGAGCCGCAATGCACTCGCTGCTGCGTTGTCCTCGCGGACAAGAAGCCCGTTGGGTCGTCGCTTTCCAGCCATTGTGCCAGGCCTTCGACCACGCCTATCGCAAGGTGTTCGACTTTCAAGTCTCGTCTGGCAAGAAAATCACTCGTGGTCACCAGCCGAATCGTCGGACGTCGCCGCCTCTGCATCCTTGGCTTGCCTCTTCCACTCTTCGAGACATTCGTCGCATCGTGCGCGCAATTGAGCCTTTTCTAAGGTGTTGCGCTGTAAAGAGGCCAGAATCTCGGCGCTCTGTCCAGGTCAGCTTTTCCGACAACTGGCATTCATTCAGTGGTCGGGCTCCGTACCTTGCTGACCAGTTCGGAGTGCATCTCCATCCACATGCCTATCTCGATAACGCCCATGTTGGCCTTCATACGCTCGAAATTGGCCTTCAAAGTGCTCGTTAGATGTCGATCAACAAATGCCTTCTGCTGGGAACGGACCGTCAAAGAGATTCCTTCAGCAGTGGCTGCTATTGCCTGAGCTTCCAGCTCTTCAGTTTGACGCGTGAGTTCCGCGGTTTTCTCAGCAAGCTCCTCCAGAGTCTGCTTTATCCTGCAGGACAGCTGCATGTCGGAAGGCGCTGGATTTAAAAAGAGTTGCTCAAGGTGGCGTGGAATTCCGACGTGCAGAGAATGATTATATTGTGCGCAATGAGGGAAGCAAAGGCAAACGCAGAACATGTGGTCCGTGCACATGTCACTTAAGCAGTGCTCCACATTTCACATGTTCATGCTCGTTTGCTTGCGCGCAATGGTGTGTTTGTAGCGTTGTCAAAGCCAAAGCTCAGGCACGCGCTTTTCGCATGCATGCCGCCGAAGGGCCCAGCCTGCATGACTTCAACGTCTCAAAACCTGGAAGTCCATGCGCGCACGCGATCTGATTCCAGAGCCGACAGTCAGATGGTCCAGCAAGGAGGTTCACCAGTCCACCAGGCCGGCTCCAGTGCTACCAAGCAAAAGCTTTCTTTGCCATGAAAGCTGCATAGCTGCAGCGCCTAAGAGGTGATCGGTGTTCATGTACATCTACATATGTCTCAAGTATTACCAAACTTGAAAATACCCTTCCCACTCCGGAAGCCTTCCAAAGTACCCTGTACAGCATTTACCAGCTCGTCTTGTTTGGTATCGTAGTCCCATGTCAGAGGATCCATTGGGATATCCTGAAATTTGCCTTCCCGCGTCAGACTCAAGATCTCCTTTACACAATCCTCCTTCTGCTGTGGGTTCTTGTCTGCCCATCGACTGACCCAGAAGCCATGGAAATTGATGTCCTTGAAGATGAGGAGCCCCATTGGTAATTGCACAGGCTGCTTGCTCATGGCACCATAAGTGACAACAGGACTACCAGGAGCAAGATGCTTCGCCGTGTCGTTCACCAAAGGTCCACCTACACAGTTCAGTGCCAGCTTGATCTTTTCCCTCCCACCATTGGTGAATTCCTTTACTTGATCCCTGAAACCCTTGCCACGCAGTTCCTCGTCTGTCACAACCACATCCGCACCCAAGCTCTTCAGATCTCGCACCAGATCCTCATGCCCCTGCTCCCTCTTCCTCACAATATTAATACTCTTGTAACCCCACAACTTCGCCAATTGAATCGCCGCTCGTCCAACACCACTATTTGCCCCGTTCTGCATGAACCAATCTCCCTCTTTCATATTGCCAAAATCGTTCAGCATGCGGTATGCAGTGCAAGGATTGACAGAGACAGTGCCGACCTGCTCAGGCTTCAAACCTTCCTTGTCCACCTTAACGACTTCAGAACTGGTCGTTTGAGCATGCGTCCTCCATGTTCCGAAGCCTTGACGTTTCATAATGACCCAGTCACCCTTTTGCAAGCCCGAAACTCCACTTCCCTTTGCAATAATTTCCGCCACGCCTTCATTGCCTCCCACGGCGATGGGATCGGGTGTGCCGAGGTTGGTGGTCCATGTTGGTTTAGTGGGATAGACGCCTTGGATCTGGTTGATGTCTGCTGGGTTGATCGGAGATGCGAGAAAGCGAAGAGTCACCGCGTCGCCTGTCGGAGGGGAGATGCTGTGAGAGTGCAAGCGAAGGACGTCTTTGGGTTCGCCGTGATTCGGGAGGATGAGAGCTTTCGCTTGTTCGTAGCCGTAGGCGGAGATGGAGCGGCGAGAGAGGTTGTTCGGGAAGTGAGATTGGCGGAGAGCGCGCAAGGCGGTGGGAGCTGCTCTTGACGGCGCCATTGTTGCGTCTTCGAGGATGAACTACGAGACGGATAGCTCCAATGCTGAATGTTGCTCCCCATGCTCGATGACGTCTAACCGAGCTCAGGCGGAGCTCAGTCCGCTGCACTTCACTCCTTCCTCACGCACGCGACATGGAACACAAACATCGAGAAAAACATGGTAACACGACTATATCATCCTGAAAACGATCGTTGCTGCCATCAAGATAACGGATCATTTCGCTTTTCTCCTCAAGCTCTGAAACCACGCACTTCCTCTCCTCTTCCGACCCACTACCAGCCCGAGTCGCCTCAACCTGTCCTCATTCTCGGGCAGATGCTCAACAAATCTAGTCTGTACCGAAGGCAAGATGCTATTCCCATGATTTAGCCTATTGCTCATGGCAGGGCCTCTGTGCCGCGCCGTCCGCCCATACCTCTGACCATCTGCTATCGAATCTTGGGCTGGCGATGTCGTATCAATCAGTGCGGCTTGATTTCTTCGAAGCGTCTGCATTCGAGCGATGCCAAGTTCATCTTCCGTTTCTCCTTTCGAATGACTGGGTCCTTCCGCGTTTCGTTGCAAATGCTCAATCATCGAAGCCCGCAAATTCTGCCTGCTGGACTTGCGGGGGATTGGGGGTGGAAGGTCATTCGCTGTTTCTGCTTCTACTGACTTTCGCAGAACAGCGTCGATCGCCGCATCTCTCCAACTGCTCACCGTCGAGTTCTCAGATACTTTTCGGGTCTCCTGTATCCCAGCCTCGACTTCGTCGATAAGCGCGTTCATCTGCGGCGAAGCCCCATAACTGCGACTTGCGACCCGCTCAGTGATCTCATCCACTGCTGATCTCGGGGAGAACTTCTCTTCTGGACGAGAGTCAACTTCCGTTCTGGCTTCAGCTGTTTGCGCTCCACCATTCGGCTTCTCCCAAGATTTTATGCCATGGTGCCCAATCCTTGCCCATGAGGGTCGTCGGGGTTCTTGGTCGGCCAGCGGCTCCAATTTTGACACTCTCTGCCCATTCGGGCGGTTCAGTAACGGCCCAAAGCTCTCATTTCTTGCAGGTCCAGGTCCTATTTTATGCTCAGAAACTGAGTTTAGAGCCTCATTGAGCGCTCTATGGCTTTGGCGAACACTCTGGAAAGCATTCTTCAGTTCAGAGTCCTTCGATGGTGAGACGCAAGGAGTGTTCAAGTCCACGAACTCAGCAGGCTGGAATTTCTGCATAACTACGTGAGGCGTTGATGCATGCGCATCTTCACTCGCTCTCTTCGGCACCCCCGATGGCCCAGCGATGTGATCATCGCTGTCGCTGTCGCTCGAAGTCAGTTGCATAAAATCCGGCCCCGGTGCAGATTCAGACAGCTTAGTATCATGCTCGCGCAATGTGGACCCATTCTCCCTGCCAAACTGCTCTTCTGGTCGCTTTGACTGCTCAATGCCATGGTCATGGCCACGATTGTTATGGGGTTGCCTCTTCTCTGGCTTGTCTTGTACGCGAAGCTTTCTTCGTGCATTCTGGCCGCGATCGCTGGACTCTGGCGTATGGAAACCCGGCAACGGTGCCTCTCTGCATGGCGTTCCAGTCGATTTCGGCAGGACTTTGCCTTCCAAAGCAGCCCCAGATTGATGGTGAGTTGAGATTGATTGACTGCTACTGGTACCCGGAGGTGACTCGGACAAGTATTTGTATGAACGTGTCCGGCCATGTGGACTACTTGCCGACGGTATTTGTTCTTTCTGACCAGATGTCCCTCCCTGTAGTGACGTTTGCCTACTCTTGGAGCTACCAACACTCCATTGCCGAGAATCATGTCGCGGCGTGTGTTCTCTTTTCCGCCCCACCGGATCCTGGGGTGATGGCAGTCGACTTGGATTGAGCGTTCCTGGCCATGCTGGTGTCTGAGCCGTGCGGCGCATTCTTGCGGTCGTCACCTCCTGCTGGTTTCAACTGCACGTCGCTGAGACTGCGCAAAACCTGGCGTACTGGTAACCTGCTGTCGCCTGTGTTACTTCCACCAAACTCTGTCGACCTCCCCGTACTGTCGCTTGCGGATCGAATCGTCGGCACCCGCTGGATCTGTAAGGTGGTCGTCGCTGTCACCGGAGACGACTAACGCGCGTTGCGATCGCAGACTGGCTGAGCGATGGACCTGTACAGCATAATTTGGGACTCTAGAAATATGGGTCTGCTGCGAAAAGGTGTTGTCGGCGTTGAGACAATCACAGGGCTCGATTGATGTCGCGGTGGAAGAGCTATCGGATCGAGATCGAGCGCGCCTGCTCTGTTCCCAGTCGAGGTAGAAAGAGCGGAC